ATGACTTCTTTCAATGTACTGTGTCGTTAGAGAGGCTTAAATCGACGAGTCTAACGCTTCTGGGTATCAAACTACCCAGCAAACTGGACACCCCTGGCCAATATTCTAACCAACCCCAACGTGTAGCATGCTTTTAGCCCAATGCGAGATGGTTATGGGTGCCTTCGATGACTGGGAGGCGGCTTCAGCGCTTGGGATCTTTCGCTATGTACCAGCAAGTTATTTAAGCAACAGACTATCCCCATCTCTCAACCCTCGTGTGACTCGCAGACCTGCTGAGATCACAACGTTCTATCTACCCCTTCTCTTTGCATTTCGGTTCACTCTTTCACTCAACTGCCTTTCACTTAACTTTATCACCATGGGTCTTCTTCCACTCACTTATACACGCCCAAAGCACATGGATCAGAGATCATATCGTAGCAACAGCGCCAGCAGCAGTGGCGAGTCTCTATCTGATGGAGAAAAGACTGATGGCTCAGTCAGCTCTGGATTCTCTGGCTACTCTAGTGGTATACCTGACTCCTTGGCTTTTGACAAGATTATTGATGGAGGAACATGTCCTGTAAGCTTGCACACCCCAGCCAGATCGCCACATGGACTGCCACTTATTGATTCTTATTGTAGCCTATGACTGTCCGGGATTTCATGTCCTATCTTATTTATGTAGAACACGCTGCCGAGAACCTTCAGTTTTACCTCTGGTTTAAAGACTATGAGAAACGGTTCAACTCAAACCCCACGACCGATATCAAGCTTGCTCCAGAGTGGACCAGGGCTATGCAGGATGAGGCCATTATCAAGATCCGAAAAGAACAGGCAGATAAGATGCGCAAAGAGCCCAAGGCTGCCGCAATCTTCAAGGGTACCGACTTTGAGAAAACCCCTACAGCTCAGAACCGGAGCATGAGTGCCACCATTGATCCCTTTACAACGCCTCCCCAGAGCAGCGGAGGGGATGTGGCCTCAATCTTTACAGCGACCAACATTATGCCTTCGCTCGATGCGACGAGCTATATGAGCCGAGCCTCTGACGCCTTCCAGGCCACTGGCACCCAACAGCCTTGTAAGTCGATGTGCTTCCAACACTCCGTTATCTCCCAGACACTAATCAGGGACCAGTCACTATCCAACCATTCCGAGAAGAGGTTAACAGAGTGATCGTGACGTATATAATGGATGGAGCTCCTCGACAACTGAATCTCTCATCTGCTGAACAAAAAGCGACCATCGTGGCACTCTCTCAGACAACACACCCAAGTGCATTCCGCAGCATCTTCAAGACGGTTGACTCAAGTCTTCGTCACCAGGCCCATCCCAACTTTGTTAGATGGTCAATCTGTAACGGCAACCCTGCTCGCGTGTTCTTCGCGCGGTCACTCGGGGTTGGCCTCATCATGGTTGGCATTGTCATTGGCCTCATCCTCGCTCTCAGCAGCGCAGGTCGAGGATACCGGGCTCTAGCAGCAATCTCTCTTGTTCTAGGTATCAGCACGCTTGTTGCGGCTTACAAGGGTATGTGTGTTGTTCTTCACGGAATGCATCATCGCCACATCAGACCGTGGGAGTTGTTCGCGGACAGTGAGAACATGGATGACTTGGCTAAGCGAAGCTTTGATTCTTTCGGACTCAAGAACAGCTACGAGGATGAACCTTGGGTGGTCAAGTATGAGAAGCGCAACATTGTCCGCAAGGTGTTTGATCGCGAAGTCTGGATCCAAGAGCCAGCGCTGCGTCAGATTCAAGACACTATTTTCATCCAGGCGGTACTTGCTTCAATCCTTATGGGTGGTATTATCGCAGCAATCTTTGTGGCCGTCCCAGGTGGTCACTTCTTTTGATAAAGGTTCTCACCTGGCGATGAAAAGGATAGACCGTCGCACACTCAGGATACAATGCCTTGTCAGATTTTCCTTTATAACTTTTTGAATTATTCACGGATACCCAATTATTGATAAAAGCGCGCCTTGATGGAGTTAAGCATCAACGGGGGAGCTACCTCACAGCCATTAGTATTAAATACAATCATGGATTGATGCAAGCTGTTCAGTTGACCGCAGGTTGAATATACTTTGTGAAGAATCAAGTGTCGAGAGGCTTTGCAGATTAGGATCACTCCTTTTGCAGCCGCTCAATGCCGCTTAACATGGAGAGCCGACGGCATTTAGCAAGCCAAGCTCGGCATCAACCTTGAACCCCTCCTTGTAGTAGTTAGTTATCCGGGCCATCGGGGCTGTCAAACAAGCCGCAATGCATGGAAATACGTAGTAGGTCCCTATTTACCGACGTTATTCGCGGGTAAATAAATGCGACAATCCCTGAGTGTACCGTACTACTTAACTACGTCTCAACAGAGTTGATCCTCATCGGCCAAAAGCCGGGGGAAGGGAGCCAATTTCCCAGGTTCAACCTTTGTTGATCTTTGTTGAGTTAATGATACGTTAGGTACTGTAGTACCTTTATGGAGTTCTTCCCCAAAGACCTCGGCCCACCGGCTTTGTTTGAAGGAGCAAGCGCTGTCGAAAAAGGGTCGACCCCATTGTAATGTCAAGTCTCCCCATCCGATTGAGAGTCAACCCCTCCACAGCCGTTTATTGTACCGATTTACCTAGGTATTAGCTTACCTAGCTCATCTCCCTTATTACTCCTTATCTCAAGTTTGTCTGTTCTTCAATATCTTGCATGTAACCTTCGATTTAATCCTTATATCTAGCAGACAAGACCATCCACCATCGCGGTGCTTTGGGATTAACTTTGCGCCAAAGTATCGAACTCTCGTGTCTGAGACCCTTCAACTCCAGTATCTCCACTATCTATTTAACCCCCCTTCTATCCTCTTCAGAGTCCTCGTGCGCGACACGAGAGAAATAGTCACGCCATGACGCCCGCCTTAGAACACGAGGATGCCATTGCGCAGGAACCTCAACCGCCAGCGCATTCTTCAAACCACAAGCATCGCAGAACCATGACATCGACCGACGAGATAGACAGCACCATCATTCGACCCGGCAGCGTCAAGATCAATGTTAAGGGCGCTTTTATCGTCGATCCCGATACTGCGACGCCAGCGTCGACTTCGGGCGCAAGCGCTGGTGCTGTCAATTCGATCAACGGCCGAACGAGTCCGACGCACCCTGAGACGAGCGACATTCGACTTCCATATCACACTGCCATTGTGAGCCATATTGCGATTGACGTATGTATACTCTTGCCGGAACGATATCCCCAGAGAAAGGCGAAGGCTGACAGAGGTGGCGCTACAGATTGGCGGTTCACTTATAAAAGTCGTTTACTTTTCGCGTGAGGTTGATTCTACAGATCCTGGTGGCCGGTTAAACTTTCAGAGCTTCGAAACAGATCGCATCGATGATTGTGTCGAGTTTATGCGCCATTTGCGCGATAACCAGCTTGTCAATGGCTCACAACCGGGAGAGCTGTGTGTGATGGCTACAGGTGGTGGCGCATACAAGTATTATGACAAGATTCGGGCGGCTTTGGAAGTGGATGTGTCGCAAGAGGACGAAATGGAGTGTCTCATTATCGGTCAGTAGCTCGACTCGCGATCACTCGTTCTACAGCTAACCATATCTTCTAGGCCTTGACTTCTTCATCACCGAAATCCCCCGCGAGGTCTTTACCTACTCTGAAACGGACCCCATGCACTTTGTTGTGCCGCAAGAAAATATCTATCCCTATCTCCTTGTCAACATCGGCTCAGGAGTTTCATTCCTAAAAGTTACTGGACCACGATCATATCAACGAGTCGGCGGCACATCACTTGGTGGTGGTACCCTCTGGGGCCTATTGTCGCTATTGACAGGCGCCCGAACCTTTGACGAGATGCTTGAACAAGCCGCCCATGGCGATAACGCTAACGTCGACATGTTGGTTGGCGACATTTATGGAACAGACTATGGTAAGATAGGACTGAAGAGCACGACTATTGCCTCCTCTTTTGGCAAGGTCTTTCGCATGAAGAGAGAAGCCGAATCAGCTGCGGAAGATGGCAGATCGGCGACACCAGAAGATGCATCCTTTAATAGCGCCGATGTTTCACGTTCTCTGCTTTACGCGATATCAAACAACATTGGCCAAATCGCCTACCTTCAGTCACAAATTCACAATCTATCTAACATTTACTTTGGTGGATCCTTCATTAGAGGCCACCGACAAACTATCAACACACTGAGTTACGCCATTAAATTCTGGAGTAAGGGAGAGAAGCAGGCGTACTTCCTCAGACACGAGGGTTATCTCGGGTCAGTAGGCGCCTTTCTCAAGAGGAAGCCCAAGAACTGGGGTCGGAAGGGCAGCCTTGAGGGTATGGACGACATTGCTGAGTTGAGGAGGAATCTTCGCGATGAGGCACCCAGCTCCGGTACATTGTAGGCCTAAGAAGATGACGGACGAGCCACAGAGATTTATTCCCAGAGAGCTTCAAAAATATGTACAAAGACTGACGGCACCTCATTCAATGTCAGGCTGAACGGAAGGGTTGATGGCAAACATAGTTGGTGGTACAACCACAGGCAGCATTGGCGGCGTACAATCGGGCGTTGTTTATTTCGGGATGGCGCATAGTCTTTCTTCTGTGGGTTCTAGCGCATTATACAAAGAAACCACCGGCGATATCCGAGGTCATTTCATTCGAAGTTCTTATTTGCTGTGGTTGAGAATTGGAAACTTGCATAAAGCGGTCAAATCAACTATCATATCATGGATGGCTACTGGCCTTACGATAGTCGGAATCTAATGAATCAGATTTGTGCTTGAATGGATAGCAAAACTACGTCGTCAAAGAATGATGTTTTGTGTCGTACATTTCATGCCCCTATCCTGACGATAAAGGATGAAAGCACACGCGACGCAAGCACACTCTTGTCGCGTGCTGCCCGGCATTTCTCGACGTGCACTTTTTTTTTTTAATTTAAGAACTACTGTCTTCTCTATTCATCTTTCTTCTACAGATATCTTACGATCCCGAAGAGCTTCCGTTCAATATGGCTAATGGGATTGCAGTCGTTGATAACTGGATTAGCGTTCCTGATCCCAGAATATCACAACAACCTTACTACACAAGCTACCCAGCACCTGCTGGATATTACCAGCTATACAGCCCAGCGGGCGTAGTCTGGGAAACGGAAACCTTGAGCTCTTGGTCAGAATGGAGTTGCGATCACGACAGTCCTTGTTGCGGGTGCGACTGCGACTGCCGGCCTGAGATTAAGCATATCAATTTGGGAGATCAACGTGAACGAAGAGAGCAGAATAAGCGAGACCCCGTGAGCAACTCTTTTATCCATGATTTTCAGAATACCGCTGACTTTAGGTATAGCCCGGCACTGCCAATGTCCAGAACCATAAGGTCACCTGCGAGCCATCGCCGTCCTTGCACGTCGACGGCAAGCCCAACGCTCAACACTACATGCGACAATTTTCAGACAGAGAGGCACTCCAGTACGATAAACAAGACCTGTCGTCTATGGAAGATCTCATATACCAAGCCGCTAAACAACAGCGTCACCTGGACGACGCCCGGAGAAGAATACAAGATTGGATAAAGATCATGCCTGGACTTGTTAGCGACAACATGACTCAAGCAACAGAGCAAAAGACCGAAAAGTGCCATTGCAAGGGTTGTAAAGAAGAAAGAAAGCGAGAAGCACGGAGTGCTGGCAAGGGGAAGAAACACAGGCACAAGCAAGAGGCAGAGAAGAAGAAGAACAGAAAGAAGTCTAGACGATAGAGTATGGGATGCAATGCTTTGAGTCAAGGGTTCCGAAGGAAGGAGGTTGAGGTTACGTATGGTATGAATGGTGAATATGTTGCTGGAAGCATATTTCAGGTCGTTAGTGTAAGTGACAAGGTGGGTGTTGATAAGACACATAGAGCATACAGAACAATTCTATCTAGACCATGGCTAACAAATTTACCAACGAAATAAGCACTCTATACATTATTCAACTTTGAATCCGAATTGTTGTCAAACTTGAAAGTTGTAAATGTGGTTGAACAAGGCTGATTTAAGCTCGACCAATCGGGCGTTGAACGGTAATCCCACCAACTGTACATAGATCTCAAACCCCAACCAGTCGTGGATGTCAAAAAGGAACACAGTCTGCGTGTACTAGATACAAAAAAGGAAGTCTGTCTTGTCTGCTCTGTGTTAATGGATAGGCAGAATCGGCAAAAGTGAAGGGTCTGGCCGGGGATTGAACCCGGGACCTCTCGCAAGCAATGCTATAGGGTTTTCCCTAAGCGAGAATCATACCACTAGACCACCAGACCTGGTCAAGCGAATCTGAAGATTCGCCCGTGTGTTGTTGTTGGGGATCGACATATTATTTGAACTTATACTCTTGGAACTGTTGTTGACTTCGATTGGTCTTTGGTGGGGTTAACTTCTTTGGCTTTAACGGATCTCGATGTCGTGCATGTCCCACCCGGCTCCTCAGGGAATAAGATTCTGCTCTCCCGAAACCCAATTGGCTACTCGTACACATCACCAGGGATTGCTTGCCGATTGCCCTGACGGGGTGCATCTTGACAGCACGCGACCGTCGTAACGTCTGGCTTTAAGCCTTTTGCCACTTCATAGCTAATTGTCAACACCCCAGAAAACATCGCTAGACAACTCACTACTGATATTGTAGCAGCAACACCTCGACTATATCAATCACATCATCACGGTAGTAACAACTGTTGTTGGTCATTTGTTTGTATTCATTTCGTTGTCATCATGATGCACCTTCCCGTGCAGACAGCATTAGGTATTGTTCATCCTCTGTTCTCTTATCTCCTCTCTCGGGCATAAAGTTTCTCGCTTTACTTCTAGTTGCCCTGTCCGACATCCTTGCCCTGGGCGAGACCCTGGCTCTGGCCACCGCTGGCGTTGAGGTCCTTGATAGCCAGGCCCTGCTCGTCCTTGCCCTCAGGGAGTTCAGCGGTCTTGTCGGCACGGTCGACGTGGTCAGACTGAAATAGAAGGTTAGCCAAGTGTTTGTATCGGGATGCAGTACACAGATAAAACTCACCTCGACCTTGCCAGTGCCGTGTGTGATGTCGTGCTTGGCCTCCTCAAAGGGGCCGTTGTCAGAAGAGCCGTCTCCGTTGCGAGGCATGATGATGGTTTGTTTGTGGTGGTGAGGGGCTTGTGTTGTTTTAGAAAGATTAGATTGGTTGTTGAGTGTGAATGAAGAAGGGAGTGATCATAAATGGCGAGTACAAGCAAAGTTATTTATATGTCACTGTGGTCCGGCTTTTTTACCTTTTGGCAGCCCCGTGCTTAGCATCGTGATGCGATGAATCAACGACGTCATTTGAACGACGTCATTCTGATGATTGCCCTGGATGCCCCTCCATTCTCCTCCATTCTCTCGTCTCCGCAGCTGCGAGAAGCCGTCTGTGGGGAACAAAACAAAGCACGAGCTGAGCAAACGCTCCTTGAATGGACCTGCATTCCCTTCAATCTCCATCGGATTGAACGGCCAGCCGCCATTTTCCGTCATCACCGTCTCCTCCACGACTCATGCTTCGACAGCATCATGCCTTCTCCACAGTTGCTATTTTAGTTAAGTATTCAATCCATATAGAAATGGGGTCTATGTCAGTTTTCAAACTGTTGTTTCCAGTTCCATCGAATTCCAAAGTCATCCACCTATTGGCTCACTAGATTGCTTTTCATGGCTGGCTACCAAGTCAACATTACATCAGTTCAAACCGCTCAAGTCAGATACTTATTGCATTGCTACTTTCTACTGTTCCTCGTTACTACATATCATGAACTGGTCATCTAAAGGACCATTATGCCATGAAACAAATCCATCGGCACTTCGTAGCCTTTACAGATCGCTCCCAAGACAATGTACACTCGCGCCTCAACAATGATAATAAAAAACATGGCCAGCCTCCTCATGGTCAAGGGACTACAAGCCTCACCCTTGACTTCAACGATAGACATTTAAACCTTGGCAGAACGGCCTCGACGGAGATTGGTCTTCGGAGCTGGCTTCACCTCCTCCTGTTCTTCTTCAGTAGCGTCCTCCTCCTCAGCAAGAGCTGCCTTCTTGGTGGCCGCCTTTCGTCCTCGCTTGGCAGGGGCAGGCTTCTCATTCTCATCTACCTTCGCAGCTGCAGCTTTGCGTCCTCGTTTGGTGGGAGCGGGAGTAGGGGCTTCGTCTTCGTTTTCGTCCTTGACCTTTTTCGTAGCTGCCTTTCGTCCCTTCTTGGTAGGTGTTGGTTTCTCCTCGGTATCGGATTCATCCTTGACTTTCTGAGCTGAAGCTCGGCGTCCTTTCTTAGTGGCGGTAGGAGCGGGGGCCTCATCCTCACTCTCGTTCTTGACCTGGGCGGCCTTACGGCCACGGGCAGGCTTAGCAGCAGGCTTCTTCTCCTTGTCCTCTTCAACCTTGACGGACTCGGTCTTTCGGGCTTTCTTGGCCTGCGGCTCATCCTCCTCGCCATCATCATCGCCGGTGGCCTTCTTTCGTCCACGCTTGCCCTTGGCCTTGGGCTTGTCCTCACCGCCTGCGGCAGCCTGTAAAACGTTAGAAACATGTGCCATGATATCAGTATAGCACTTACAGCCTCGGCCTCCTCCTTCTTCCTCTTCTGAACAGCAGTCAAGTGAATACCTATAACACCGAGCTTGTTCTTTTCGGGGTCCTATATGACATGTTAGCTGCAGTAGACAAACGGACATGTTTCAAGACATACCCCGTTGAAATCTTCGGGGTCAATGAAGCCCTGCGTAACGCAACGGCGGACCTTCTCCTGCAGTTCTGGATACTCGCTGCCATTGTCAGCAACATATAGATGTAAACCTGTAACTGTAACTTACTCAAGCTCATCGTAGCCGTCGATTATAGTGCAATCGAAGCTACCATCGCCTTGCTGGCACATTTCACGGACGTTCTCTAGCTGTTGACCAGAGACACAACCCCTAAGAAAAACACACATGAGTTAGTTACCTGATGTGAACTTTTCTCACGACAGACAAATGCTTACCAATGTTTCCATGCCCAGCTTCCATGTTCTTCGATTTCGAACCAGGATCCGAAGCGAAGAGTTCCTTTGGTGCATTTCGCGGAATTCTTCTTGCATTGCGAGTCCTTGCAACCAGCGCGGTTGTTGGGGGACACCTCTAGTGTGCTGTGAGCAGACTACTCCTGGTAGAATCGCAGCCAAGGTATGAAGCGGTAACTTGACTGTGAAAAAGACATGTACATCTTGCAACTTACCAATACGATATTCGCCCATTTTTGCGATGATATAAGACACCTGTGGAGTACCAAACGTCGAACAGAGATATAATGCTGGAAATGTCGATTCGCAGGCAAAGCTTTGGTTTTGGCTGAATGTGTGGTGTGGGCTCTGATTGAAGAGGCTGAATAAAATTCGCACGTTGAGTAAAAAGAAAAGAAAAGATCGCTTGGCCCAAAGCGACAGAGAGATTATATACTCTTCTTCTTACCAGTGAAGAAAAACAGGCAGCAAAAAAGGTGAAAGGGTGAGATGCGATGGGTGAAGGTGGGAGGTGTGAGCTCAAGCTCAGTCGGGCAGTTTTGGGGAAGGAGTGATCCGACGCGACCAACGCGTCCCAGCCCAGCACCTCAGCAGTGTTATCCCTCGTTTACCACTCACTGCCAACAAATTGCCGCCTGAAACGTCAGCACATTCAAGGCGGCCAATCTAGAGACAATAAATTTATTGAATTTAGGTGCACAATGAATATTAATGAGGCGAGTTCAAAGAGGGGGTTCGTTTAATTAAAATCAGCATAATAAAAATTCAATGTGTTGTGAGTAACCCAGCCCTTTTCTTGCTTGCATGCATTCAACCCAACGCCATTCTTTTTTCTAGCTTTGTCCTTTCTCACAGGAACGGACACCAGCCTATATACATTGCAGCTAAGTTTCTGGGATCAACCGCTTGTTTGATCAGTTCTTCCACTTGGCCTTCAACTCCCAGAGGAATGCTTTCAGTTGGGAGCAACCCCCTAACCTTGCGTTTGATGCTGTCCACAACGCTCTGAGGCTGAAGCTTGACGCCTACATCTCCTCTCCGATGTGTACGTTTTTCTTTCTGCAAGTCCAACGTTGGATCGTATATAAATGCCTCAAGAATGGTCATCAACGTTTCCTCTTGTTGGCGAAGAATGCTTAGAGTCAGTTCGCAAGACTTGCGGAAAGGCCCTTCGTAGCCGTAAATACCCATTGCAGCTACCATGTTGTGAGTGAGTCGGAACGGCACCCGCTCAGGTTTTGCAAACGTCAAGCCTTTGTCAAATAGACAGTTGAAATCAACGTGGAATACTCCACCGTTGCCTTCCTCCAGGTTCACGTTCTCACCATGCCTGTCGCCAAGTCCCAGGATGGTGCCTACCATAGACATGACAGCACATGATCGTGTATACTTCAGTCGTGCAGCGAACCATGCTGACGGATTGGGAAATTGTTGTGTGAACCAGAGCTGAAGAACTGGGGGGAATCTTCCCATAACCTCATCAGTAAAAATTCTGATTTTGCCATCGGAAAGACATGCTTCATCCATAAGCTGCTTTAGGACTGTATAATCGGGATAAATCTTTCGAGAAGCATAGAGGTTGATAAGGATATCTCGCATGGTTTTGATCCCTGGCACCCATTCGATAATACCACATTCTTCGTTGAGTGGTGTTACAGCATACGTTCGGATGTATAATTGTCTTCGACTGGACTCTACGTCCCGTTTCAACGATCGATTGATTAACCCGTTGAACTCCATGAGGCGCTGGTCCGTTCGTAAATCGTCTTTGGGTTTGATGAGAAGCATGTAGTTTTTTCCATCACTACCACGCGCTGTGAGTCGTCTTGGTTTGGCCAATGAACTCAGCACCAAAACGTCGTCGAGGAAAGAATCGATTGTAACCACGTCTCTGGAGAATGCTTTGTGCTTCTTGACGTACTCTGACACCGCTGGCAATGTTGCTGTCAAAGAGTTCTCGACAGGCACCACCAATGGACAAGGAGTGCACTTGTGATGGAATCGAAGATCTCTGCTTAGGCTGGCATGGACAGTCTTGTTGCTACGGAAGTCTCCGTTTTGACACGCCAACAGCAACTGCTCAGCTAATTTCTCCCCCATCCTGAGTAAGTGCTTGAAGTCAGTCGAAGAGCCTTCCACCTTCTTTGATATATTCCTAAGTGTTTGAAGGATTTGGGTTCCCCGCGCCTTTCGTTCCGACACCTGCCTGGTTGTCATAATTCCGATCAAGCTCCAAAGTGCCTGTCGAGGATGAGCTTCCACGACCTTGACAATTATATGCGTCAACCGGTCGAATACTTGCGGATTGGGATGGGCGATACGTGCAACAATCTGCGGCAAAGCAGTGTAAAAGATATACGCTGGCAGCCTATGGATGTACTTGTCGAGGAATGAATGCAGCAGGTTGAGCTGCTCCACACGTCGTCGGTGAAGTTCGCGAGAAAGTGAGGCCTTGCCTTCTGGTGCCTTGTCCACCTGTGCTCCGAGATCAAGCCAGAGAGTCAATATTCTTGGAAGAGTTTGATAGAGATATTTAGTACCCGAGTTGAGGGATCGCACATAATTCTCTATGACAAGCCTTGCAACCTCACCGGTGATGTAGTTATCGCTTTGGTCCTCGGCTTTAAGAGGCTTTTCGGCTTCGAGGATCTTTTTGTAGTGCCGACCGAGATAGTAGTGACCCTTCTCCCAGGCCGCAAATGTTTTTGGAGGCTGCTGATACTTCTCACGCAAAGCACCCGCATGTGTCTGCCCAGCGCTATCCAGCCACTTGGCGAGGAGCAGTTGTGCTCGAGCTGTCAAGAGCTTCTGCTGCGGGTTTAGTTTGTTGGTGTTAGTGCTGGTTGCCGTTCCTGTCTGTGTCATAAACTTGTTGCTCTTGATTGCTCCCTGCAGGACTTGAATTGCCTTTCGGTGCTGGTCTTCTCTCCAGAGAAGCTTGGCATTCTCGATGGTCGCCGCATCGTCACCCAGCTGCGAGGCATGCAAGACAGCGTTGAAAGATTGATGTAGAGAATTCGACTTTCGAGCGAGTCGTGCACTTGATAACCACAATCCAGAAATGTCTAGGTCTGTAAAGCTTGGTCTATGTTGGTTAGGATAAGAACATGCATAGACACTAGCTGGAACAAACATACCTGTTCAACTCCATGGCTGCGCGTCGAATACCAAGGAGATATTGCTTGTCACTCATATAAGCACCTATAATCTCAAGCCGTCTGTCTAGCAGCGCCATTGTGTTTTGCCGAGCCGCTTCGTCTCCCGCCTTGGTGTCAATGATGATCTCCAAGTCTGTAAGAATATGAGCCTTGAGGAGGAGATCGTGACAGGCTTGGAGTGATGATGTGGATGCAGCGTTCATTGACGATGAAATTTTGACTCTTATGTCGTTCATTATCGCAGATATCTCTTTGGACTTGTTTTTGGCCATGAGCTTATCGAGAACAGCCGCGACCGATACATTGAAGTCCTCAATGATGTCTCCATGAAATCGCTTGGTGAATTTGACGAGGCTCTCCCACCTCCCTGTTACCCATGCTGCTTCTACTGCATAAGGCATAATCTTGTTGTCTATGGATGCATCAGTTCGCATGCTCTCGACGTGATTCAAAAGCGCCTCTGTTTCTTATTAGCCACTGATTTGGACCGGGCAACCAAGTGTTCTTACCATGCTGGCCGGCTTGCTTCAGACAATGCAGCAAGTCGATCTGTGCATCTATGTTGGCAGGTTCCTTTGCAAGTTTTATCTCGTACCAGTTCTGTACAGCGGTCCATCTACCAGCTTTGCGATGACTCAGAATCTGCTGGTTGATGTCAAGAACTTGCAGGTGAGCTGAAATCCCGTCAAGTCCGTCAGGCTCATCAACGTTGGCATAAATATCTTGCAATTTTTGCAACAGCCGTACGCGCTCTTCTGGCTCCTTCTTCCGTTGCTCCATCTTCTGAGCGTGCTGTTCTAGATGGAAAAGCGCCCGAGCGTAATCATTACAATCGACGGCCCTTTGTGCGATTAACTCGGCCGGAATCTTGTCGAGAGCTTCCTGTACTTGGGTCAACCTTTCCTTATCAGATTCGGTGAGGCGACCGGCTGCTCGCTTTGTTTGCATCCATCTCATTGCATAATCCACGATGCGAAAAACAGCCTAAACCAATTAGTTTGTGACCAAAAACGTTGAAATCCAAGACTTACGTGACAAAATCTCTTCATATCCTCTTTCTCCAAATAGGACGCCCCTTCGCCAGGCTGATGCTCTAAGATGGCCAGAAGCTCGCCAAGGACGTTCTCCCTATCCTTTTGAGTAGCACGAGAGCCTAGCAGAGTATGCAGTACTATGTAGGGTAGAATGAATTCGGCAATGGCAAGATCCCGGACACGAATGACACGCGCCAAAGGCTCGAATATCAGATCAGCAAATGCGGTCTGCCCTTTCCGAAGAAGGTCTATAACGTAATGCCTCAGCCAATTCCCATATGACCTCTCAGGTCGGAAAATAGGATAATTTATTTCCGAGTGCGCCATTGGGGCAACAACGTACTTGGAAGTCAGGAAAGGGCTGACCACTTCTCGGACAGCTTCTGGCATCGTGATCCACTTGCGATAAATATCGTTGCCACCTGACATCCCGCTGGTCGCCATGGCACATGCAGCACTGAGGTCACACCTGCTCGTAAGCTCCTGCATAACGTAGGACAGAAACCCCTGGAACTTGACATCGGTCGTGGACAGAAAAGCTGGCACGAGGGCCTCCTCCAGAAGAAAAATAACAAAGTCAGTGGTTTCTTCTGTATCCACGAAGTTGTTTAGAATCACAATGGATTTCTGTTCCTTCACAGTTTCGGTCTTGCTGGGATCCAGACAGCCTATCAAGCCCAGAGCTTCTGTACATAGCCGCGCGATGTCTCCCGGGAGACCGTTGTATTTGCAAGCACAGTCGAGGAGAGATCGCACAAGGACCACAACACCAGTGTCTGATTGTAGACTGGCATCGGAGGTATGTAGAGCTGCCTGGTTTCCGCGAAGATATGGAATCAACTCGGTCAGCGCTTGAAGCGTGACGCCCGAGTTCTCATGGCGGATTCTCTCAGCAAAGGCTCCCAGCACCTCTTCAACCGCAAGTGCTGCTGGTCTGTGCTGTTCCAGTTTTGACTCTATATCTTTGAGCTCAGGAATATGTCCAAGTGAAGGCAATTTGACGATGTATTTGGCGACAAGAGCTTCAAATTTATCGACCAGCTGTTGAAGGGTCCGCCGAGCTAGAAGAGTTGTTGGCTCGTTCATTGAAGGCCAGTAGCGAGTAACGACAAAGAATGTCGTTTCTAGCAATGCCTCAACGTCTTCAGGGCCAAGATGGGTGAGCATTGACACCCAGCAAGAGAAACTGGCCTCCCTCAAAGCATCTTGCGCAAGTGTGGACAGTAAACAAGCAGAAATCTGGAAACAACTTAGTCATTATTTTCATGACATGTGTGCTTTGTACCTACCTGAGGTCTGGCGGTGCTTGCGTAGCCCCTCGACACTCTAATCATTTCTTCCATAGCTCGAATGTGGCACCGGCGCTCTGGGTCTGGAAGGTTCTGATCATTAATTACATCGAAGAGACGTGCCATAAGCCCAAGAAGCGAGGAATGAATAAACCGAGCCGTATGATCTCCTTTCTTAGATCGAGTTCCTTTACTTGAAGGCAATAGCATCTCGGCCATTGTATCCAAGGCTTTCCGAATCTAGGGATGGATCAGTTGGTCAAAACGTCAAGCATATGCAAAGGATGACTTACTGGTCCCTTTCTGGTCTCGTCTGAATCGCCGGCTGCCTTTAGCAGTTCCATCACAGTGAGTACTGGCTCCACTTGAAGAAGATTGGCAAGCGACTCAGTTTCAAAATGCGCTGATAGCTCGTCCAGGCGTGACTTTGCAAATGCCGCGATGTCTTCTGTATCCTGTATCAGAAGCAACGCGAGAGTAGCAGCCAGATTCGCAGGGTCGATCAGAGGCAGCCAAATCTCCGACTCTTGTCGGGCCTCGGCAATCTTTCGAATGACGTCTTTTTGTTTATCGAGTACAAGCCACGGCAATGCGTGGGTTTGGATTAGGAGAAGAAGGTCGTTGACAGAAACCTGAAGGAGTTCAGCAATCGTCCGGCTCATTTGAGGGCGCTGGACCATGTCCTTAGTGGCCATGTATGCCAGATTTGGCCAAAAGGGTTCAAACAGGCGTCTTGGGGTCACTCGGCGGGCATCTGCAAGGTTCAAGAGCTCGTTGAAAGCAAAAGCAGAAATTACGTTGTTACTGCTTCCCAGGTACTCCAGGAGTTTAATAAGTACCAAGTTGAGTTCGTGCTCCCAAACAACTGTGCCTAGTTGACCCCATGCCATAATGAGTGTTTCGGTCAAATTTGGTTGGTCCTTGTCCGAGATTGATTTCAATAACGCGATCGAGTTCTTTCTGTTGCGCGATACCAAGTCCTGGCGCTTCATTGAGGAGGCTCTATCTGCTGTACTCAAATGCATATTAGCATGAATAGGAGGCTCCTGAAGATGGTTCACTCGTGGGTTTTTAGTACCATTTCCCTCTGCTGGGCGAGCTGGTAGAACAATGCTCGAGGGGACAGTATCTGGCCTGGTTAAAGAAAAAGTAGCCAGAACTCTTCCTGCAGCTATCCGAAGCTCTCTTATCGAGCTATTCAAAGACTGAAGACACCACTGGCCCAACGCAGAGGTTTCTAGATTGAGTATCTCTGCGTCATCGCAGTGCAAAATTATCTTCCTTAATGCCATCATGGCAGTAACCCTTAGGCGCCGAGATTCGGCAACAATTGGAAGTCGGATCAACTGGGTAAAAAGTGCCTCGACTCGAGACTTCTGAGCAGTTGTTGCATTGAGGTTTGAACGACTCGAAAATTCGTTTGTCTCGCAAATAGAGCAACGGGCCTTCGCATCGGATGTTTTCTCATCGTTGGACAGCGGGACCTTCCTGTCAGCCAGGCATGATACCCTCGAGAGCAGATCAAGCGCGAGGCATTGACGTGATTCATCAAGAGATGGAAATATATTCCTGTGCCAGTAAGAATTTGGAAAGTAGAGGCAGGAAAGTGACTTACAGAAATTTCTGTTCAAGGTTCGGGAAGCCATCATCAATGCTCTCTAACCCCAGGGTAGCCCCCAAGGAGCTCATCAGAACAGCCATAGGGCTAGAATCTACTTGCGATACTTTACGTCGTTTGGAACGATCTTGTGAGTTCTCATCAGGTGCATCGTATGTTAAAGCCAGCGCCTGGAGGATCTCGCGCACTTCTGCATCCTCAAAATTGGATGGGTGCGTATTTGAGCTGAGCAATCCTGGTTCGGAACTGGCATTCACTTGCCTCAACATCTGTGTCATTCTCTTTTCAAAAGTTAGTGGTCAATAGAAGAAGAAGATGTAGATAATACCATACCCATATATCTGTTCCTTCAGGCATAGCAGAATAAAACATCGAGGATTCGTCTACAAGGCTAGACATCGCCAGTCGTCCGATCGACCTGTCCTCAACCGATGCTGCTATGATTATAGCAAGAGCTAGGACGTATGATCGACAGGTTTCCTCATCATTAGGGTCTAGCATAGATGATGCATCCAAGCTTGCTACTATATCGCCACAGAGAAGGATCAAGAGAGTGATAGCTTTTTTGTGAGCTGAAGCACTGACCCCTGTCTTTCTTGACAGTGCTCTCTCGATTTGGATGGTTTTCTGTAGAATGTGAAGTGAAGGGGCGGGAAATGCATGACCGTAGCGGTTCCTGATAGCTTGCATATCTCCCAAAACATCAATCAACCATACTGCACTCTCCGAGAAAAATATCACAGTATGGAATGTCTCATCCGTCGATATAATAGGATGGGCTACTACGTTGCAGAAGCTTATGAGTTGTTGTAAAGCATGTTGCATCCGGTCAACGGAATATGTCAATTGGCCGATCAAGGACGAGCTTTTGTCGACGTATCGACAAAGAGCAAGTTCCGAGGGTAGAGATAACATCGCAAAGCTCTCCTCCACATCGGGTACGACAAGGGGATCTTGGAGTCGATTGAGTATGTCTATTGTATACCCGTGAGTTACTGCATCTCCACCTTTGGGGACGCCACTTACGAGAGGTAATTGTACGAAGATAGAACAGAAAGGCAGGGACCATATCCCACAAACTCCAGTTTTGTGCCATGATAAGCATCGTATACTGAAGGAAGCTCTCAATGGCTTCTGTAAGTTCAAGGCATTGAGCATGGCCAAGAAGCCTGAGCAACTGGGGAAGAAGCCAAATCCATAGTGGCTCCTGCCCACGGAACATGTACTCTTGGCTGCTCACTTTATGCTTGAGCACAGCAGGTGTTTCTTTGATGGAGAATCTCAAGAAATTGATTGCTTTTAGAGCTTCTGTTCGTACTTGTGCCTGGTCAAGGAAAGGATCGTCTAATCGAATACCTTCGAGGACGGCTCTCGAATAGACGTATATGAGCATGTGGTTATGCTCAACTCGATCTTCCGGGGTCTTTAATAGAGTAGGATCGTCCTTGACACGCTGAATGATGGCAAAAAAACCCTTCAGTTCACTATTCTCATCTGATTTGGAGGATTTCGTAGATGCGGAAATGTTCTCCACGAGCTGTGCAGCTAGGGTCGATGGAGGAGGTCCAGCAGCATATCCACCAGCCATTTGCCCATGATCGGAAACAGCCGCTCTGGGATGAAGGTTGTTGGCCATAATGTATGAAGCATTATGAATACTGCCTAAACACACGATGATGCACGAAGGTCTTTGTAATGACAAGTGAGAAGGGCGCGACCAACGATGTGGGGCGACGCGTGATCACGTGACTTTTATATCATCTTTACCTACACTACCTACTAAGGTATTGAACCTACCTACCTGGTACCTAACACAAACATGAGTTGCAGAGAATAACTTTTTAATTTTATTTCGTTATATCAAGATGCAGAATCAAATACCTTCCCTAAGGAAAGGTACATGTTTGGGAAAACGCCCAGTTCGATACTAGTTGGCCGCAATATCGAAATATGCTCTTCCATACTCCTTTCCCATTGATGCCTGCCATCGAGTCTAGCGTTCATACCGCACACTGATCATATCGTGTGTAATCCCTATTTAAGCACGAGTTAGCCACGGTCATACTCCTAATAACCAGAAATTTCCCACCTCCAAGTTTAACTGTGTATGTGATTTCTGCTGATCCGTACACTGCTTCAATAGCACCTTTCAGGCAATAATATTGATGCATTCCCATGCGTCTGACCCTCGACGCCCTTTTGACACCTTCAGGAATCTTCCTAAGGTCGATTGAGAGTGTTCCGATCCGTTGGGTGGTTGAATCGCGATGTACCGGAGCCTTGCCATCATTGTTGTTGCTATAAATATCGACCTCGGTTTGAGGTTCATGGCCAACCGTTACAGGAAGATCGCATTGGTACTCTATCCGTGATGGCCTGCCCTCAGGATAGGATTCGCCCTGATCAAGTTAGCATGAAGAAATCACCGTTATATAAATTTGGAATACTTTTTGGATGAACCAACACATTTCGGAAACGACGTGTTCTTGTTCTTTTTCAGACCAAAACCTGCAAGCAGTCAGCAAAAGCGGCTACAAGAAAGAATGTTAGTTACCCACGCTTCTTTCGGGTTATGCTTCATTCTATCATATTTCGTCATCAAGCATGTTCCATATGATCGTCTAGCGATTCGAGACGCAACTTCTACCCGGGTCGACGAGGACTGGTATCGACTGAGCCCATGCATTGCGGCACCTTTAACCACAGCTGTCCAGCCATCTTCTGGTTGAAGGACTTCCGTGCGATTCGAGACGGCTTCCTTGACGCGGGACTTCAGATACTTGCTCTGGCCGAACCCTCCAACAAGAATCACAGCAGCAACTCCCTCTCCAGCCATCCTGATTTGCTCCTTAATAAGACACATGACATCCTTCATGATGGGTTCAAATATCTTGGTCTTCATATCGTCCTGTGACATTGTGTAACGATTTCGCTTCAGACCAAGACTAGGATCGACCTTGAGAGTTAGAGGTTCACCTTTTGGTGAAAAGGTCTTCTTGAACTGTATGTCGTGAGCGAGCTGACCTCAAGCAATGCCTTGGAGATACCTACCGTCTCAAACTCATTTAAGGCTGGAACAAGTCTCTCGTCGGTCCAGTACTTTTCACCATGAGTCTGCTTCAAATGTCGACGAAAACGCATGTTCAGCATAGATGAACCACATTTCCCACCTGTGCCCTCGGTGACTTCTCTCACTTCAACACTGCCTGTTCGCGTTACTTGGTAGGATATCAAGTCAACGGTACCACCGCCTGCATCGCAGACAACAAACTTGCGACCTACTTGCAACGTTGCAGGGCTAAGAGTATTGAGAGTATATAGCGCTGCGGCTTCCTGCATGTTGTCAGCACTGCAACTTCACTATCCTTTGAGCCTTCGACCTACAGGCTCTGAAATGAGCATGATGCGTTGGTTGCCACAGAATCCTGCCATAGCTGCGGCTTGTTCCGTCATCTGCTTTGCCTTGGGTGACCAAATAGCCGGGACCGTCACGACAAAGTCCATAGGCGTTGATCTTACTACACTTGGCGACAGACGCTTTCCAAGAACACTGACGAAATGCGACTGAAGACACGACAGGTAGACCTTGGTGAGGTCCTTTGCTGACTCTCCATCTTTCGTGAGCCCAGATGGATCGTCCAACTTCCTACAAAAGATTTTGGTCAAACAAGGCAGTAGAGAAAGAACGCAGAAAGACTAACAACTTGAAGTATTTACTTCTTTTCGCCGTTTCAGGGATCTGGAACCCCCACTGCCATCCAGCTGCCACCTTTCGGAGTTCGGTAGGCACCTTTGCGCTGCTCTTGAACGAGTCGGCTGCGGGCCATTCTGTCACGACATGCTGAACATCAGGCTACTGGAGTTAGCGGTCTCGCAGTTGAGGAGATGTAAGGGCAAAGCTTACCCGGCTCGTGTCGGCCCAGGCGACGCCTGAGTAGGTCGTTCCAAAGTCTATGGAAACAACGATTCTGCGACCTGTCATGGCTAAATTTTGTTCACTCGAGGTACGATATGGTGTTTCATTACTATGTCAACTATTTGTGGTGGGACGGCCAGGTATGGTCCTGTGATGTATGAGGTATGGGAACTCTGCCAACAGCTCATTCGTGAACAGCAACTTGCCCCAGATTTCGTTCATGTCAACCCCCAATTGGATACATCTGAATTCAGTACGTTACCGGAACGTTCTTTATTAACCCGCCGATGAGCTGTTCTGCAGTTTGAGCGCATTCAGCCACTCATCGTGGTTCTTTCAGGCCTCATCGCGGTGTGACCGGGGTTCATTGGGCCTCATCCAACCCTCACCGATCAGTCATGGAGCAGCGACCACGTTGGTCTCCAACTTTGACCTTTTCCAAGGCTTCAAATCGAGTGGGTTGTCATTTCCTAAGCACTGTCGTCTTGGCCCTCGATGGAAATTCGGCACAATCGAAGACCATTTTGACCCCGGCAACATGTAGTGGAGCTCACAGTGACCGCTCAAGACGAGACCGACTTTTTGCTGTCGCACAACTCAGCAAAGGATTAGGTACCCATTAGCTGGCGCCTAATGCCAACAACGAAAGTGTCCAACCACAACATGAGGCTGCAGTTAGGTCCTTGTTGGGCAACCTTGATGCCCATTGGCGGTGGTCTTCCTGCAGAGTGACCCAGCCGTGCCACATGTGGCTTCATTTCGATTTACCAGACTTAATCAACCAGACTTAGAGCCAATCTCCGGCAGTCACAGAGTTGCAAATGCAAGGCTAGATGATTTGATTTTCTCACTAATGCTTCGCTATCTTCAACTTCTAACACAAGGCACCGATGCCGCAAACTCGGGAACGGCGCGCCATCACAGAAACAGAGGAGAAAGTGGTACGACAACAGAGCAAGCATCTTCACACGCACACGGACTTGAAGACAGGTTAACTAGCGAGACCCATTTGCGTCGCTTCACTGAGACCGTACTGGACTCACGGCAACAGGAAATTGAGGACCGTGAAATGGAGAAAGACGAACTGGTACTCCGTGTGGAAACACTCGAAAAACAGCTTGCTATCACCCAACAGCAGCTCGAGGAGACCCAGGACCAGGTTTTTCGTCTACAACCTAGCAGAAAGGACATTACAGAATCAGAGGCAAAGGATGCCTACAAGACTCTTGTTGCGAATGTTCAACGATGGGTTGAGAACCGTGCCGGACATGTCATTGATGAATTGGAAACCGGCCGCCTCACGAGTAGACCAGTTCCTCCAGAAGGTTCACGACTTGTCACACTTCTCAGAGAACAATCCAGGCGGTGTATTAATGTGAGTCAATCTGATGAGTTCCAAATCATGGGAGCCATTATGAACTATCTCCACATTACCATGTTTTCCAAGTCATTTTATTGTCCTCTGGATGATAGTGACGACGACGGAACCGCTGTCTGGATTGATGAGCTTGAAAGCACTATGTCTCGGCTGCAAAGAGGTTTGTCTCGTCCCTATGGATGGTGCATCTGGCAAGTCGCTAACTTGTCTTGAGATATAACTCAGTGCAGGGAATGGAGAAGTGAAACGTTGACAGCGCTGACACACCAACCCGCCTTCAAAGCTCGACGGCAACGGTATATCAATTTTGTTGTCGATGATCTGACTTCTTTGCTATCAATTGTTGTGCCAAGAACACCTCCCGCAGATCTTCAGGCTTCTGTTCGACGGAGTATCGTGGAGCCTGCGGCAGACCTCGTCCACCAGCTTCACCTGGCACCTAGTATCTATTCCTTGAAGTGGCCAGCTCGGTCAGCCTCAACACGACTTGAAGTTTACCAATGCTTCAACCTTGCAAATGGGGGGACACTTCTTGACTTATCTGGGACCAAGTCCTCTTCGCCAGCAAGGCGCAATGTCATGTATTTATTTGATATAGCTCCTGGGCTGTTTGTCGAGAGGATTGACGAGGGGAGAAAGCTCGGGCTGAAAGCAATTGTCAAGCCTACCGTTCTCGTTACAAACGCAGGGGGGGATATATCTCAGGGGCCAACGGTAATGAGATGGCTATGGGATGGCATACCATCTTCCCAGGGTTCCAGCCGAAGCGCATCAAGGGCGTCAAGTGCAAGAAGTAAGTATGCGTGTCTATAACAATTCTTCAAGCTCTGACGCGTCTCAAGGGCCAGCTGGATCCGTCGTGTCATCATCAGGCAGATCAAGATATTAGCATGCATGGAAAGATCGCTTCTTCTTTTTTTCTTTTTTTTTTTTTTTTTAATGAAATACACAAAGTCAGCCAAATGCAGGGCACAGCACTAAGAAGACGGTAGACACAACAGGGAAACGATTGAATGTACGGAAATTTCGACTGGGTGCTTGTGCAGGATAACGATCTTGGGTATTTAAGGGAATTTCGTGCTAGATTTGAACGTTTTATCGATACCAGTAACCACTATAGCTTTCCTGTACAACAATGACTGGTATGCTCCGTACTCGACGAGGTCGAGGAGGCAAGGGAGGCAAAGGAGGTGCCGGCGCGCCAACATCTGACACAGGCCTCGGCCGGTTCGAAGTAGGAACTCGTAGGGTAACTCCAGGGTAAACTGGCCGTTGGGGAAGTGGTGGCGCTGATGCTGCATGAGAACGTGACTGCGAAGGTCGCATAAGCCGGTCAAGGCCACCGGGTGCAGAGTTTCTTGGGAAACGTTGATTATAAGCCCCTGGCGACTGAGGTTGTTGCTGTTGTGGCGATGGTCTTCGGCTGGTTGTCTTGTTTGGCGACGGGTCTCTGCCTCTGGGAGGAGTTGTGCGTTTTACTTCAAGCGCAGGTTGCTTGGCTTTTTTGGCTGGAGCTGGAGCTGGAGCGGGAGCGGGAGTGGAAGTGGGAGTAGGAGCCTTTCTCACAACTTTTGGCTTATTGCCTGCCGTTGTGTTAGTGGTTGTCCCAGACGGTCCCGGGTTCTGGGTGGATGTCACTGGGATAAAGGGTCGAACACAGTTGCTGATGTAGTCGTGACTGACCCCCAGAGCTCTGGCATCGGCAATTCCCAAGTTGATTCGGTCAATATATTCTTCCTTGGGATCACTGTCGACGATGTATCTTGGACTGATATATACCAATATGTTGTGTTCCAAATGAGGTTTGTAGACCATGAGTCTGCTCTGTCCGGCGCTTTGCTGAGCCACAATTCTCGCCTGGTCTGGACCGCCGTTGTTCACAATCCAAGGCACAGGCCGGCGGTACAATGCAGCATCAGCACGCCGTAACAAGACTGACATGTACTGTTTTCTGTATGCGTCCTTGGAAACGCCTTCATTGATATCGAGACGAGCTTCGTCTCGAGAATTGATCTCGTAGACCAAGCCTTCAACCCAGTGGCCTTGCGCCTCAACGACATTTGCGTACCCGCGCTCATTGATCTGCCATCTGTAGTCTACAAGCTTTGCAGAACCGATGAACTTGCTTCCAGGACATCTTTTTTTCATCTGCTGTAGATGGAGGTTGCTTCCATAGGCAAAATAATATTTGGTGGACTGGCCTTCGTCATCTGTATGTGTGTTCATTTTGAAAATCTTTCGGGGGCATCAGATTCCGAGCATCCGGTAATCTGGTATGGTATGGTATTGTGCGGTGCGGTGCAGGTACGGAGAGAAACGTATGGTATGTTGCGTTATGTTTCGTTTTTGGTACAGCAGAAGAGTGTGATAGTGGGTTGCTAACGTCGATTAAGATGTGATGGGAATCGGCTCCCTCACATGAAAGGAAAAAACAAGGAGCCGGCCAAACAAGCAGCGTCCACGTCAACTTTGCCAAAGCATAAACTGACTTACGCACAGTAGTCGCTCTCGGCGCCAACAGCGGTCGGCAGGCGGAGTGGACTGCTGGCCCTGGAGCTCGCTGTCACATTGGGCAGCAACTGAGTCAGATTTTGACAACAACTCACGACCAATTGCTGAGGTCCACGTTAAGACGACTTGTTAAACAACTAGCGAGCGGGTATTGCAGGGTATGTGCAGCTATCCCCCAGAATACCGACTGTTTGGCGAGCCTCAATGGCAGGCAAAGAAACCAGCTGTCGTCTGATACTGCAGCCTTGGAAGTTTGAGACGCTACGAGGCGGCCCAGCCCGCTCCTTTTCCATGTTAGGCGTTGGCACCCCGGCCTCTCGGCAGACCCCCGTACCCCCGGCGAGGTTCCACACCGGCATCGTCTGCCAGAGCATCCGTCCGCACCGCCTATTCGAGGAGAGAGACGTTTTGCTGTACTTAACAGCACGAAAAGACAACGCTTTTCTTGGGATGTGACGATATTGTACAGCTTCTGTCAGGTGAACAACTATCATCACTCATTGCCTGGACAGCTGAGAGCCAATTGTTCATATATCTTACAAGACAAAAAGGATATCAATCAACAGTCAATCAGCTTCATGCATGTGGAACAACATCATTCCTACTAAAAAGCACTTCGATACCTGTACAGAAATCAAGGACGGTCATCTTCGACATACATCTGCAGGCCCAATCCGCCACCTTTATCCCTGAACTTATCGACTCGGCCAACTTTTTTCTTTTTCAAGTCCCGCCTTTACATCAAGCAATGTCGATCATGTCGGTTACAAAGCTTAAACATTACAACTTTGGTGTTGAGATTGAAGCTGTTGTGAAGCCTTACGGTCCTGTGGAAAGTTTTACCAACGTTGATTGGTATCGACAACTCGCCCAGAAACTACGCAACCGAGACATTGCAGCAGTACATGATGACTGCTCAAAGTACAGCAAACACCCAGAGTATTACGGTGGCAAGTGGTTTGTCACTAGAGATGGCTCTCTGAAGAGAGAGCGTCCCATGGGTATGTAATTCCGTCCAACACGGCACCAACCGAACCTAGCTAGTCAGCTCACTAACATGGGATCCTAGTCTGCATGGAAGTCGTCTCCCCTCGTTTGGATACCAAACAACCCGTCAGTCAAATCCTCGGTGACTTCTGGGAAGCCATGCGAGTACACTTCAGTCCTCAGCGCGACATCTCCTGTGGAGGTCACGTTCACATTACACCTGTCTCCAGTCACAACAAGTTCTCCTTGCGCAGTCTTAAGAAGATTGCCTTTGCAACTGTCCTTTACGAAGACTTTGTCGCGGCCATGCTTCCAAGGGTCCGTCGTGAGAACCAGTACTGTCGCCCTAATAGCCAGAGTATGGGTTCTGGACTGCGCGACACGCTGACCATGTTTGGGAGAAACAAGAGCTCACTGATGAAAGTAGCGGCATCAATCAAGGCTGCAACATCAGAGATTGACTTGTGCTACTACATGCAAGGAAACCGATACGTGCTCTGGAATTTCCAGAACATCTTCCCAAGTCCCAAGACCGGAAAATGCACTGGCACGGTCGAGTTCCGAGGCGGTAACCAATTCCTGAACACAACCGGAACCCTTGCTTGGGTGGCATTTGTGATGGGTTTCATCACGCTGGCTATAGAGGAGGTGAGTTTAAACGCATACCCATAAAGCTCGTCCATTCTGACAAAAATCTAGGATCTCATCAACAAATTTACTATCTTTACAACGTCTGATGATCCAAAGTTCCAAGCACGTATTGAAAGCTGGTGGAAACGGATTCGCTCATCGGCCAAGGCATCCAAACTTAGCCGATATCTCCCTTCGGAGTATACTGCAATGCATACCCGATAATCGGGCAGCACTGGTTCTTCATCTACAACAGACTCGACCCAGAAACATCAGGGTCAAGGCAAATATTCTTTTGCTATTGTTTTGGTTTGATTTTAAGTTTTTTTCCTGTCTAAGATTGCATTGCAGGAGTTGGTGGAGTTTGGGCATATGGCGGAGAGACACAGCTGAACGACAAATAGGAAGGATAAATACCTGCTCAACCATCAAGTGAGAGTTTGAGCCAATAGAGGTTTTCAAAGTCATAATTAAACCATTGAATAGATCTACACTCATACATCCTTTATTTAACGCCAGAATTTATTATATCATTATATCCAAATCAATCATGCATCTCCATCCTTTCCTTCGGCTTCTTCAAACATCACAAGCACTGTGCCTGCTTTGCAAATATCCTGAACCGTGTTAGTGATAATCTCTGTGAAAGTTTGTTGTATTGACTCACTCCTTCCTTGTGTGCCAGCTTCTTGATCACACCGTCTTGCGGCGATCGGATAATAGTCTCCATCTTCATTGATTCGATCCTAGGAGTATGTTAGTCTTTCTATAAGAAAGGACACAAGTGAATGACTTACACTACAAGAGGGGCACCCTTTTGTACTGTTTGGCCCTCTTCAACTTCATTCTTCAGGATCTTACAGGGCATGGGTGCTGCCACCGAGGCACTTGATTCCTTAAGGCCCAGTGCCTTCTCATACCACTTGGGTGGCAGTAGGGCAAGATCCGTCTTCACACCATGCTGAAAGACAGTGACTTTTGTATCGTTATCTGTGTGTTGGGGTACAACCGAAGACTGAATACGTTCGAGTGGGAAGTATGATTCAAGCTTCATAACCTCGCCTTCTGGCTCTGGCTTGCAGGCAACGTTGGTGAATACTTGAGACGTTTCATCGTCTTTTCGGGAGATAGTAACGTTGTACAGGTTATGTGCTACCTGTGTCACACTGGCCTCAACAACTTCTCCTTCTTCTTGGCTGTATCCGTCCTGGATCTTGAAAGAAAGTTTTCGTTCGCCAATGTTGTTGGTCTCGCCAAAGCCAAGTGTGAGGCCATGAGGCCCAGAGTTTTGGAGTTCGAAGTTGATCATACCAAGGGCTGCTTGCGCAACGACTTCGTTCTTAATAGCTCGAGGTTTAAATAGCTGCTCTCGCCATTTGTCGATAAAGCCGGTCTCTACGTCGCCCTCCACAAAAGCGTCAGTCTCACAAAGACGCTTCAGGAATTCGATATTTGTAGCAACGCCGACGATCTCATAGGATCTTAGAACGCTCTCCATCTTAGCAATAGCGCGTTCTCTTGTATCGCCTCGTACGATAAGCTTGGCGATCATACCATCATAAGCCTCGGAAATGGTGTTTCCAGAACGGAAGCCCCAGTCCAGACGAACGTCTTCGTTCTGCAGCTCGGCTGGGAGGTACGCCCTTACTAGCTTGCCAGAGTCGGGAATAAACCCCTTTTCGGGATTCTCGGCGTAGATTCTTGCCTCAATGGCGGCACCTCTCGCGTTCATCTGGGTTTCCACCTCCTCTTGAGACAGAGGAAGCTTCTCGCCAGCAGCAACTCGGAACTGCCACTCCACCAAATCCAGACCAGTGACCATCTCGGTGACAGGATGCTCTACTTGAAGTCGGGTGTTCATCTCCATGAAGTAAAACTTGTTGGTATCCTTGTCGAGAATAAACTCAACGGTGCCAGCACCGACGTAACCGACCGCTGAAGCTGCTTTTCGGGCCTTGTCCCAAAGATCGTGCCGAGTTGCCAGATCCAGATCAGGAGCAGGAGATTCCTCAAGGATCTTCTGGTGTCGGCGCTGAATACTGCAGTCTCGTTCGCCTAGAGCGACGGTATTGCCCCATTTATCGGCGAAGACTTGCACTTCAACGTGTCGTGGGCGAATAATGTACTTTTCCACCAACATGACCTCGCCACCTTCACCAAATGAAGCCTTTGCCTCAGCTCGGGCGCTTCTGAGCTGTGTCAAGAACTCTTCCTCAGTCAACACGATACGCATTCCTTTACCGCCACCACCACGGACACTTTTGAGAAGTACGGGGAATGTGATCTTCTTGGCGTGTTCTAGGAGCTCTTGCTCGCCCTGATCTGCGCCGTGATATCCTGGGACGCAGGGAACGTTGGCAGCTGTCATGATCTCTTTACTGCGAGCCTTGTGTCCCATATCGGCCATAGCAGTAGCGGGTGGCCCGACAAATACGATACCCTCTTCCTCGCAGCGTTCCGCGAACTTGGAGTTTTCAGACAAAAAGCCATAACCAGGATGGAGTGCTTGGATGCCATTCTGCTTCGCTAGAGAGATAATCTTCTCGCCGTCTAGATAAGCATTTGCGGGACCCAAACCCAGAGATTGAAATCCTGAAGAGGCATGCCAAGAGCCAGCATCAATGTCGGTATAAACAGTAGTGGCCCGGATACCGAGGCGCTCAGCAGTTCGGTTAATGCGAATTGCGATTTCACCACGGTTAGCGATAAGGACCGAACTGATGGGCGTGTGCTTTGGCGTGGGTGACGAAGAGGCTACAGAAGAGGTAGAAGCGCTTGGAGGAGTAGTGGTAGATAGAAACCGAGGGAGAGGCTTCAAAGGAAGACGTCGGTTTGTTGCGCGAAGTGTAGAACGCATGATGGGTAATTAGGTTATAGAAGCACCCAATTCAGTGTCTGGGAACAGTATGCAGCTTGACAAAACTTCAGAACGAAGTCCTGGGGCATAAATAAGAAGACGACCGTCTACAAATATCTGCCTCGGAATATTATTCTCGATCCTAATGCCGTGAATGTGCTTATGCCGTCGGCTCTGAAGGTTGAACGCGGCAACAACAACCGTGACCGTATGGAACCGCAAGTAGCCGGTACTTAGGTACCTTCCCCAGACGGCAACTTTAGAAGCTTAGCTCCTAGATTCTGGGGAAAACAACCTAAAGGAACAGAATAAGACATGAACATATTATACAAAATGGTGTATAGCTGCCTTTTCCAATTCGAAATCATATCCATTCGGTTTTGGATGTGGGTATTAAACGAATAAACTCAGATCTTGTTATTATTACTGATCCTAACTTTGGACTATCTGTCTCATGGGACAAGAGTCCCCAGTTGCACTTCCCCACGACATATACTACGTCACCTGCCCCTCAATTGACGAATGACTAAGCCCAGATGAGTGCGTCGGGACTTGCGGAATGTGCCGTATAGCAAAGCTAGGCTGAAGCTCCTGCAGAGCCTATCTCATGCATCTTCAACCACCAAATTATTAAGATACATACCTCAAGATGGAGCAAATACCTCTCAACTCTGAAGCTTCTGTGGGTGATACTCACAAGCAGACAACATCGACACTGCCCCCGGATGTCGTTCAATGTCTTGATAATGCTCGCTTTGTACGCTCTGCCCCTCCCCCACATTGGTATCGTGTTCAACGAACAATCACCACAGATCAATTACTGACAATCAATATAGCTTCACTTGGCAACATGCACAGATAACATGCCCCATGTTTCCCTTATGAACTATACATACCTCCCATCTTCGCCTTATTCCAACTACCCAGTCATCATCATGACAACAAACCCGGCTTCTAAAAAGACATCCAACCTGGTGACTAACCCCAACGTATCGTTGCTTGTCCATGATTGTACGCATTCCTTACATCACTTCTGAATAAGGATACTCCAATACTAACAAAATCTTAGGGGTCTCCCACCGACCGCCGACTCACGGCCGCCGACCGTCAGGCGGTTCTCCTGGTCCCGAGCACCGCTCGAGTCTTGCCTCACTCCTTCTAAATATCAACACTGCAGCACTCTCTAGTATCAGCGCGACCATAGGAGGTGCCGCTCGCTTGGTGCCTAGTGGAACTGAAGAGGAGAAGTATTATCGCGAGCAGCATCTCGAGAACAACACCTTTGACGAGTCTACGACCGAGTCGTTTCAGCGTGAGAACGGGCTTGTTGAGGATGGAGGCCGCGGCTGCTTCGTAGCTGGCGAAGAAGTCAGAGTTGTATCGGTTGATATCAAGGACGTGCGCATCAGTGACTGGAAGGGCACTGTAAGAGACTGGGAGATCGTGCCGGAGGAAAACATGGTTAACGGGACCCAATGAAAAGGGTATGTTGCAGCTAGCAATTCTCTGTTCAGTATGTTATAATTTCACAGTTGGCAGACGGTAGTCAAGCACAACACGGTGCATCAATCATGAAGGTTGATACAGACCAAAACAACTCGTTTTATTTTTCCATTACTCATTTGCACTATTATGAGCCAGGCCCAGAACCAAGAAACTCCCGCTTATAACAATACCTTGCATATAATAAACAGTGGGCGCAAGTCAATCAAGCATTGGCCAATTTTCGACGTTAACTCCAAGTTTCTGTAAAGCCTTGCCGGTACATGTTTCCCGAGCAATAACTGACTCAACCCGTAACACCAATAGAGACCGACAGATGTAGAGACAGTCCAACCAGACCTAAGATAATCGACTTAACAAAACTCTGTTGGCTTTTCAAATCCACGTTTAACTTGTGAATTATCGAGCCCATTCGACGACTTCGAGAGCCATCATAACAAGGATCAGGGTTGAGGGAAGGATCCTGCATAAGTTAGCGCGGTTCGGGTCATATCATACCGAGGCGAAGAATTGGTGACTTACCAGATGACATAGCTCTGGAACAAGATTCTGCCCATGGTCTTCTCAAAGACGTTGTTGATTTGGCAAATCTGAGCAAGTTGAAGCGCACTGGGTGCTCCAGTGAGCAAGAAACAAACAATGACAAAAATGGGATCATCGAGAATGCTAACATTCACATACTTGGCAATGAGAGCAAGCATGGGAGCCATGATAGCAGTCGGCAGAACCATGCGACAAAGCAGAGAGGCAACTAAGAGCTTGGTTCCGATGCGCTCCTCCTCGGGGTCCAGTGCCTCATCCTTGGCCATGGTGTTACGAGCCAGGTTGGCACCAAGAACGACCAAAATCAATGGAACGGCGACATTTCCACTTGAGCGAATGGCGTTGGTCACACTGTTCTGAACGAAAGAACCCTCTTCGAAGAAAAGTCGCTGAAGCGACGGGATGGAAGCAACAAGGATGGCAATCAGCATAGCCCAAAGAGGAGGGTTCATGAATTCCCAGATGAAGTTGTTGAACTTTCCAGCCGCACGCTTAGTAAACCTCAAGGTGGCCTTGATAGGGGCAGGAGACTTCTGGTACCAGTTGCAAAGTGTTTTGGATGTCCCCCTGTGTAGACGGATGAAGGGTGATTTGACAGCGGACTTGGTTCTCGCTGCGATACCGGCAGGTTCCTCGTCATCCTCAAGCGATGGGACAGGTGGGAAAGAATCCATGCTACCCGCATTACCATTAAGAGGAGCAGTGATATCAGTTTGTCCCTGCTTGCTCTTTGGCATAGACTTCTTGGGCATATCGTCGTCGCTAGAAACCGCAAGCGAGACACGGGAGGTACTCGCGATAGGGGTCCGACCGGCGGGATCATAGTTTTGCGAGTCGATACTCAGGCGGTCTCCCTCATCCTCCGTCTCGCCATCAAGGCCATCAATCAAGGCCGCATTTTCGTGATCTTCATCGTCACGGTAGCGCTGGCCTTCTTCGGCGATCTCTTCCCGGTACTCGGGGTACTTTTCCTTAGGAGCAAGGAGGACATGATAACCCCAGCTCCAACGGACAAGCTGACCGAGCTGCTGGAAGATAAGGAGATAGAGAATACCACGCGCGCCAACCTCATCGTCGTTGTCGCCAGGAACCTTATCCCAGTGCAGGCCTTTCAGTGTTTGGGAGAGCGAGAGAACGAGGGAGATAGGCAGCGAGTTTGAGTTTCCGAAAACACCCATTGCTGTAACAAAATTGGATGCTCGCCTGTTGAATCCGAACAACTTTGCGACAACGAAGGATACGATCCATGATACGAATGTCTGGATGATGAAAATGACGGGAATAATGGCGAGGTCGGAAAGTTTCTCTGCAGTAAGCTGAGAGGCGAGCTTAGTGAAGACTGCGATCATAATGTTAGCATACCGAATTACAGTTGGTGCTGAACCATAGCATACTCAGGCATGGCGTGAATAGCATCACATTGAGATTGGCCAAGAACTTCTGCTTCTCAGCATCGAAGTGGCCGAGCCGCGCGACGATGTAGCCAGGCAAACTGACACATACTACTTCTAGTACAGCTTCGAACACCAGGAGACATAGGTGCGCTATCGAAGGATGCGTATCATTAGTGGTGACGAACGTTTGTAGGGGCAACTCGTATGCATCTTGAGCAAGTTGCGTCAGTCGAAAAGACGGGACCGAAAAGGACTGCCAAGAAGCCATCAAGTAGTTGAACTGCTTCGGATTGTTGTTTGTTGTAAGGTAAAAATCAACGATCGGCACGAATCGGAGGATTATCAAATGCTTATATCTCTGGGCACGCGTCCGTGGCGATGCAACTGATAAGGCTTTTGTCCGGCTTGAGTGGAGATCGGGCGCGCAGAAAAGCCAACGGGGGACTCAGTTGATATATACGAAAGTGAGGCCTTTCAATTGCGCCGAAGAATTGCGTCGTTGAATAGTATTTAAAGAAAATAAGGTCAAAGGATAGCGAGTGCGAAATGATAGAACGCCGCGTGGGTGGGTACTTTTCTGGGGCCAAAGGCGGCGGTGCCTCCTAGGCTTGGACCTGGAACGGGAACTGGAACAAGTTACAAGATGGCGATGTGCGTCCCCAATCCCCGATTGATAACCTTGAGCTAGTAGTTTGGAGGTACAGAACTATGACAACAGCCCCATAAGCTTCCTTGTTTAGGCTACTTTTGACTATCCTATCCTCACCTGTTGGGTTACCTCAATCCGGGCCTTCAGCTCCTTGGGGAATCATCTATCCTCGTCACTGGCTGCTTCAGTAATGTGCCAGCGGCCTGAATGAGGTAACCAAACCATTTCATCTGGACCCTTGTCTCGCAACAAACTTAACCATTGAAACACGCCCATGTGTGCCGTGGCGCCAGGGCAGCATCCCCCAAGCAGGGGTTTCCAATGCAGACGAGGCGACTTTCTGGGTGACGCCACAGCCAACTACTCACTAGTAGACTCCTATTGGGCTCATCCAGAAACATCCTTCTACAGGGCCAAGTCGGCCATACACCTCCTTTGTATCATCAAACAAACAGAAACAAATCACATCTTTTCTTTAACGATGATGTATTGAAACATAGTTCTGACAGTCCACCATCAAGACGCCCTAATGTCTCAAAATCGTTCAAGAATACCAAGTTAGGAATGTTGATCCTGTCCTGTCTATTCGTACAGGGGTCGGGTAGGATAGTGATCTCCCGGCACGACGCACTATTGCATTTAGGTGTGGCGCCAACTTTCGTCATGGTGTTATCTGGCACGTTGCCTGGTGCTTCACGCTCAGAGGCTGGAGTTGTTAGGCCTCTGTGATGAGCCACGCAAGCCGTCATTACGCATTTTGTACTCCTCGAACAGCGAGACAGTGTGCACCGTTATTGGGCAATACTGATGTTTGTATATGAGGCGAGGTCTATCAGTTTGCGTAGCTTGTCACGCGATGCTTTTCAATTCTGATATGACATAGCCAAATGTTCCTTACCAGCATGATTCGTTCCGATAGATAGTAGCCCATATGATAGCACAAATATCATCATTATCGCAGACAAATTGTTTCGTGCTAGGATTTCCAATCGCTACTCCGACAGAATATATTAAATCCATTTACTAATAATAGTGTTTACCGTCTATGTAGGACTGGGCAATCCTACATATAATAGCAACAGTTGTTAAGGAGTTGCATTCAATAATATGTGCGGGATATGCTTATTCGCCTTGACCATCAATCAATGCTGCTGGCATTCCGAAGCCCGCTGACTTATCCAAATACCCACTCATGGATGGATGTGATAGAACTCCAATTGACGACCCTCCGAAGTCTTGGCAACTTTGTTTTAGAGAATCTTCTCAGTTACGTTTCGTGCTTGGCCTCCGATGCCACGGCCACATTGATAGGAGTCGCTCTGTAAAGACATGTATCATGACGGTTTCGAAGTACCCTGCATTCTGCATTACCCAAAGAGATCGACTCTGCGTTGGAAGCTTTAGAGTTTAAGATGGCCTGCAGGGATCGCCGCTGGCGTGTAAAACGCTGCAGAAGGGTAAAACGCTGCAGAAGGGTAAATTTAAGTGTGATTAAAATTGGAAAGAAGCATCGTCAATTGTGCCCCTTCCATAATACTATACCAGAAACAAGGTCGTTAAGAAAAGGAGCTCGCGATAACTATCTCAGGGTGTGATAAGAATTCTTACGATATAACTTTTGTGCACTTACTTCCATTTCAGGCTCGCACATCATCAACGTAGCCATCCTCACTCAGACCTCAAACTTCAATGGGTTAAGCCTCTCTCAATAAAAAACAACAAGTACATAATACGCCACGTGGAGCAAATAGCTTGGTCCCTGAGAAGAACGTGATATTTGTAGGGCATGTTATCCCCTTTTCTTCCTGTATTATCATTGATGTTTGTTTATAAGATACCTCCTGGGATGTTGTTTGTAAACATGGGCCTGGCATAATCTCTCCCTCTCAAAGTCATGAGCACCTAACAAAGGACAGTTCACCCCCATTGGCTGATATTCTGTATTTATTGCCATAGCTATTCGTTAAGCGGCCAAATAGATCAACATTTCACATGTTTGGTCATTGAGGTCAAGGAATCAAGAGTGTTATGTTATGTACCTATGGTACTGATGAAATTCGTTTGCATGCCTAGAGTAGTTGTGTTCTACCAGCAGGTTGCTATCAGATTGCATTTGCAAATAGCAAACAACTATCCGCACCTCTAGATTATTTGGTGATAAATGATCTAGGGAATGTCCTTCTTTGCTTTAGATCTACCAGTTTAGAGTAGTAATATTCGTGTCATTCGTAGATGCTCTGGTTGTCTTTACCTGCCTATGAGAAGTTTGCATCTTTAACAAGTGCCCACACGTCTGCGCAATCCAATAGGGAATGTTATCAATTACATAGATAAAGCTGCAAGGCCAGGGGAAAAGTCACTACCAGACTTTGGAAGCCGAGAATCATCAAATAGGTATCTGTGGATGCGGATAACTCATTTCTTCTATGACCAGTGGAGTCGGTGTTCATCATTGCAGCTGGATAAACAGTATTGACATCAACTGCGAAATCCAGCGGACATACCACTCACTTTTACGCGCGGTATCTGCAGCCGTATTTATGTCAACCATAGCTCATGGGTATTACATGCAAGTCCCCACCTCGAATCAAGGTTTGACATCAAGTGCATTTGACACCGACCGCATTAACGTCATCGGTACAGCTCTCCATCGACGATGGCGTCGCAGATTAAGAAAAATCAAGGACGAACTGTAAATGAAGCCTGAAAGCAATTATCTCCTTTGAATAGTGCATATTGCTTTTCATAAATGCCACTATTGCCCATAGCTCCTTAATATTATCAGGTGCCCAATATTACAAGAAAAGCCGTGGAATGAGTTCATCATGACGCCAGTCAACTCGAATCCTTTCTTTTTGACGGAATCCCATTCTCATCATGATGGAACATTAGCCCAAATCTTTTGACGTTAGCGTATATTCTCGCAAGATAGACCCATCCTGTGGCGCCCGCCATGGGGAATTCCTCCTGCCACTGTAGTCCATCACGTCGGGCTGGGACAACCCCTGGAGAAGGTAGGTTTTAGCGCGTGGCAGCGGTCCGTCTTTAGGTGCCCATTGCCTTTGCCATGCTCTGAGCCTGGTTTCCATGCTAGATTACCAGGTAGATGCGTGAACCGCCACACATCAGCGTTCCATCCAAAACTATCACCAACATATTCAGCCTCATCTTGTTTTTCCCTCTGCTTCGTCACTGCTACTTGTCCGTGTTTCTCGGGGCCTTTTCCTGTCTTACACACGACTTACGCAGGCCTAGACTGTTGCTTAACAAGATTCGTTCATCTCTATTCTTGCATCGCCGTCGAGTTCGCCTGGCAACTTAGTTTTTAACCCCGCACCCAGCCATCTGTATCTTGCTCGACTCTACGGATACGAATACATGTGGGATCGAATTAATCGCTGAATCAATTCTTTACCCTTCTTTATTCATTTACGGCCAGGCCCTTGCTTTCGGGTGCGTACATAGCCTTGATTACACCATCAACACTGGATATTTTGCATCCAGGTTCCAGAATAATTTATTCTAACTATAACCTTTCCTCAGTCGACCGATTTTAAAGTCCCAACAACGCCACTACATTTCATCACTACCGTTTGGAACCTTGGCTGCCCAACTGTCCGTCAGGGCAATTGAACTCGCTTGAGTAGTATCCGTCATATTGTACAACGGACAAATCCACCCGCCTCGTGTCACCCGGAACAGACGAAACAAATCAGACACATTGCGAAAGGCTTTATTGCAGATACGGAACGTTATCAGGACATCAAACTTATTTGCCGTCCCTGGGATTCTACAGTCTTCTTCCTTAATAACAAGGAGAGTCCCGGTTGTTGCAGTACTAGGGACGTTCTAAAAGCCTAGACCGCCCGCTGCTTGACTCTTTTAGCCCCGACATAATCGCACCATCTGCTTCCCCTCCATCGCTCCTTCTTGTACCCGTCTAATCGATCGCGTCCCGTCTCCCGATCGAGAGCTCCCCGCGGTCCTGTCAGGATACCTATCTCGATCCTTGCGCCGCCCAGAATTTACACCGAGCACATCTCACATTCAAAACCTCCAAGTCTTTCCAAGACACAACTCTTACCGCCATACCTTACCTCATTACCATCAACGTACCGTAATACTCGATGTCCGCCTCCGACTCGGTTCCGGCCACACCGGAGGACTGGAAAGACCTCTCGACGCCCGGATCTCCTGGCTCTGAAGATTCGTCTGAACCCAGCACGCCACTCGAGTCTCCCAATCATGACAGTCCCCATGAGCCCCCTCGAAGGGTCCCGTCCCTACGGTCCGTTTCTGATCCTCGCAATATGAATCCGAACTCGACTGCGATGGGAGTTTTGGGCATGGCCAGACGTCCCGTGCAAACATCCTCCAGTTTTGCTGGAAACAGTAGTGCTTCGGTAGAAAATAGTATTATGGCCAAGGCGCGGGCACTGCATCAGCAACGCCTGCAAAAAGGCAACCCAGCATCACCTGTTGGGCAGTCACCAACATCCAGCGTATCGACCGGATTTCCTGGCAACCTACGAATGCCCCCGAACATGCAAAGACCACAGGCTCCACACGTTAACTCGGCCCCTGCGATCACAAAGCCTTCTCTAAGCGCCAGAAGGGCCAATTTGGGCATGAAGCTGTCCGATATGGGGGGACCCGGCCCTACCGCAACCACGGGTAAGAAGCGTGGACCTCCTGGAAAACTATCGGACATCACAGGTGACGCACCAAGTAATGAAGAATCGAACGGGACAGGAGGTGGCCACGGGTCGAAAATGGACGACTTCAAGAAATATATCGATACGGAGAAAGGATGGGTCACATTTGATGGCGCTGCCACCATCACACGCACGGGAGTCAACTTTGCCAACGGCCAGACCTTCAGCATATCCCTCGATGAAGTGGAAGTATTGACCGAGCTGGGCAAGGGAAACTATGGAACAGTCTACAAGGTTAAGCATGCCAAGAGAAGTCTTCCGCGGTTTGGACAAGGCTTATCAAGAAAGCCGCCCCCTGTCCAGTATTCGCAGTCGGACCCTTTACCAGTCAGGCCGATCGAAGACTCAACTAACGGCCAATCAAACTCGGGTGATGGCACCACAGGTACGGTTATGGCAATGAAGGAAATGCGGCTGGAACTCGATGACGCCAAGTTCACAACTATTCTGAAGGAGCTCGTCATATTACACGAGTGTATTTCGCCCTACATCATTGACTTTTACGGTGCTTTCTTCCAGGAGGGTGCTGTCTACATGTGCATTGAGTATATGGATGGAGGTTCCATTGATAAGCTATATGCTGGAGGAATTCCCGAAAACGTGTTGCGGAAGATCACCTATTCCACAGTGATGGGTCTGAAGTCGCTGAAGGACGAGCACAGTATTATTCACCGCGATGTCAAGCCAACAAACATTCTAGTCAACACACGAGGCCAAGTCAAGATCTGCGATTTCGGCGTCAGTGGCAATCTGGTCGCCAGTATAGCCCGAACCAACATCGGCTGTCAGAGCTACATGGCACCCGAAAGAATTTCAGGCGGTGGATACGCACAAGCAGGAAACTCCGATGGATCTTACAGTGTCCAGAGTGACGTCTGGAGTCTGGGCCTAACGGTTATCGAGTGTGCCAAGGGTGCATACCCTTACCCGCCAGAGGTGTCCTCTACCATTTTCAGTCAACTAAGTGTAAGTCGGCCCTCTTTTTGCCGGCGATGTGAATGCGGTTTATTAACGTAGAACAGGCTATTGTCGAGGGCGAACCACCTGCTATGCCTGAGGAGGGCTACTCGGATACAGCCACGGATTTTGTCAGGAGCTGTCTTCACAAGATTCCCAAACAGCGACCAACCTACGCAATGCTGTTGAAGCACCCCTGGCTTATTGATTTCACAAAACCCCAGACCATCGCAGAAGAAGCTGAGGATGGTGATGAGGCTGACAAGATGGCGGAAGCTGTCGGTAAAATTGCTCTCAACTCCACAACGGAGGACGCAGAAGTGGCCGACTGGGTAAACGGTGTGTTGCAGAAGGAGAGGGACGGTTTGAAGGTGGATGGTCCTCTAAGGCCTGCATTACACACCGCTCCGCTCGACAGCGTCAGTCCTATATCAAGCCCGAATGACGCCTAGGGGCCGAAATTTGGGGACGAATGAATCCTGTATTCTTCTCAGAGGCTGGCTGGACGCGACAATCAGTCAACAGAGCAGGTATCTAGTTGGCTACAAAACCAAGAAATTTACAGGCACCTGTCAAATTGATGCGATGGCTGCTATCAATGAGTCCTTTCTTACCACGAGACGGTACATTACGAAGTCTTTCGATCAGCATGTGTTATCTATACCGTTTTGATCGGTCTTTTCTGCGACTTCTTTCTTTTGAGAACACCCCTGTATACGCTTTAGGATGGCTTTAGACGAACCTGGATCGGATTTTGGCTTGTATTACGGAAGAACAAAACTAGGCAAGGACTCTTGGGAGATGCATCAGGACAGCATTTTGGTTTTTCAAGCATGTACACGACGGACGAAAACGAAGGTGGTGGAGCGAGGTAGGATAAAGAGACGGTTATGAAGGCGACTTCAGACTTCAATCGTTGACGGAAAGTCAAGACAAGGAAGGCGAGTATCAAGGAAGGGGCTGAACGAACAATCAACGAAATCACGATATTCGCATGCCGGCTTTGCTTCATTTTATGCTTTAGCAACGTATCGGCGGCAACAATATCATCTAACTTTGTGTTGAATATGAAGCACAGGCGATGTGAGCTTGTGAAACATTGAATCAACAAAACAACGTGGAGGTAGGTTAGTTGGAGTTGCAAAAGTGTAGGGGACAATTTGTATATCGAGACGAGATATAATTTGAAAATACTTGTATTACTGCAGTATCATATATTCATAACTATTACGCGATTGACGAACAAGCCTCTCGTAGATCTCGTCGTAACTTTCGCTTCAACATTTTCGAAGCATTCAATGCTTCCCACCAAAAGGTTTCATGTGTACAAGCCTGCCAAACACAACAGGCCAGTGACTAGATCAAATATGAACAGACAAAATCAAGCTGTCGAAAACACTTGAGCCGCCGCATTTGCGGGCATTGCAGTTGGCCGGCTAGATGACAATTGGGTTCTGCAAAATTGACGTTGAACTTTCTCGAGTTCCTGATTAACGCCTTGCCAACGCCCCCCTCCAAAACCGATCGCTTAAATAAGTCCTAAGTGGCAATTTTTGAGTGATAGTTTAAGAGTAGTCGTCCTTCACACGGCGTCCCTCGTAACCGTTGGTGCTGCGAACGCTGCGTCTGCGACGCCATGAGCGACCGCTGTAACCGCCGCTGGAGCCCTTGTCACCACGCATGCCGAGGCAGAAGAGAACGGTGGCGATGAAAAGAGCAGCCCAGGAGGCCCAAGCAAAACCAAAGGCGTAGCGACCGATTGAGGCCGAACGACCCGCACTCTTGAAAGCGTTGCGGGCGAGAACCCAAGTAGCACTGCGCCAAATTGTTAGTAAACAATAATCATTGGACTTGGGGAACGCGAGGGAACATACGTCATCAGGGACATAGCAACAGAGGAGCAGAACAGGGCGAACATGGACGCGAAGCCAGAGATGCCGGCGCCGAGACGGCCGCAGCAGGCAATGAAGCCGGTGAAAAAGGCAATGGTCTCGAAGAACAGGGTGATGAGGATGAAGACCCAGCCGAACCTCCAGAGGAAGAACTGGCGGTTGGAGGTAGTGTCGCCGGCGCGACCGCCGACGAGCGAGCTGGGCGCATTGCGAGGGTTAGAGTCCCAAGCTCGACCGATGACAGGAGCAGCGCGAGCACCATCGCAGTCGTTGTTCCCGGCGCCACAAATATAAAAGAAGTTCCATTGCGTAGTGTCACGAGCCCCAGTGATATCGCTCGTGTCGGCGCGGAGGAAATACGTCTTGTCAAATGGAGTGGTTGAAGTCAGTCCAGACAGAACAATGAACCAAAGGAGGAGCAGTGAAACTGCCATGAGGACCAGGCCTGCAAGGCCAAGAGGTGCGTCTACAGCATGTTAGTCTACGATTGCCGAGATGATGTGATGAAAAGCAAAGCAGCAGTGAGAATAGTCTTCGCTCCTAGGCTTGGCGCCAAATCACGAACATGATGGGAGAACTTACTCTTCGCCATGATGATACTTGGTGGTTTCAATCACGGAAAACTCAGTTGTTGAATGCACTGTCGCCCAAAAAAAAAATAAGTAGTAGGGATTAATTTGTTGTGATGGAGCCTGGGAATTGGGTGTCGTCACGCCCAGGATCACTGTCAGGGGAGCCAAAGGCTGCAGCTAAAAAGGCCACTACTGTACTGTAATGGGATTATGCGTCGGGTGTTGTCTCGTGCGTCTGGCTCTCAACAAGGGGTCCAAACCAAGTCCTGTATTATACAGACCAGGTGGTGCGATAGGGTGACAAAGTGAATAATCTTATATCAAGGTCGAACAGAGATGGGAGGAGGGAACCAAGAGAAAAGGGAAACCTGAGACGGGGAGATTGACGATCCTTATGAACCTTGTTTAGCTCTTGTGGATGGTTTTCTTGTTTTTGTTTCTGGAGCTTTTTTTCTTAGCGTCTACTACGTACGGTAGTTTCTAGCTAAGTGCTAGGGGTGATGTGATGGACTGATGCTTGCTCGCTCGGGATACGGCCTGTCGCTGTGGAGTATGTCTCTGTCTTGGTCAAATTGTACGACGACGACAAAGATATTTTGTCTCCCTTTGGCGAAGAGAGACACCGAGTTTCTGGTAGAAAATGGGTAACAATGAGTTTCTAAGAGGATGGGAAGGAGAGGGAATAAGCGTAGTAGTCCTAGAAACAGCTTGTATTACGGCTTGGGTTCTTGCTTATGAACCCAAGCGACTCAACTTGGCCCTCATTCATACGTAAATTCACATTCATCCATCATTCATGGAGGGTGTTACGTAGGTACGGTACATACATTGCACATGCATGGTAGCCCCAAGGTACCTCTGCCTGTGGCTGCCGTTCCCTGGCCTCCATGGTATTCGGGCATTCAATCACCCAGATCCCAGGGCATCTTGATCCCGGATTTTCCATCCATCCATTACAGTCCAGTGACCCCCCCAAGCGGAGATTGGATGCCCAAGTTACAGCAGATGATGCTCTCTCGGCCCTCTACCATCTTCCAACGGGTCTAGCCTACAATCCAATCTCTCTCCCAAGCGGTCGCTAAAGAGATAGAGATAGACCAAGAAAAGTTCCGAGTGCACAGCAGCTCGGTTATGACGACACTTGGCAGTAATGGAGAAAATGAAAGTTAAGCACCAAAGCACCAATAACATCTTACCCAATGGGGAAAAGCTGCAACAACCATCTGTCCTCTGTTGGGGTTTAGCGCACGTCTCCTCTGATGTCATGAGTCACAAAAATGAATGATGCGACAGCGATCCTGGTGAAAAGGAAGTGATTGTCGATGATGAATGGGGCGACAACACTACGATCAGCCAAGACTCGCCAACCACGGGTCTCCTCAGTCTTTAGCTAATAGGTTTGTAAGTCCACTATACTGCGTTGTTTCGTGCTATGATGTGTTGTTGAGACAGGGCCTTTGCCGCCGACTTGCTCTTGACGGAACTTTCCAAGTAACTTCCGTTGCTTGTTACATGGGCATCGCTTATTTGGTGGGCATTTTTCGCATTTCAGCTCTCGGTTCTCTCGATCTGTGTCTTGGATTTGAATTAGTTTCAGCTAGCATCGTGTACTTATTATGCCATCGTGCAGTGAGTGGTAGTGAGCTAGCTGGTGTTACATACTTACCATCACTTGACAGCTGTTGTACATGAGGAATCTTGCAAGCTTTTACCACAACACTACTGAGCCACTCGTGAAACTGTAACGCCTATAGCACAACAACAAAAAATTCGTTTTATTATCGAAACACCATCAATTTGATCGAGATTACTAAGAGCCGCAATGCACAAAATATTCACATTCACATACGCCAGAGACGGTTGAGTCCATGACTGTTAATTGACTCTCGGGCTGCCTCCGTTAATCTTCGGCCCTGATTGACCGACGTCACCGTCAGCCGTCTCTCTTTGGCCCCACGGGATCGTCCAGGAGCAGAAACTCACTTTTGCTAACAACCATTGTCTTTTGTTGGTCTTGACGCATAGGATAGGTTGTCCCTCCTGACTATCACCACCCACGCCTGCTTGGATCCCATCGACCAACCAACTGATCGTCATTTCTAAAGTGCTCGTGCTTCCACCGGCTCGTTCCAGGCTTGTCTGGTTGCCTGGACGCCGGGATAAAGAATGCCGCCCAGTATGCGGCTCAAGGCCGTTCCGTCTTCCGGCATTCTATCCACCCTGTTCCGCTCCGGGGCCGGGCTAACGTCCGGTCGATGGTCATCTACACGTGCTGTTGGCCAACCTTCTCTCAAGCTCCTTACTCATCAACATCTCACGGAATCAGGATCTGATACTTTTGTCTCTTATGACATTGCCCACGCTGCTCAGGAGGACCTACGCTCTCGGTTTCTCCAATGGAAGGGTTTGGCCGATGAAGAGCAAAGGGGCCGAGTACCTCGTCCTCATCTTGTTTCTTTTGAGCCTACACCAACTCTTACCCTTGGACGTCGTCAACCGCCTCTGACTCCGGCTCAGACGTCCCGTTTTCAGGCGCCCCTTTCTGTTACTCTCCCTAGCCGGCGTAGCCCCGTCCCTGAGCGGACCTTTACTCCTGATGTTAGGCAAACCAGTCGTGGCGGTTTAACGACATACCACGGCCCGGGGCAGCTTGTGCTCTGGCCTGTGTTAGACATGCATTCACCATTGTTTGCCCATTACTCGGTTATGTCCTATGCGAGTCATCTCGAGGCTACCACACGTCGCCTTCTCGCCGATATATTCGGGTTGAAAACTTACACAACACGGGATGAACCTGGAGTTTGGGTCTACACCTCTGCTGGTCAGCCGGAGCGCAAGATAGCGGCTATGGGGGTCCATCATCGGCGACACGTCACAGCACTTGGTATCGCCGTGAACATAGATATTCCCGTGGAAGGGCCTGAGGATGTAAACCCTTGGGCCCGTTTTGTTCCATGTGGCCTTGAAGGCAAGCTCGTAACATCCGTGGCCGCCGAGTTGAGAGGGAGTGGTGATATGTCACGATTGAGTGATTGGGATATGGCATCTCTAGCAGCCAGATGGGCGAAGATTTTTGACGAGGGATTGGTGGATGACACGAAGAGGGATGTTTACGGCGAAGCCAGCACTGAGCTTCGCCGTGCTGCCATGTAGAAAATATGCCTTCGAGAGGACAATAGGTAACTATTAAAATGCCGATATTCACAGTTTAGACTTGCTGAAAAGGGCAAAAGAACTTGACTGATAATAGCATAAGCGATGAAACAAGCATATCAGCTATCATAGTTTGGACAGGTAGTTAGCCTAGCCACCATGAACGTGGGTGTCGAGTTGTTGTAATGTTCAATCTTAGGTCGTTTCCACCCTACATTCAACAATCACAAAATGGCCTCGTCGGCTCAGTGTAGTACGTTGAGAGAATAACACACCAAATAACATCTATTTAAAAAAAAAAAAAAAGGAGAGGAAAGCCCTTAAGAAAAGCTCCCCATGCTGGCCAACCGTCTGTTTGATCTTGGTTTATTTGCTTCTATTTAAGAAATTTGGATTGCGATTTGGTAACTACTGAAAGTTGAGGGTTTTATTTCTTCGACCACCCGGTTTGCCGATGAGTTTCTCACAGTCTAAACAATTGTACGCAAGATCTCATGGCTCAACATGATTTTAAGAGCATAAAAACAACATTTCTCTTACTCTGCAGTACGTTGAGAATCTTGGCCGTATTCCACCACATACAAAACAAGGACCAAAAATGATTCAACATTGTCGTAGGGTAGGTCGCTCTGAACGTTCAAATGATGGGACTTGAGACCTAATGACACCACCGATTATCCCTGCAATCGCTTAGAAAGCATTATCGTCTCGGCCTGATCCGATAAATATCGTTGACGATTAGACGTCTAGAACGCTGCATGTGCGACCAATCAAAGCTGAATATTCGATCAACAGCACCCTGTCAGAACAATCCAGGGACCTGCGATCGGCCATTATTTTTTATTGAATTTCTCGATTGTGATTCTATCCCGCTCCATGCCGCCAACGGCCTACACCTCTTCACAAAATGTTTTGCTTCGGTCCCTCCGGATTTCGTTCCTGCAATGTACCTAGTTTCTTGCATACCTACGTAACTACAGAGGTGCTTGATATACCCATTAATAACCCTATGCAAACGGGGTTTTGCCAAAACAGCGAAGCTCAACTTTATGACTCCGATACTGACCCACCCACCCGCCGGAAACTTCGATGCGACTACGCCCACTTCGGCATCAAGCAATTATATTTCACTCGTCTTTTTGATATATTAGCTTGATCCTGCCACTCTCTTGATCTTCTTTCCTCAGAGTCAACTTGTGATCGGTCGCGATTTACGCATCGCCATGGATGCTCTTGTGGCCTTGGAGTTGGAAAAGCTGGACGATGGCGTGCCATTCCGCGCCCGGCCACAACATGTTCACCACACTTGGGCGCGCACATTTTCGTCCCTCCCAGAACTATTTATTCAGCCTGAATCTCTGGCAGAAGTCGAAAAGGTTGTGAATTTGGCAAGGAAATGTCGCCGGCGTCTAGTGACGACTGGATGTGGCCACTCGCCTTCCAATATCACTTGCACATCCAGCTGGCTTATCAATCTAGACAACTTCAACAAGATTCTCTCAGTGAACAGAGAGACCGGCGTCGTTGCTATGGAAGGAGGAATAAGGCTATATGCTCTTTGCGGAGAGCTTGAGAAACACGGACTCACGATGCCCAACCTTGGGAGCATCAACGAGCAGTCTATCAGCGGCGCTATCTCCACAGGTACCCATGGTAGCAGTTTGCGTCACGGCCTCATGTCCGAGAACATTATCTCTCTCAAGTTGACACTGGCCAATGGAAAAACTGTCTCATGTTCTAAAGATAAAAAGACAGACCTTTTCAGGGCCGCTCTCCTTTCTCTTGGTGCTGTTGGTATCATCACAGAAGTCACTTTTCAAGCAGTTCCGTCTTTCACTCTGAAGTGGCAGCAAAGCGTGGACACAGACTACAAGATGTTCAAGTCTTGGAATGGTGATCTTTGGACACAGAGTGAATTCGTTAGGGTTTGGTGGTTTCCCTACACAAGACGTGCGGTCGTCTGGAACGCCGAAAAGACCGACGAGGAACTCCGTGACCCCCCTCAAAGTGGCTACGATGGCTCAATCGGTTACTATGTATACCACAACCTACTGTATGCCGCACAGTACGTTCCACGAATTTTACCCTGGGTCGAGTGGTTTGTCTTTGGGATGCAGTACGGCTTCCGCAATGGCACTACCTCATCAGCTGTTCAACCCAGTGGCAAGGCTCTACTCATGAACTGCCTATATTCTCAGTTTGTCAACGAGTGGGCCATTCCCCTTCGCAAGGGACCCGAGGCTCTTAGGCGCCTCAGCTCATGGATCAACCACTTGACACCCAACGACCCTGACTACGTTCCTCACAACATCCCCTTCTCTGCCGATGGCCTCTACGTACATGCACCTGTCGAGGTCCGTGTAAGCGACACTACACTCACATCCAACGTACGACCGTACCTTGACATCACTGTTGATGATGGACCGACCCTGTACCTCAACGCAACACTCTACCGGCCCTATCTGATGGATCCCCCGTGCCACGAGCGATACTACGAGGGATTTGAGTGGCTGATGAAGGATCTTGGAGGTCGACCTCACTGGGCTAAAAACTTCGAAACGTCACGGGCCGATATTGAATCATTTTACGGCAAAAATCTGGAAGCCTTCCGAGCAGTGCGCAGTGATGCTGATCCCCAGGGTATGTTTGTTGGACCTTGGCACCGGGAGAGAATCATGGAAGAGGGCGAAGGCCTTGAACTCGAAGAGGTCGAGATTCGACGAGAGAAGAACAACAGTGGAGGCTTGACAACATTTGGAGTTATTTGATGGTATTGTCAATCACGTAAAATGTCACAGAATAAATAGACAACCACTTGCCACATGGCCAATGCCAATAATCTTGAATTCAGGATGTTGATACGATCTGAAGTTCTGTATGATGAACAAAGCATGTCGAATCCACCACATCCTTGACGAAATAATGAATTATTAAAATTACAAATCAATCGCTTGTATTCGTTACATGTGAGCGTAGAGGTATAAAAAATGGCAAGTTAATGAGTTCTCTAGAATTGGCGCAACTCACACCAGTCAATGGTGAAGCTGTGCCATGCTTTGTCTTAGATCTGTCGGTAGCCTGACTTTTCGTCGATATGTCGGTAACGCTCACGCTCCTTGCGGTCCTTTAGTAGACAGGCAATGCATAGAACAAAGATAGCGTCGATGCCTTAGGAGAAGGTCAGACATCGCCTTTGAGACCAGAAGTAGTATAGGAACTTACCAACAAGACCAAAGAGAACAGTAAAGATACCATCGATATGCAGATTGGCAAAACTGGAGATGGACGTGGCACATCCACGTAGCAGAGCTGAACTAGCAGGGCTGGTACATATCGAGTCCATGACAAAGGCGGGCGATGTGCTGTTGTTGTAACCGCAGCATTGAAACTGTGAATCGCGGGTCAGTACACAGTATTATGTGGCTTTCTGGTGAAACGACGTACAGAGTTCTGGATTAGGCTCTGCACTTCCGGCTCCTGATCAATGTAGATGTCGAAAAACTGCTCCTTCATCCTCAATGTCATGACCCAGAGAAATACAGCCACACACATGGTGAATATCGAGCACACCGTCACCATGTATCCCGAAACCTTGAGAAAACTGCGAGCGGGCATGACAAGTCCCGGCAAGGTTGCGGCGAAAGTGACGAGAATAAATATGGCATTGACGATACCTGCAGTCAAAGGGAACCTCTGATACAACAGATTTCTCGTGACAGTCTCTCCATCGCCTGCCATGTCGTTCATTTGGCTCTTTACGACCAGCGAGAAAACCAGCTCCATCACACCCGATGCTAGAAAGAGAATATCGGCGCAGACCGTCGTGAGAAAGATTTTGTCGACCATGTTGACGATGTCGTGTTCGGTATGCGATAATTACGAGTAAATGAAATCGGTAGCGAAGAATCGATATGTATTTTTTTTTTCAGTGTTGTATTGAAAAGCTCTGCAAATCGTATTACTGGAAGATGCTGTTTCTAGACGGCCAGCGTCCGGGATATTGAGATCTCGTCAAGAGATGGAAATGAATGAATGAATGAAGGGAGCGGCCCCAAGAGATCAACCCTTGAGAAATGCTCAACGAATATGTTCAAAGAAAGAGAGGACTGGTTAACGCCGAAGCGAGCACGGAAAGAAGATCCGGCCGAAGAGAAAGTCGTATAGTATTAAAGAGAGTTGAAGATCAAAAGATGACGAATAACCACTATGAGAAAGCTGAACCAAACAAGAGAAACAGACCACCCCTTTGCCAAAGAGTCGCGAAGAAAGAGCAAACCGAGACCGTACCATGAAACTGGACGTCAACTCAAACGTCTCGGAAAACAGCTGATAACGGACAAATTCTCTACCAATTGACGTTTCAGGAGGTGGTTTTTGAGTCGCCAAAGTCAACGGTCCCCTTGTGCTGTGGCCCCTTGTTGGGGCGGTGGCCAATCAGAGACTCAAGATGCGTGGTTGAATACCCTCTTCGGGACACTGGCCGTTGGAGCCAAGAAACTTGAGACTCGGCAACAGGTGGCGAGCGTGGCTCAAGTTCATGGCAGAACCACTTGAAAGGAGTATAATTGCAAGAAAACTCGTGGCAGCAGACGCCCAAGTTATAATTCTCGGATGATTTATGGCGTGACTTTGTTTCTTTTCACAAGATCTGCGACGTCTCGAATCACTGACACGTTTCGACGCTGCCCTAGCTCAGGTTGTAGAAGAACTCTACACATCCATCTCTACGGATATAACGGTCAATCAGTCATTTCGGTAGTTGGAGAGAGGCTCAACTCCCTGAGGCTAGGGGATTTGAGGAAAGGTTCACTGAGGGATGCCTTCACTGTTGCAATGTGCGGGTGCAAACCCTAGCTTGCCGCTAGATCAGTCGAGCTTAATTCTGCTAAACATGGAGATAGAGAGCCAACCCCTTGAGGGATGGTGTTGTCATGCTAGTTGATTGACAATGAGCCACATATCATTTTGATATAGAATTGATATAAAACCATACCACCGCCATGCATCCATTGACTGTTGCTATGATTATTGCAGCTTATTTCTTCCCGGGGGTTCGCTTCATTATGCACCTTCCCTCCATGCTAACAGCATGTCCACTGACTACTACCCCTCTCTACAACACAGCAAGATCCGATAACCTGCTTCATCTTCGATTACGTGCAGAAGACATGTCATGAGAGCACTCTCATTTTTACTTGTCCTGCAGCTTCAACGTTAGAGCTAATCAGGCGAACCCTTACGTTACTACTGGGTGACATCGAGTTTTAGCAATGGAGGGTATCTAGGATGCTATGCTGTCATAGATCCTCTAGATGTGAGCGATCGAACGATCTCACGCTTTGATTCGGTCGTGTAGTGAGTGACTGTAGGGTGAGGATCAAGGCATTCCTAAAGAAAAGAAAAGAAAGGGCATCGTCCCAATTGATACCGGATGCTGCCATGCTGCACGTGAGAATGTAGGCATAGTAGGTGAGTCAAACATATTCTGAAAGGAGGGAGGGAACTATCGCTTTCCTTTGATTAATTCTGCTTTGTGACTGCGAGGAGGCCTAAGCGCCCATAGTCCCCACATCGGAGGACTATGCAACTAACGATGCTGTCTTGATAAATAATAGCTCGTTAAAATAATACCCCGATAGGCACCCTAGAATATTAGGCTCAGTAAAATCAGCAGTGAGCTTTCCGGCAAGTGAGATCGATGCATTGCCTGCCTCTATTTTGGCATAATTCAACTCCAACGTCAACGCGAATCTATTCAACTCATTGCTCGATTCATGTTCACGATTGATATGGTCCATCGTGTTTAAGATACGTATATTGTCGACACGAGAAACACAAACTCCACGCTGACACTGTGCCATTCTTGGTGAGCTTCCTATTTAAGCTAAGCGTGGTCTTCCAGGATGGAGGGGCCGTTCAGAACCTTAGCTCAGTAGCCAGCAAGCTTTGACCTGGGCTAATTGCTACCATTCACTCGTCGTTGTCGTTTGCATGGATGGCTGGGTAGCTCCGAGGCATGAGCTTCCCCGCCTGTCGTACTGTATCTCGAGACCGTGCGCCTGAGTCGCCGGAGACTCAGCCTGCAGGGCTTGCTGGAAGTCCCATCTCGGACATTGGGTTCATGGCTATTCGAGAGTTGCTTTGCTGCACCTTTCCCACTGCGGAATGAAGCCTTGCTGGTTCCATATGCGTCTCCAGCCTTAAATGCGAGGTTGGACTCGACATTGTCTGACATGTGAGATACTGGGATGAGCTCGAAGAACGAACAATCAACATTTGTTTGTACAGTACTGTTGCCATCTTGCCGAAACCGAACTCAACGCGACTCGACTCGAGTTACAGCATCTCATCATTTCAAGCACGGTTCCAGCCTAAAAGTCGCCCCTTATCAGGGAACAAACAAACCCTGAAGCCGTTCCCGCCACCCTCCGACGGAGCCGAGGACTTCGTCCACCAATCCCCGGGCCATTGCTGTGGTGTTTTCAGGATTTCTCCCTTCGTGGTCAACAAATAATAACGAGCCGTTAATTTGTTTGGCACAATTACTCCACAGTCTCTGTACCCTCCTTCAACCAGGCCCTTGATCAGAATAATGGGATGGATGACATGAATGCTTCTGGGTGTCCTCAACCTCTTGCTAGACTCGGCCCCACCATCCTGACGGTAGTTTTGTGCAAGCGCATTAGCTATTTCAGCAAGATTGGTATTGAAAATTGAGATTTAAAGACCGTTTTCGAGGCTTCCCGCCAATCACGTCTTTTAAACTGTGAGGCATATTTGCAGATGGGGTTGAGTACTCCATGAGGACTATGCTAATGGTCTCGATCAGTTGCACTGCGACTCTGCAAGTATCCCTGGCGGCCAGGGGTTCAGAGCCGAGGAATTAGGGCCGTCCATCCTGAGATCCCCATCTGCCTCATCAATATGCGATACGCACTCAGACACCCTTGAAGCTCGTCTTTGCCTCTTAAGCTCATTGACTTATACCAATAGGGAAGATCCCCTCAAGAGAGATTGTGCAGTTGAGATAGGATAAATATTGCCGATTCTTTACGACATCTGCTATTACGAGTTCTTGGTGAAGCACGTATCCCATTGAGCGTTCTCGTCATGATCAGTTAATCCCAGTACTGATTAGATAGCCCCACTTACTAAAGTGGATGATGCGACAGGTCGAGGCCTTTGCAGACGCACGCGCTACAGGGGAGTAGCGCCATGTGTCCATCGAAGTCCAACAATTCGTGCTTTTCGTGTTCAGTTTGGTCCCCAGGATTGTGAGGACGGGGACACTGTGCGACAGATCTGCACTAGTCGAGATTTGATTGCAAACGGGAGGTTGGCGGCTGAATAGGTAACAAACATCAAGGCTTGTCCTTGATGTTTTCGTATTTCCAGCATCGGGCATTCTGGGTAAGGAGCTTCAGGAATACTACCTCCCGCCAAACAATACCCTTTCTTAATTACATAGCTTGCGTAAGTACAAAGTGCGAAAGCCTTCCGCGCTTGCAGCTGTTGTATGGTTCGTCACGCGGGAGCATGCGTGCGGCGCAGAATGGCCCACCGCGTTCAACGGCTTGGGATATCCTGGATAAGGCCGAGGCCTTTTCCTCTGAAGCAATGTCAACGCGTGAGGTCAACAGGATCTTTCCGCAAAGCGTAGAGGTACGTGCATCGGCACTCTTTGCGGTAGGGCAACACTGTGTCACTCGCTTGAAAGATAGATGACCGGAGAGGATTACTCCTAGTAACAGTGGAGTGCTCTATTGCCTGATGGGCCGACTCGCGGACCTCCGTCTCCACAGCAAGCAAGAACTCTGTCCACTATGTACGTTGTTGAGTTGAGGCTTTGTGGCAAGATTGCAGTTGAGACTCCAGTGAAGGTCGAAATGCCATCCCGGAAAGGCAAGTCAATAATTAATGTCCTTGCACAAGCTGTAACGGTCGTCGTTCCCACGCTCCGCTTGAGCAGGACACATTGGGTGACGGTTGAGAAGCCGAAACGAGACACTACCAGGTACAAGTTGTGCTGTATGTCATCACTGACGTCCCACCCTGTCTGTTTTATTGTCATCGACCTGAGATTCTTCTGCCTGGCACGGAGGTTGGCCGGTGCGAATTTGGTCGAGATGATGGATGGTCAGTCAAAATTCGTTGACCAAGAAAGATCGAAATGGAAGAACCCTGTTGATAACAGCGGTTTGCAAATGGCTCCATTCGATCAGTGATGAATGCGTCGATTGACGAAATCAACAGCATCAACGAGGATTTCTGCCAGGGCACGACGATCTTTCCATTGTCCACAGGATAGTCCGTGTGCAGGACGGCTACAACATCACTATCCTCGTTTCATCGTCGGATCGTGATGACGTTGGTGATCACAGTTGCTCTCCCCAGATTCGGCGGGCGGCTATGAACCAATTGTTGATTCTCAATCCGAACGAAAAGGGCAAATGCGCGCAAGCGAAAAAAAAAAAAAAAAGGCAAAGACAAGGAGTCTCAAATAGCGATAGCTCATCTAAACTACCCACTGGATACTTCGTTGTTTACATCGACTTGTTCTAATGACACGGTATCATCAACTTTCGGTCAAAATGATGCACAGGCGACAAACATATCAGCCATTGTATGACAAACATGTTTATTCGCCAACCTCATCCCAACAATCCAGGTCTCTTAGGAAAACACTTGCGTTCGCCGACACTTTGGGCTCCAAGTGGAAGAGCCCATGCAAATTCTCACACATGCTCTCACCAATATTCACCATACGCGTGCCACAGTCCACTCATGCAATCCCAGTCTCACCAGCAATGGCGCGCTGCATGTAGCAACCCACCAGACGATTCAATCGTGACTCCCTAACTCAGCAACGAACAGGCTAATTTGAAGTCTGTGGTTGGTCAAGGCTGGACCTCACATCCCTTCCATCTCGCTCTCATCTTGTACCCATTCCACTCGTGGAGACTGCACGCCGTCCCGCTGCAGCACCCAGGAAGCTTGCTACCTGCTGAGACGTTGCAGAGCCCTCGTAATTCAGCAAAGCATAGCAGGTCTTGCCCCCAGCATCCTGGACAGTGGTGATGCACTGTCGGATATATGTTGCTAAAAACTGGAACACCTTGCTGCTTTATCTGTATCTGTAATTTATCATCCCCTGCCCACACGTCGCTAGTACAAACTCACACAGTGAACGAAATGAAGGCCCATCTGCTCAGATTCCCCCGCTCCATGTTCCTACCCCCATCGGCTTGAACCCTGGCAGCTGCTGGGACTTTTAGCCTGGCTAGACTCTTGTCGCAGTAAGCTTTCGAACCCGCCCACACCCTGTCATCTCCGCTTCCGGTCAAGCGCCTCGTCAGTTGCATGCGGTGTCCAGCGGTTGCATTTAGCTCTGCCAATCAACGTTGGGGAACCTTTTGCTTAAGGTAAATTCCCTCGTCTTCGTCTGCATACAGCAATCTCTCCCCTGTCATTTTGCTCCTGCCCCCCTGCACTCTCACACTGACCCTTAGAACACGCGCACTTGCACTTGCCTCGCCTGGCCTCGCTTCTTTCCCGTCCGCGCCACCCACGTTCTCCACAGCCCGCACTCAGAAAAAGGAAAGGCCCCCCCGACCTGAACCCAGACACACCCAGACCAGACTCGAAGCAGCAAACAAGCAAGAGCAATACCCAACCAGGTTTCTGCGACAATAAACGCAGAGCACCGCAGCTCCCTCCATTTTCTCTCCGCTCCCACTCCAGATACAGTATAGATCCATCGGCACCACGCTCAAAGCAGTATCTCCACCACTCTTTTTTTGTTCTTTCTGTCGCGGTTGTTCGTGGTAATACAAACAAGAGCTCTTCCTTTTTTGAGATAATTCAATCCAAGCCCATTTGAGACGATTATCAACTCTCAGACGCCATGGCCGACATCACAGATCAGCACGACCAGACCTCTCCCACCGAGCTCGATGAGCAGAATGTTGGCAATGGCAACGCCACAGAGTCTCGCGGTATCAAGCGTCAGCGTCCTTCAGCTGGCGACGACGACGACGACGATGATGAGAAGGGCAGCCGTGAGCGTCGCAAGATTGAGATCAAGTTCATCAGCGACAAGTCTCGCCGGCATATCACATTCTCCAAGCGTAAGGCTGGAATCATGAAGAAGGTATGTTTGCACTTTGATGTTCTCCAAACCCAATAAAGAGGAAGCTTCCTGCAACGACCGAGGTATCGTAAATCGCGGTATAATGCGCATCAAACCCACCACGCGCAATTGCCGACGTGATTTCAGCACAAAAACTCTGCGCGGAACAGATTATGACCTCCCAAATCCTCTGTCGCGTCCAACCAGGGCTCTGCAAGCTTCCGCGTCAACTCACTTGTGCCCGTCGCAGACCATTATACAATGCACAGATCACTAACATTGCTTGCTCCATAGGCTTACGAGCTTTCTGTTCTTACAGGCACTCAGGTGCTACTTCTTGTCGTGTCCGAAACTGGTCTCGTCTATACCTTCACCACACCTAAGCTTCAGCCTCTTGTGACCAAGTCTGAAGGCAAGAACTTGATTCAGGTACGTGACGGTTGTTTTGCTATTCGTGTCGCGTTTTGCGATTCAGAAACCCCAGATGTGCTATGCAATATATACTGACTCTTATCAGGCATGCCTTAATGCACCCGAGCCCACCCCAGGCAACGAGAACGGTGTTGATGGCGGCGACCAAGTCGAGTCTCCCGAAGAGCCCCCTAACCAACACCTTCCTCCTCAGGGCAACCGGCCTGGTATGCCCCAGAACCCTCATATGCCGCCCAACAACTATATGCCCAACATGCCCATGGATCCCCAGCAAGCTTTGGCTTACCAAAGCTACGTGCAACGAAATCAGGCTTACGGCTCCGGCATACCTCCTCAGCCAGGTATGCCCGCCAACAGCCATCACCAGTCGTAATGACGCCCGACTCCAAAGATGGGTCTTTGGCCACTGATACCCGGCGCTCAATGCTTTTTCGAGACATTGCCTCTCGACCTTGCACGCCACTCCTGGACATGAGAATTGTTCTGTGAGGACCTGGTGAAAAGGCGTTGGTTGGTGTTGATTTGCCACCTGCATTTTCTCTTTGATTTTTCTTTTATCTCCAGTTTACATGGCTTTTAAGCCACAGCGAAGTCTGACGAGACCCTTCACTGGATTATAATAATAGCATCTGGTAGCGGTGTACTTGTGGGCTATAGTGCTTGTTTTTGGTGGCCCAGACAGCTCCGCCCTTCAGGCTTGAAACCACTGGCATAAAGCCCATGTTGGCGAAGCCTGTCGCGGCTCGCCTTACATATCATTGTTTCTTGCGGCCAATGACCGCGGCAGCGGAAATATCGCCGTAGGGCGTTCACACGTGGTTCAGGCGTGTTTGAGCATACACATGTTGTCACTGAAGAGTATAAGGGGCGCGATTTTGGCTTGTGAATTACTGCAGAGTGTTTGGGATGGCACTGAAATGGATGGGATGAAGGCATGAACATTATGGAATGGGAACCTTATGCAGATTTGACGTCTATCATGGGCCAAAAAGAGACAAAAGGATGCTTCTACACGAGAGGTTTCGATACCCAAAAGCTCTAATCGTTTGACTGTTGCGTAGTGAACGCGCCGAGTTCTTGATATTAACATCAATGATCCTTTGTAAATCTTGAAAGCGATCAGGTGTGTAAATCAGGAGCTGGCCTGGCGTGACGGACGCAATAACATTGTTCATGGAGTTCTTAGCTGACGACGGATTTGCCCAAGGCGGCTATTCCACTTGTAAAATACCACAGGTTTTTAAGCAACCAACATGTAAGTTGGGTCACTTTAATTGACTTTGCTTGGCTGCCAGATAAGGAAAGTTTTTAAACTACAAATCGGCACTACCGACGACAATTGCCATGTTCTTTTAAAACTTCAGGGTCCTCTTTTGCGACTAGAACAGAAAGAAGGAAAGTTCATGTTGTGAATGTGTATCGCGATGGATCTCTTACCGCATTAGGTGACTTGGTCGCTCATGATTGGGAGGTTACGTGGAGGGGGAAAATCATCTGTGCCTGGCCGGGCTTTACTGTTTTTGTCATAATTTATTTTCTTATTCCTCCTGCACGTAATTTGTACGTGGATGGATCGAGACGAGATGACGTCTAGTTAGAGAAATTTGAGCACATCACCTACGACAGAAGGGGTTTGGGGTCGGCCTTTCCCTTCTTTGGAGGTGAGGTGGGGATGAGGAATCAGGTGGGTTTAGTTGGGATGAGAATGGGGTAATGAACGTGATTATAATTCTGGATAATTGTTAAGCTCAAAGATTGTTAGCTAATGGTAGGATATGCCGATGCTGATGTGGCCCAGTAGTAGATTCGCGGTGAAGTTGTGGGTTTATTGTTACTTCTTAGCCACACCCTCGCCGATCAAAACGGCGGCTACAACGGGATAACTTGATAATCCTTCAAGAACCCGGACGACTCCGCTGATCAGTATTACTCAAAGGACGATCAACTGGCGCGTTTTCAGAGACTATCCAAAGCTGTCTATTCACCGTTATTTCCCTGATATATGTAGTCCGCTGTGCATACTGACAACATCAAGGGTATATAACAGAAGGAACTTGACACTTGACCAAGTAATCGACCTCATGGAGAAAACTGCTAATGCTCAGAAGTGAATCGAATTTCAATATTGCCCTGAAGCCCTTCTATTCACTTCACTGTGTGTATCCTTATTGTGTCTTTATTGGTGGCGGAGTTTGTCATTGAGGAGAGCTCACCGCTTTTGTCTTGATGATGTGAAATAGGGGAGGAAAAGAACGCAAGATGTCCAAATTTCCTGGATGTTATCGGCTTTGTATTTTGAATTCCCATTTAGATCTGTCAGCATGTACAATCTTGACACTTTGCTGCAGTCTCAGCCTGGATAACAACCTGCCTTTAGACTTGGCCAAGGTACCACCAGGACACACAAAGTACGGTGAAACGGGGACTATTTTAACTATCTACTGCTATAAGACATCTTGCCCCTTCGTAAACAACCTAAAAGCGTCGAGAATCATGGCTGCTCCATATTGTCTTCATACCCTCGTACTGCCAGCACTGGCACTTGCACATTTTGTATGGGCCGTTTTCGCCATGAGAGATACTCATTACCTACCTCTAACGTAGCGAAAGAAGAAAAAACACAATATGGACTTGATCAGTTCGAGGAATTAGAATAAGTCTCAGCCATTGCTAGGCTTTCCTCACGTTTGGGCTTCGTTCTGACATCAGAGGATATAGGAGACAATAAACTCGACAAAACAGAAGAGGATCCTATTGACTTACGCAACACGCACAGAAAGACTTGCTTATAGCTGAAGAAAGCCAGAAGGAGTAACATAGATTTAATGTGTCTTGTTGTCGATATCGAAATGCTTTTCTACTTGGGAAGCTTTACAATACGCTGCGATAAGCCCGCTGGCTACTACGTTGTACATTAGAGTTGATAGGCAATAGTCATATCCTGTCGGGAATCTATTGATAAGGTACAGAGGTACAGAATTAGAATGGTAGGCAGGTAGGTTAGCTAGTACCTTGGTAAGTTCCATCTACTTTTATGCTGTACACTGATTGATAAGGAAGGTACATCTTTTGCTGATAATATCACTAATACCACTTTGGCATAGCCTGTACATTTGCGCAGGTGAGCAGGTTTGAGAAGGTTTTCATGCCAGACCCCGCTAGGTACCAGTACTTGAGACACTGCCTCGAACCTCATCAGAAGGATCGAATTAGTACGCAAAGAAATCGACAAGGAAATCATGGTGATAATGAATAATCAATGACCTTCTTAGGTGAGTAGACCCACGATTGTGAACGTATAACCTGGATCATTCCATGTATAATAAATAGCAATCAAAACCTCAGACGCCAAATAAACATCGCTCGTAATTCCAGATTTCGAATTCCAGTAATTGCGTGGAATAACTGATGTGAGTATATTTAATGCTCGACTCCTGATGTGTATCGACCGACTGCTAGGCTACCGGCAAAGACACCAGCCAGCACCGAAAGAAAGTAACCGACATTCATTGTCATGACAGCCAACATGCTGCGAAATAGAATTAGCATTAAAGTCAAAAAAGGAATATGTAAATCAGACAGGGATAGATAGACGTACAGCAGGTACCCAATACCGACAATCACAGTATCGAGACATGCGCGAATAGGGTCAACACTGAACCGCCATGGTCTCGTCGCAGCTCTCTTCCTCTCAACAACGACAACCGTTTCCTCAACTCCGTTCTCCGTGAGGGTCATGCGGCGTGCATCCGGGCTAGAAGCTATCTGCTCCGATAGCGGAATTTTGCCATTGACAGCGACGTAGCGGCGTGCAGCTTCGCGGTCAAGCCAGCGGGCTTCTTGGATGGCTTTCAAAGCAACAAGTACTCGTGCAACAATCGCAAGGACGGCGAGAAAGATGCATGTTCCTGCATAGGCGCCGGCGTTGTTTGGTGTCCAGGAACTTGCGTAGAGAGGTGTGCGGGTTTCGGTTTGGAAGACCATTGTCATCATGTTACTCGAACTGTGGGAGTCGGAGTGCGAGGAGGAGCCGGACGCGTCGCCGCCCATGTCCATACCGGGCATATCGCCGTGTCTCGGGAAGTTCATATTGGAGGTGATATTGTTGATATGGATTATGTTCGGTATGGGCGCGTGTATGATACGAATAGATGGGCAACTGGATTCGTAGTTTGCCGGATACAGGAGCGTCGATGTAGGTGTATCAAGTCGCTGAACTTGGGATAATTGTTCGAATTTTGCAATGTATTGTAGTGTTGGTGAACCAGAGATCCAGAAGAGGAAGTGAAAAGAGGACAGGGAATATTGGAGGAGTTGCACAGAGTGAAAAGTATTAATGAAGAACAGAGGAAACCGGCACGTTCAAATACGAAGCTGGATTAAATAATGCAACGTTTTTGTATTTAACGGCCGCTGGGGAAAGCAATTTACGGTAGTAGGTATGTTTTAAGAGAGTTTCCTGCTCAAACGGACTCATCTCCTCAGTCTGGGGTTATCCGTGCAGAAGTACCAGTACATACCCCATGCACCATTTAAACACCAGACAGATAGATCGATGTTCAACATACTCATGTTCGAATAAAATACATGATAAAAAAATCAGGCGAATTTATCATCTTGACATCTTTGGTATGTTTGCATCGAGTGAATTATCAGCAGAACATGCCACCAAAAAGTCAGTACCCAGCCCGCATTCCAGTGACAAAGTGACGGCATATGCCTCATGGGAATGCCTTCGCTCACGATTCCTGGCACAAGTGAACCGTCCAGAAGCCGATCAGTTTCATCGACGCCCCCATTAAGACGCAAACCTTTAGAAGGCTAATATATGCTTATTTTCGTGGTCTGATTAAAAAGCAATTTGTACAACGGATTGGATATTAACCCGGAAGTTGAAATCCGTGACCATCCTGTAACTACCCATGAAACCTCGATCAAACTGGCAGCTCAAGATTCCGATACTTCCATATATCTACAGGACTTCTAAGTGTACAGTGACATACGATACTCAGACTGCTAAATAGCTTTCAACGGAACAAATGGTGAATAGCTCCGACGCCCATAATGAACAAGTGTTGATGTTCCATGTTGCCCGGTAATGCCACAGAACATGGAGCTATCACTTATACACTCACAGATACTAACGAGGGTATCCTGTCGCATAGGGATTACTATGAGAACTCTATGTTAGCTGCCGCTCGCTGCTCGCCAAAGTCGCCGAGTATCAACAATGCTATAGAAGTTCAATCGGAACTCAACATTTTCCTCCACACGGCTAACCACCACAACATTGGAAATAGTCAGAGGTGGCATAAGACTCAAGATCTATCCATAGGTTCCATAAGTTCTTCCTGGTTTATAGAGCATCAAGGTACACATCGAAACAGACAGCAAAACTACCTAGGCAAGAAGGCAATACCAGTCAGGTTTATGATAAAGTTGTAGTACAACCCACGGGATACTTGCCATTAATTTCCATATGTGTCTATATAGAGTACGAATAGGAATATTCATATTCATACCAAGGTTTATGGGTACTTTCGAGGTAGTCCGGGTTGAAACTTGCCTTCACCTCATATACCTTCTCATCCTAGGAACATGTATCCAACTGTACGATTAATATACACGTGCAATGAATTTAGTGATGAGTTACAATATCATCACGCAATCTCCAACAAACAGCATAATTATTCCTCAATATTGTGATTCGGCCTCATGGCATAATTTGGTGGCGGTCACACAGATGCACATACTTGCCGATACTCACTCAGGTCGACAGCTGAGCTGTCCCTATGAAGCAAAGTAGGCAGCACAAATACTCTTCAACAACACAATCAATTTTAATATTTTCACAGTGACCCCGTAGCATGCTGACTGGAAGATCTACACCCCCCTTGGATGCCTCTTCCCGTGGACTCGACCGTTGTGTTACACAACTATTCGTCGTTATTGCTCAGCTCCTGCGATGCACAGGAGCGGCACATTTGTTTCCCTGAAGAGCGAGCACAGCGTACGGGCAATAAATTCTCGGCAGACTGCATGGGCCTTATGATCTAGTCTGGCGTCTGAACTTGATATAGAATTTGGCGGGAGGCTGCAGACGGCAGCGCTCGGAATGGACCGGGAATTTGGATCGGTTGCGGACGACACGGCGATAGCTGTCGGGTCTTCCGACGATAACCTAGGCAAATCAAATAGTAATTATATCAGAATAATGGAGAGAAGTTCCGGAGTTAAAGGTAGAGCCTTTACCAAGAGTAGTAGAAACACGGTAAGAATAAGGCTGAGCCACGTTGTGCACCTCAAGTAGCATCGAAATAGAAGCTGCTCTATTGACCTCACGAACTTGGTTTTAAAAGGTACAGTAAATACAGTCAACACATTGCTCTCAGCCGTCATAAGCATGTCCGTCGCTGTGAAATGGACCAGCTACAAGCGAGTTACTCTCATCACATATGCAGATTGTCACATATATTTGGGGAGAACAGCAGCTGATGGATAACCCAATCTGAAATACATGAGGAGCATAAAAGGGGGGTTGTACTCACCCCGTTACAAAATTATCAAGATAGCATGGAGTATGCGGATCGGCGACGAAGAAGCGCCTGCCGAGAACCTGCGAGGTTCAACTCGAGAATACTTGCTGTCTAGTCAGCAAGGATACGGAGGTGAAGATGTGACCATTCACTATGTGGCCCAAGCGGAAAGAAATTTTTGTGTGTGTTAAATTCCGTCTACGTGCGGGTCGACTGAGGCACACCCATGACCTGACCTCCTCCTCAGCTCAGACATGTGGACGAGAGGGCTCCTCGGGAGTGGATGGGCTGAAGAAGGCCAAGGCAAGTAAACGGCGGTCTATAATAATCATGGGGAATGAGATAAATCCAAGGTACAGTGCAGTGCCATGTTTTGCTGAGACGACCCAATCTCAACAGTGCGACACAGAGAGTTGGACTCGAGTCCAGATTTCATTCAGGGGTCAATGTAAAACTATAGGCCGATAAATTGGATCTTCCTTCTTGACAGAAGGCCCTTAACATCTTTTGACCCTCCATTTTGTTGGTTATCGTCCTGAGTGAGCATGTCACTGAAGGCGAAGCTGGTGGTTTCTGTCTCGCCGGGCCCATGTCCGGGTCTTGGATGAACATCATGGCTAGACTCTGTTCTTGGGCATCTAGAACCCTTTCTGCAGTGCGGGTGTTGGTATTCTGGTATGGAAGCTGCTGAAGATCTTGTAGGTACAGTAGCATACAACATGAATGGATGAATGGATAAAGTCGAAATCCTACACTGAACTTTCAGCCTTGATGCCAGACCAGATCCGTGGCTGGCTGTCTAGAGCCACATCGTCTCATTCTTCGATCTCAGCGGTAAGATCACGCCCTGATTCACAAGCCGAACTCAGGTTCTGCCCTTAGCTACATTTCGTTTCGCCTTCTAGAGAAGAGGCAATGTGGTGAGGGGAAGCCACCTACTACGTGACCTGTTGGATGTACAGTCTGTACTGTACCTCCACGCTTCCACAAAACACATCCACTCCCGCTGGCGGACGCCTCTTTTACTCACCCTTGCAACTTATCGACTGGGCTTTCGCCTCCCACATACTTTAATTCCCTTTCTTTGCACGCCGTTCCAGGCTCTAGTTCGGTTCAGTTCCAGGACTTGCGTGACCACCCTCTTCAGCTTCACACTTGTGCGCTTCCCCGTATACTCAAACGCCGCAGCATGAACTCTTACCGTAGATGGACCTGGCGAGAATCACTAGGAGATCAGGGAACTGATCGGATTTGGAAAAGGGCAATGATGGTGATACGCACTCACTCTCTTGATGTCGATACTTTGGTGGCAAGCTGTCACCTAGTCCTGGCATTGAATCTGTCCAAGTACCTACCTTAACCCAGTCCAGAAGCCACACGCCCCGTGGGCTGCAGTTAAAGGATGCTTGATAGTGCGCCTGTCCCGGCCAGCAGGTTTGACGTTTCTGCCTCATCTGACGCCCCAAACCTAGCGAAGCCTACCTAGCACTAAGCCATGTAGTACACTTCTGTTCTTTACAGAGTACATCAAAGAATAATTGAAAAGAAGGTGGTTCAATGATATGACGGTGATGAGAGCGTGGGGGGTGAAGGGATTCCCAGCTCATTGAGCCTTGTACGGGACATGTGGACGGGAAAGGAACGACCATAATCCCAGTAATACCAGTCCAAAACATGGGTTATTTTCTTCTTCTTCTTCACTTTCACCTCCATGCCATTTTCTGTGTATGCTCGTATTTATTCTTCATTTTCTATGGCCAGTCCCACTGCTCTTGGTATCACTACAGCATGATCAACGTCCCATTGATTCCGTTGCAATCTCTTCAACAAAGCTGTACATTAAGACAGATGCTCCTGCTTCAGCTTCGGTTTCGGCATCAGTTTGCATAATTCCCTCTGGAGCAGCCACTGAATGGGCGCAATTGGGAGAGCACCTCACTTCGCTCATCCCCTTTCTGCTCAAGACAGTCAGACTCAGCCCCGAATCCGTTGAGGCCAGAAAGTCAAAGCACTAGTCTCAGTATTGGAAGACGCCAGGCTCCAGGGATTTGATCCCTAAAGGGACAAGGACACCATGGACAGGGAGGGCAGCCCCCTAAACGGAATAGCCTCGCCTTACCCATCAACACATGCTGACCGAATGCACCTTGAAGACAGGTAGTTCCAGTGCGGACGGACGGCAGGATGATGAGGTGCAATACATTTGTTTCATGTCTTCGTACAAGTGGTGCGCTTTTGAAGTAAATTGGAAGAATAGCTCCGCAACATATACATGCCTGGTCCTGTTATTTTTCCTTTCTTTTTCGATGCGAGAAATCAACACCGTATTTGTTACATATCGCTCGTAAATCATAGTGTTGGTCAGCTTTAAATGAGACTCCCAGCGACAATCCGTCACCAAGCTCTCTTCGGCCACCAACCACCTCGATAAACGAGATGAACTTTTGAGGCTGTAACTCAATTCAAATTCTTTGCCATTATTGGTATCAATACAAAGATATGCCATCGTACAGTACGCAGTATGGTACCCGATGTGTTTGCTGGATCCAGGCTCATTGGGAGCTCTCGGTTATCTCCTTGCATTGCCCAATCACTCGACACTCAAACTTTAAACTAGAGACGATTCTATGATGGTAGCTGTTCTCTTTGCGCTTGGGGATTGGCCAGAGGTAAACTTGATTTCGGCTACTGCACGTCTTTGATAGGCATAACAGTAGTCTTTTGTGGCTGGCTGGCCAAATTTCCGTGCCAAACATTGCTCTAGAATCGCCATAGTACTCGGCCAAACCATTCCCACTCCGGACCCCATCTTCAATAGCATTACTTGCTTGCAAAGAGGGACCATGGCCAGAATCGGCCAGGCCGCCTTTGACAAGATTCTTGTGCGCTGTTGTGTCGGGGCTGTTGTACAGCTGTACAATAATACGTTTTGTGGGTTCTGGCAATACCGGAAGAGACAATTGACTCATTAGAGAGAATGCAGAGTATCGTTAGATTTCCAACAAGTCTAAATCGATCGAATAGCTGTTGAACATACATACACATATCGTGAAGATGTCAGAATTACCTTGATTTTACAAATTCATACCTGCCATAGCTAACCGTTTCCCTTTCCGTTATACCCAACCAAACCCATCCTGTTCCTTAAACACCCATCGCTGAAAAACGACACAAAGACGGAATGCAGTCCTAGTTTTGGCCTGGTCCCTGGATTTCTAAAGCTTTCCTGTCCGCAAACCCCTCATGAGGCCTTAGCTCCAGCTCACGTTGGTTGCTTGATTCCTTGACGCCGTTCCAAAACATATCCGTCCTCCATAACACATGCAAAAAAGAAAAGACAGAACTCCTCATGGATGTCGAACGCTCTGGTCTTTGCCAGTGGTATCGATTATTGCCTTGAATAGGCGCCGTTGTACGCAGTTTATGGCCAAAGTAAATCAAGGCCCTTTGTGGGCCATGGAACGTGGCGTAGTTGTCATCTCGCGATAGAGGCACTTGGTGAATCAACAACTCTTTCTTTACTGTTCACGCTTGATAGGGCTGTCGTTCTCCTCTCCACTTCGATCTGTCCCATTACTGTCTGCGTTCATGGCCTCGTTGGCCTTGTTCTCACAACCCTTGACGAGTCGGTGCCTCTATATCAGAATTAGTAATTATTTCAGACAGAGTTGAGTTGTTAATCGGAGAAATCAACTCCGCAAACATGATGTGTTTCTTACCTTCAAGGCATCCTTGCGAGAGAAGCTCTTGCTACAGAATGTGCAAGGGAAGGGCTTCACAGCCAGATGAATTCGTTTGTGACGCTTCAGATCATGGTTCCGACTGAACGATTGAGTGCACTGATCACACTTAAAAGGACGCTCTGATTGTGGAGGAGGCGCCCCGTGTCCGCTGTAAATCATAGGTCCATACGGAGGTACACCCATTCCTGGAATCATCGACATTTGACTACCGGGCTGGTGGATGTTCGACATGATAGCTGACCCGCTCATGTTGTGAAGCGACTGATAGGGAGGATAATGCCGGAAGGAGCCAGGGGGCGCCATGCCAGCTGATCCCATGCCTCTGGGAATAGGCCCATGACCTGGTGAGTGCTGAGTCGGCGAAGGTTGGGTATGGTAGGACGAAAAGCTTGGCTGCTGGGTTGTAGAGGAAGCTGTGTAGTAGTTCGACGTACTCGGGGGTCTTGAATGTGTATAAGAGTCCGCATGAGCCGGTACGTTCGCAGGAGCAGGGGGTTGTGTGGAAACCGAGTTTTGTGAGGCGAGAATCGTGTTCTGAGCATGATGGGATGTCGACAATCCTGGCGAAGTGACCTGGCCACCTCCCCCTGAGATGGGAGTTTGGAAAGGATGGTGCACCTGATCGTAAGGAGGCGCTGGAAGGCCTTCAGCTCCAGTAGCGGGCGACTGTGAGCTTCGCGGATGGTTGTACTGATGTATTCCGGGGCCTTGGCTATACAAGGGCTGACCTCGAAGAGCGAAATGCTGCTGGCCGAGAGCGGGCGGGGCCTGAGTCGCGGAACTAACGGTATAAGCAGAGTTGTTCGCCGCCGACCAGTTGCCTTGGAGACCGTTATACGAATAGATTCCACCTGGTGCTTGAGAACCCTGGGAACTTCCCGTGTTGACACTGGAAATACTAGGGCTCAGATCTTCACTGGCTCCTGGCGAAGGGGTCAGAATACTAGGCGAAGACGAAACGCGGCGATCAGGGAAGGAACCGTGATGGGAAGAATAAGACGGATGATAGGAATAGCCAACCGAGTCGGCATCCCGAGGGTTGTGGAACGAGTCTGACTGGTTGCCTGCAGGAAGAGGGTAGAGGGGTTGTCTGGCCATACTTGGTACATCAACATTCGGAGGCGGCAGAGAGAAAGCCGGCAGTGAATTTGCGGCAGGGCGCCGCGATGTAAAGCTTTCGGGATCCCCTGACATTGTTCCCCGAGAGTTCTGTGTCTTACAGCTCTAAAGTCAATTTGGGGAGGCTTAGTCCTGTCGTTTTCCTCGCAGGTCCGGGGCTTGCTGGCGTTGAAAAGGGGACCGCGACGTTTTCTGAAAGGCGTCTCTGATAATAAATGAAGTCAATGGCGAAAATGATTTTCGCTGGGGTTCGATGTCGCAACCCAGTCAACAGAAATAAAGTTTAGTTTTTTCTGGCGAAGCTTAAGCCCGGCTATGTTGTCGTGTGAGGGGGCGCTTCTTTGGAACTTTCAAAAAGATATCGTGGTCATGTACTATACGGCTGGTAGGGGAAGTTTGTAACTCTTCGTTGATATCCAATAGTGTGTAGATGATACAGCAGTTTTGTGCAAGTGGAAGGGTAATCTAATGGATAGCGCCAACAAACGGTAAGACGGAAACAGGAGTATAACAGCGACGTCGAGGTGTGATAGAATGACTTGAAGCTGGGTTGGGTAGTTGGGTTTGAAAGGAAGAGAAGGGGAAAAGAGAAGAGCTGAAAAACGGAGGAGGATCGAGGTAGATGAATGAAGAGCTTCAGAGTAAGGCAGTCACGATATGTACATATGTAGAGTTTGGATCGGGATAATGGGGTCAACTGGGGTGGTCTTTCTTGGGGTGTCGTCAATGGGAAACAGGTACTTACATACAGACCAGACTATCAATAAGGTTTCTTTGCACAGAGTGGCGTGTACCTCCAACCCCGATACACGAAGCATTTTCTCGGCTCTACTACTTGCACCCCCAGTACGGGCAGGACCAGACGAAGAGAACGAGATGAAAATGAATGAGCGCAGAGACCAGTACTGGGTCGAGGTAAGGCCAACTCTGGGAAGCAAACCCAGCTAAAACGTAGTGAGACTAAAGCACCATCAGAGCTCTAGAGTACGTACTCTCCCCAACAGAGCTAGAGTAGGCCCCTCCCAACTGCTCTGAACAGCTTCTCGCCTTGGCATCCTTCTGCGTTAGCATCCTTGCTAGTTCCTCTCTTGACGGGATCTCTCAGGACAGGACACCAGGCACTAAAAGCGACTAGCGTGGGAGGGCTGAAAGAGAATCATGGGCCCAGTTGGTTCCAAGACAGACTCCAAAGTCTCTGACGAAGCGGGAGGACTTGCCTACCTAATGTAAAAAGTACGTCCATGGTACTCTGTATAAGGAGCCATATCGAACAAGAGTGCCATTATTTACCGTACCAAAGTTTAAACTCCAAAAAGAAGGAGGCGGGATTGCTGAGATAACCAATGGCAAGAACAGCAGTTAGATAACATCACGATTCTCGTACATTAATAGTTTCTATTAGCACAACATTAGTCCTAACCACAATCATCTCTCTAGACGAGGATGCCCACCACTTTACGTATTGGCAGCTGGAAGACTCACTGACAATGCAGGAGAGGAGACCTACCAACACTTGATCTGGGCAAGTCTAGTGCAGTATGAAAGGCCTAGGCATGTACAAGTGCAGGCCCTGGCACTGTACCACCACCACCAGTAGGCCGGAGCTGGAGCCGGAAAGAAGAACAGGGGTGGCACCCAGATTGACATGGGGAGAGGGGTGTGATGTGTCTGCATTCTGCAGGTGTGGATCAGGATGAGTTGGGGTGCGAGACATTCAATTGAAGACACAAACCACGTCTTTCAGAAGCAATTGTGCTTGGTAGTAAGGTTATACTCTGCTCGGCTGTGGAGAAAAGAGGCAACGAAGCTGCTATACAAAATACTTGCCGAAGTACTTGCAAGTACTGTATCCGCTGAGGTAAGAGAAGAGGTAAGCTGAAAAGACAGATGTTCTCACGACCTGCTGCAATCGAAAACTGGGCGAGTACTGCCGAAAACTCTGCAAATATAGTTATTCAGCTGCCCGGCAACAACCTCGATATAGAAGCGCTATTCGCTGAAATCGCAGGCATGTGAGTTGGAGTTTTGCGATGACCTGACGGTTCGCCCGGGTCCGCCTCGCTCATCAGCATCACAGATAACCATGGATCAAGCTCCCAGCCTTCTCTTCGGTTGGATCTAGCTGGCTGTATGGCCTTGTTGATCTTCGTCTACTGTGCTCTGGCACACGGGATCTCCATCCCCGTCCCTACTTTTCACTGCGTGGCTTGGGCCAGATCGGGAACCAGGGGTGGGAAAGCGGCTGACGCCCGCCCTGGGCGAATGGCACGCAAATCGCTCTCACAGAATACCTTTGTACACTCAGAACGACTAATTCTTGTTATTCAATCACTACTTCTTTCTTGATTTCCTTCTCACTACTTACATTGGTGGCTCTGGTTTTAGCTGGCGTTTACCCTCGGGTTATTCCGTTAGATGACGGGCCTACCTCATCATGCTGAAAACAGGTGTCGTCTCCCAAGTCCGGGGATGGCTAGACTGACAAACCGCTGAGCTTGCATGGCAGTCCGTGCCTCTCCAAGTCAAACAATTTATTATGGTTTTTTTTTTTGGGGGTGCAAAGAAATGCAGTCCCGACTGCGGGCTGGCGGCTACTTTTGTTGGCTATTCGGGAGAGGTTGTCTTTGACCCTAGTACCCCGGCTGTGGCAGTGGCGGAAACCGACCAGCTGGACTCTGTTTCTTTTATAACCCCTGAAGGCGTAGAGCACAACGGGGACGGCGTCCGGAAGGCGTCCCTGATGGTACTAAGATGGAGTGCAGATGATGCTTGTCAAAAATGGTGGTGTTGATGGGTGATGTACAATACCACCTACAGTAGAAGTACATTTCTTTATACATGGTAAAGGGTTGTGGCCAATGTCTTTGACTGTCACATTTAGTAGTCGTGGTAAAGAAAAAAGAAAAAAAAACGGTTAATACAACAGTGAATTAAAAGAAAGTGTGCCTGATATTAATCGTGTGAGTGGACGCATACATACAACGTGGCAGGTGAGCACCTCCTCCCTACTTACGCTTGCTCGCTCGCTTATTCACTGACTTCCATCAGAAGAGACAGTCAGACAGTTCAGGCGCCTGTTGTAGATGGGACCCGCCAGCGACCAGGTACACACGGGCCTTGGGTTACCTAAGAGCTGATAAAATAAAGGTTGTCAAGGGCTCAAGACTTTCGAAAATGCATGGAGAGAAAAAAAGAAGGGGGAGAGAAAAAGGCTTTAGTCTAAAGTTGGACCCTGAATTTGAAATCCTCGGCCACAGCGAAGTTGAGAAGAGCCCATCGTTGACAAAACGGGACTATTGCTAACAAGCCCAATATGCCGGGGCTGTGTTGGACTTGCCCAATCCGCCGAACAAGAAAAGCCTACCTACAACTTCACGGAGGGAACCCCCAGCATGGGAATGGTCAGTCCCGATAGAGGTTCGGCTGCCATGGTCTAGAACATCGTCCCTCATATGATGGGTAGTTCTTTGACCAACACACTTTTATTTCGCCCGCATCTTGTCTGAAATATCAGAGTGATGTAGAAAAGAGAAATAAGAAATAAGCGAGAAAAGCAAAAAAAGACAAGCACGACGGGTGTCTAGCGGAAGCCTCAGTGCCGAACTTAGCGCTGGGCCAAAGACAAAGGGGATGGATGTGCAGTCTGTCTCTTTCCAGACACTGTCCGCGTATTGCTCTACGAATCCAATATAAATGCAATCTTGCCAGCGATATGTTCTTACTTTCAACTATCAGCAGGGGGGCAGGCACCAACGAAGGAGCCTCAAAAGCCACATCCAGCTTCTCCCCTGCCAAGATTTGTGGTGTTCTGCTATCCCGACGTGTCAAGACCCAGCTTAACGGCATGGCTGATCTGAAATACATTCGTCGTCATGAGATTTGTTTCAGGAAAAGTAGAGAACTTGAGGAAAGGAACCGATGGTCTCACCTGCAATTCCTCTGCAAGTGCGTGCGCGCTGCCGGTATTAAACTGTACTGCGCTCGTGTTGTAGGGTAAATTGCTTGCTCGTCAGCTTTGATTGAACATGACCGTCCTGCAGGGTACAAATGCATACATATTTGTTTATCAATTAAATATCAATATCAACAACAGCTAGAGTAGAAAGCATCATCGCCAAGCGTGTTGATTCCGTGTCAGCGTGTCCACTTGGGATGTCAGGGTCCCCTGTTACACTCCCGTGTCCATGGTTCGAGTTGCAGTGCAGATCAAAAAAATAAATAAATAAAATTAAAGAAAGAAGAAAAAAAGAAAGAAAAAAAAAGGGAATGCTTTGTCTTGCCTCAGATCAGCGATTCATTGCTCTTTGCAGAGCGTTATGGAGTTTGGATATTAGGCCTGCGAAGTGCAATGCAAAGCACAATTGCCATTGCTCCATCATTTGCAACAATCTTTACGATTACCTACTAATGTTTACATGTCGTAAGTACCTAAGGTGAGAGAGACAAGAACTGGGTTACCCAATAACAATTATTACACAACATGCCGCAGAGGTATTTGATTGCTCCGATACCCCTGTCAGTTACGTTACTGCACTGTGACCCATTGATTTACAGACAACGCCCTCTACCTGTCTGTGCCTTCTTATAGTAACCACCCACCATCATGGGCCCCTTGAACATTCCCCACGTTTAATTGTTTAATCCTGTCCTGTATTAGGAAAATAGAACTTTGTGATTGATTCTCAGTAAGCGGGTTGTCATAAGCAAAAGTCTCTACTCATTTGCGTTTTCGCAGCGTCATTCCCCTGTTCTACACTTCTTCTGTCCAGAGACGGCCTACTTGACAACATTCAGCTGGGAAGAAGCCGTATTCATTTCCATCTTCCCTAGAGCCAAAAGTCGTTGAACAGATTATACTAGTGAACAAGGCTATCGAAAGAGATTGGGCGTCTCTCCACCGGATCGCTGCTCCATGTTCCCCCCTTGTCTACAATCACATCGCAACCCCTGTTATGGTCTCAGATGCACGCCCCTTCTCTTCTGGCACTCGTACCTACAAGAGGGGCTAATGCTAGTCGAGCGACCGGGGAGAATGCTTAGTTTTTGAGACCATCGTGGATCCCGGGCGCGACACCAACACCAACACAAACGCAAACACCTCGCCCTGTCCCACCCTTGTCACTTATCCCTCGCTCCTCTCGCGCTTCCGCCGCCATCAACGGATAGGTTCAGCCATGCCAACCAAGCTCCTGGGAACGCATTGAGAAAAAGAGGCGCTCAACTCCCGCCGGCAAACGACGCAAGTCATCACTGGTAAACTTTACCAGCAGCAGCCCTTTCCCCGACTTTGTTCCCTTTTGGGCATTGGGCTTTGCGGTGCTGCCACTGTTTTGTTATTGATCTGTTCGCTCCACCAGGCCTATCGGGTAAGGCGGCCAAGCCATATTCACGTCCTGGATAAGTAAGTATCAAGTGAACCAACTGGTTGGAATGAACGTGAGTTGGAATGCCAAGCCTGTCCTCGACATGAATGCTTTAGGTTCACAATGCTAGCAAACGCCCCATCGAGTCTTGCTAGATTAGACGCAGTGCACTGCAGTACGTATTCTAGTCTATATGCAGCATGTGGGAATAGACTATCATGATTGACAATGATACCAAGGGGTAAAGAATATACGAATGCCATTTTCACACGCTTGTTACTGTGTCTCGACCTTGATTAGCTGAGTGTCATCCCCGGCTGGGTTAAAAAGAGGAAGAAAGGAACAGAGAGTATAACTCACATTCAGAGTTGCCAATGTACCTACTATACATAGTAGATACCCGTCCAGTCAATTACCAGTCCGTGGGCAAATATCGTTTTATATCTATCATCTCGAGAGTCGAGCTAAGTCGAGATTCCTCACAAATCGACGATCATATCCCCGATACGTACAAGACCTTGTGTAACAATACTGGGTACATCAGTTTTCTATCCTCACAATAAGTGGAAAGGTCGCCCGCCCTTCGCCAACTAGATGTCTTTCAATCAATATATTGCCAAGCAAAAAAAAAACAAAAAAAAAAAAAAAACCAGAATGGAACGTGGTTGGCATTGACGCAACTCTACTGCTTCAAACGGTTCTCCATGTCTTGGATCAACGTTCTGCTTAGCGCTAGAGCCGTCATGGTAGTTGGCAGGAAATAAGGATGTCTATCAAATAGCAAGCTAGCTTCTACAAGGACTAGCTACAGCATCCCCTCGCATAGTCTACCCATCTGGATACATGGTGATGCAACGGTACAGAATTCTTATGTCGAATTGTGATCTCAGATGTAAGTCTCAATTTCGGACCCAGTAGGCCGCCTGAGACAAGGATATTAGGTCTACAACTCGGCACAAGCAAAACCCTGCCCTAAAACTACTTTGCATGTAACTAGACAACACGTACCTTACGGATACCTTACGCGAATACAGTATGTCTCACATCACCATGCATATTGTCGGTGGAGGCAGCTCCAGCTTGCTGCTGTTTAGCTTATCACAACGGTTTTGTAGAAGACGTGATTTTGATCAGTTTGTCTATACTCCATAAAGAAGATACATAATAAGCCCTAGAGGATTCTCGTTAGCAAAAAAACTTCGTCGAGAGGATAACGATGTACTAGATTTGTAGCAACCACTTGCTCGGCTGCGAGGAAATGACTGTGTCTCATGTTTCCAATGCAATTAAACCCCCCAACTCTGCCGTGAGCTAACCCATGTTAATCCCTGAGTTGATGATGCGGCCAGTCATCTTGAGCAATTGAGTTTAGCGATACACCACAATCATCCCTTTGAACATGCGTATGTAGTTCAGCATGTATTGATACACCGCTTTGTTGTTACTGGTACGTATGCTTGCTCCATTGCTTGCCATTCTTTGTTCGGTTTTCTCCCGTTGCATTCATTGTCTTCACACTCATGCAAGGCCTTGCTTTGGGCTGCCAAGCAAAATATAAAACCATGACCAAATGCGTACGTCGACAACAGCAAACCACCGGTGCCGAAGTAAGTACTTGCATGCAGAGAGTACTTTGGTAGTAGAACACGGCCCAGACTCAGCTCAGATCCATACTTTGGGCCGCCCGTAAGCCTAGGTAACTTTGGTAAGTTGGTCGTGGACGCTGAGACCAGGATGGCGAACAAACCTATCATGTGCCACGAGTTCCGACAGGATTATGAATCTACCTACCAGGAAGGCTGTTTCAACACCTGGGAGATAGTATAACTCCCGCAATCCGCCATATACATTCTTGTCTTTTTTGGCACCCACTGAGTATTAGCTGAATACCTATCCGTACTTCCCAATCTTAATATTCTATACAACTCTGTCAGGCTACCTTCTCGTCATTGATGCCCCACAGAACTTTCTGTCAGGGCGGCCCCAGGCAATAGATAATGCTGGCCATTATTGTCTTGGCTCGAATATTTTACGGTCGCTGGATGATAGAACAGGAAAATAAGACCAACTCGGCAAGACGAAAGGAGCTCGGCTACGTAACAACTCCATCACATGGTTGTACTCGTCTAACATCCCCAAATTTAGGCAAGGCGGAGATGTCGACGTCTTGACGTTAATCTATTTCCTGACTAGTTGGTGCGGGAGATGAGGCTCTAGAGGCCTCGGTTTTTGTGTTACTCACGAATAGCAGACAGGGCATAAGCTGGGTCGCCCCATCGCGGAATAAGATGCGCGAACCCGATTGAAGGGGGCCAAGTTTCGGGGATGAAATAGCGGTTTGATGCTAGAGTCGTAATGTTCAAAATAACGATATGAGCTTCAATTAAGCAATGTTAATCAGCATGTCACTCACTATCTTACGACTTTCAGAGAGCCTCTCTCTAGACTCTATTCATTGGTTGGGTTGCCTGCCACTGATACCTGATACGTTCTGCCAGTCCACGTCACAGCACTCACCACAATTAGAGCGTAGCATAGACTCATGCTGAAGGCCGTGTGTTCCTGCTGAGCTGACATCTGAGTACATTTTAGAATACCAAGGTCCTCTCAAAGCTAGGTACCTAAGTAGACTACTGTAGCTGTAATTGTCCGTGTCTTCTTACAGGAAAGCTTCTTTACAATGGCGAGACAGTCTATCTCTATCACTATTGACTATTGGGACATCACGCGCACTTGAGAGAGTCATCAGCGAACCTACACTTCGGGGTGTGCGGGGTAAAAGTGATGAGATCTGGTACGAAAATGAACTGATCTTCGAGAGGCCGTTACTCACTTGCGGTGGATCAAGATGATGGACAACTCAAATCGACGGGAACTACAAACAAGTGGCACTATAGTTATTTGGGGGTGATACTAGGCAGTTTGTGCAGATGCATTCCATCTGTACGGATTAACGGGTTAAGCGATAGCACCGTTCGATTCAGTTGAGGGAGAGAAAAACCATGTCGTTGGCATGAAAGTCGTAGCTTGTATAGAGTGCGCCTTAGTAAATTGTTGTCTGTGAATTGAAAGCCTCTAGGCTCTTGACACGAAAGGAGGGAATTCTCGATACACTCTCAATACACCTTGCCTCTGTAAATGCTAAGGCAATGAGGAAGGACCCAGCAAAAGACTAATCTGTTTACCTCCATGCAATACCCAGGTACTGACAAGGACACACAGATCTCCCTTTCACAGGTGCTTGTCCCTGTCGAGAGGCTGCGGAACCCTGCCGCCACAGTCAAAGCCAAGAGCTTTTCACAAGAGCCCCTTTCTGGGGTGTGCGGGGATGGCACCATCTATACTTGACCCATGGGCTGTGACACAGTTAGCTCGTCTGGACCATCGCAGAATCGAAAAAAAAGAGAATCGGGTTTGTTGATTCAAACTCTACCTGACCACGGACCTATCGTCGAGTGTGTCGGCTATCCAAACATGGGTCTAAGTCTATTAACTTGCTAATACCTTCACATATGAAGCCGGAGAGGACAACCGTCCGGCAAACGGTTGCGGACGCAGTATTCGAACACGAAGGGGGAGAGCGGAAGATGCCATTCACCAAAAATCTACAGTGCTTTCCAGTCTCCAAACAAGCATTCGAGCAGTCAGTATGACAAAGTTGGTCAAATCAATGTTTCTGGTGACCGACCAACTACACATGCAGCCAATAACCTAACAGTCAGCACAACCCCACCCTCAACAGAACAGCATCACACCATTGTCGAATTAACATTCTACATCTATTCAGATAAAACCATGGATCTACGCAGATGATAGACATCACGACTATTGGTTTAGTCATGTAGAACGAGCGAGTGAGCCCACGATCTTCTACTGTGGCAATATGTCCCCTCGATGCGAAACCTCGTGCCATGTGCTGGAAAACGAGATCCTCAAAAGCCAGGGGCACAGACAGACTAGCCGCAAGCCATCCGTGTGCCAAATTAATCGGTGGGCCGCAGGTCGATGGCGTCTACCGCTGGTGGAGCCCTACCCTTGCGCCTCTCGCCAGGCGTGCCAGGCAGCTTGATGATAAGGCTAACATAAACGTCACGCCAATGCAAGCTGTCTAGCCTGAGCACTGACGCAACGGGAATCGTGCCATAAGGCGGAGCAACCAGAGATCGAGACCATCCATCCCCCCATCGCACTGGTCTATCAGACTGAATTCCTCGCCCATCCCGGTAGTACGGAACGTGATGGATCTCATTCCTCCATATTGCACGGATGCAGAGGGTTTCTTTATATACACCATACCCAAGGCTACTAGAATTTTAATCGTAGAAAGAGATTTAAAATCGCCGATTTAATACGTATCACAATTATGGCGTCTTACGCTTGCTCGGTCAAGAGCTCAGCAACTCGACCCACGCTTCTTCTAGGGAACATGCGAAGGTACTTACCGTGCCGAGACAACCCATACTGGTCATGGTCATCACGGCAAGCGAACTTTGCACGACAGGAGTGGATACGAAGATGATTCTGAAGACAATCTGATATGTGACGGTATCAACATTCACGCTTGTGCAAGGCGAAATCATTTGGAAACTGTTAGGCTGTGTCGGGACAGCTGAACCATCTATACTCTATATACACGTAGTGTGACCGTTGCACGGCCAGGGGTTTGGACATGCCACAGCGATAACCTGTTGAGATATTGATCCGATCCACGTCCTTGGAACCTCTCGGACGACATACGTTGGTCTCTGCCACACTGGATTGTCAACACAGTGGTGTAAGTAGTTGTTCCTACAGAAAGGATCATTTATCAATAACAACTATTCTTGCAGCAGACCGTATTAACGTAGAGCTTAAGAATATAACACTAGTTACCAGAAGTCGCTTCCCTCGGGGCAATCTCCGTCCACGAACGGGGGATAAGCTGTCAGAAGTTATGCTCGTTTCCAGTGACTCAGGTTTTTTCTGACGATCATACATAGTATTACGTCGAATTCTAAACCGCTCCAGGATCTGTATCTTAAATCCTGGCTATCATTGCAAGTGCCAGCGTCTCTTCCAACCACCAAAGCGCCGCAAACGGTACAGATCTGCAAAAAGAATCCCTGCGTCGATCGTTCCTGGTGGCGTTTCATCATCAAGCGTCTCTCAGGCTAGGTAACCTAACTGCCTTTGGTCGTTTTGTGAAGACGTTAGACTAGCTTTCATGATACTAAGAACTTGATAGACTTCTCGCTATGCACCAAGTTTACAGGCAAACAGAGTAGTCCAAATAGTGCACCCAAATGTTTGCAAGACATCCAGTATGATAAGGAGACCCAAGCTGAACACCCATGGGTACTTTATGTACACCCCACCTCCAGGGGCGGCCGCTCATGATTGGTCATCCTGGTTGGACTCCATGCAAAGACATTGGATATTTGCGGACTTGCTTTTTTCAAGGCCATGTCAACGGAGTATGACCGGTGAGGACAGAAAAGATTGACCGTGGACTAGAGCTGCGCCTTGCGACAACGTATACGAGGATCAGGTAATGTAATGGTGTGCGCGCTCAGCGACATTTTCTGACTCAAGAATTCGACATTGCGGCTCAATCACCAATACTTATGGCGCATGGCTCTGGGTTCTCTTGACGTATTAGCAACAGACTGGTTCAGCTTGCACTACCTACTATAATAAGAAATCAGATCTGAGACGATCGACTACTTGGTTTCGAGAGCATCTACATCAAGCTCCAATGGGTGCTGAGTTGGTAAGTATCTGTGATATAAAGGCACAAGTGCATGCTGTTGTGCGATATGCAGCAGAGAGACGAATGTCAAGCTACCTTTTGGCCATATCTCAACTCACCACAGCCTGAAAGTTCACAACCTCAACCCACATGGTTGGGCGATTAGCCATGAATCAACACCGCGAGAGATATACAATACCATGGAGAATGAAAAGACGACATCGCCCGTAGGGCAGACTTGGCGATTTTAAACCCAACTTCAATAATGTCCCGACTCTATATCAGACTTGACATGTGCTGGAGCACATAGCGTGGACTCTTCAGCCGTTCTCGGGCATAGTTGCTCAGAGAACATTCACCACTTCCGACCCCAGCCTCGTTATGGTGCAACCAGCGACGTGGAAGTTTATCTGGCACATGTGTTTGGACCCCATATGTGAGACGACAGCGGAATTAATCTCACTGGAATCGTGGGACGAGATCACTGTTTCCCAGGCCGCTGGTAGAAGGCCGCGAAAGACACTAGACTACGCTGTGCCTTGTGCAACGAAAATCAGCTTTAGTTTTCGGCCCACAAAGAAAAGACAAAAAAGAAAAGGGTTTGGTCACTTTATGGAACCATGGGGCAACTCAACTCGCTTGGCCCTGCAGGCGAAATGTAGATCTTGATGTGTCGGCACCTATAGGGCATGATCATCAATAAGCATATGCGGCCCCTGGGATATTAATATTGTTCATGGATATATCCTTGTTATGATCCGCACTAGGTTGATCCTTTGGGGTTTGAGCAATTTAGATGAAAGATTTGTTGACAATTTGAAGGACAACCAGTGTTCAACACCAATTCTATTATTGGCACGCTGGTTCACCCAAATGGCGGGCCAATACTTTGGTAAGCAATATTTAATTCTGTAACCGAAGTTATCTTCCGGCTGCCTCCTTAGGCACCATTGACTGACATGGCCGGTTACACTTTATACTGCTTTTAAGCGTAATTGCTCCTTGTTTTGTTTGCAATATGTTCGCGGTACATTCTAAGCCATGGTGGGAATATCTACACGCTGCCCGTGTTAAGAACCTTGTACTACAGAGTCACTCTTCCACAATTGTACGATACAACAGTCCACTGTAACTTGACGATTCTGACAAGCCACCATTCACAGCTTCATCGGTCTCGTCTCGGCGTCTCAGCCCGAATGGATTGGTGCCGTTCTTATTTGACCGTCTGGCTCATGTAGATAGTTGTTTTGTGAGAACCCTGCAATCTCGGTGGCAATAGCCTCTCTCTCACTATAATGGGTACTGATCGCTATCATCTGAGGCTCGCTTTCTCTGTGGCTCCCTCTCATGGGCAACAATATCCATATCTTATTAACTACGTGGGCATATGGTCTGATAGTATTACGCTTGATAGAGATTGGTGTGCATCTGATCTCAGTTAGTCACTTCGTTGCTAAGTTTCCTGGTTAAAACATTGAGAATTTCCCCTGTTTCCAGCTTCCAGTCCAGTACAACTCACTCCCGCTGATTTCTAAGAAATATGGAATTAGAAAACTTTACTTCGACTTTCTCTCATGTGCTTTTGTTATGTCCTCATGTCCTTGATTTACTTTTCGATCTTCTCTCCCTGTTCATTCATTGGCAGTCATTTAATCGATACAAAGGGTTTGGAAACCGAGCCGCACGCCCATTGGAGACTGTCCACTCCAAAAGTCTCCGATTGATCCTAGCTTTTATGCCTATTTGGAGTTATAATCGATTTTCTCAGACTCGGAACATGTTCCATATACATTTTTACTCCGATGTAGGGTAGCTTCTCGAGCACCATATAAGCCAGGCTCACCTCTTATCGTCTACGTCAGTCGGAGGAAAATGTAGATGCATTGAGAGTTGCTTACTTACAACAAGATTTCAGTTTCGCATTAGGTTGCTCATCTACACAACGTAGTCGAAGAAGCGGATGTGCAGGGTGGCAACCTGTCTTGGAGTCTCTCACGGCCAAGTTGCAACACAAGCCTCAGGCGAAAACTAACCTCTCATTTCACAAGGGAACTTCCACCTGGCGTAGAATCATGCGTTCACGGTAACTGAATGTACCTCTCTTTGCCGCCACCATTAAGTTCCTGGCTGAGAGCCCGACTTTGGGTTACGGTTCTGTTCTGACATAGGCTCATGCTGCGCCTCTATGATACCGGATATTACGATTACTGAGACGGAAATTGTATAGACCAAATTAGATGGAACCGAGAAGAAATGGTTGTTGAGTTTCCTGAGGGTCGATACACTGTTCATAGAACTCGGAATCACCTATGAGATGGAGTCACCGAGAGGTCATAAACGAGCACATGATCAAACAAATAAACGTATACTGACCAACTTCCACCGATGGGTCGATCAGACCAGTAGAATATGGCATGAGAGTAAAAGGGTTCAGAATAGGCTCAGTAAAAAGCTGCTCTCCAGTCTTGATATTGTCCCATGTCTCAAGATAGGACTGACTACGTATGACTAGAAATTACCGGAAGGTAAAGGAATCCTTTTATAGAGTTCCCACTCCTTGAAGTCACCTTCCTCAAGTTGACCCATACTTGTAATTCATGACGAATATTACAAATTATTGATAGAATCGGTACGAACCATTGGATCGTGTTGTTTGGTCAGCCTCCCTGTCCTATTACACGATGACGTCCATTGCCTTCCTCATCAGGCTTTATCTGAGATCAGTTACGACAATCAAAAGGACCGGTTGCAATGTGAAGTGATGAGATAGTTATGTTCAATGGGTGGACTCCAATTTGTGGATACTAAATACAATGATAAAACAACATATGATATCATTAAAATCATGGCCGGGAAAGAAACCCTTCGTTATACAACGCACATAATTATGAAACGCTTGACTTGACTCCTCATATCCTTTTTGTTATCTTTGCCAGTTCTGGTTCCGCTCATAGCTTCGAAGCAGGGCTAGGAGGTCCAGCTTGAGTAATCTCGTTGTATAGAAGCCTGGTTTCAACAGTTAGCGATATGATCTCACGAAATGCCATGAGTATGGTTTGTACTTACGATGTAAGGAAGTCAGCATAGTCCTCGCCAGTAACCTGACCGGAGAAGTATTGAGCAGCGAGGTGGTACTTGTTTCCCTTAGGGGCAGAGGCAGCAAGCTGATCGGCAGTCTCTTTGAGGAGCTTCAAAGCATAGGACTTGTCAACACGCTTGCCGTCAGCGGTGCTGACGCCATGCTTAACCCACTGCCAGAGCTGACTGCGAGAGACTTCGGCTGTGGCAGCATCCTCCATAAGGTAGTTGATGGGAACACATCCCACTCCTCGGATCCAGGCCTCCATGTAGCCGAGACCAATGTTGAGGTTCTTCTTGATACCCTCTTCTGTGATGGTGCCAGGGACGTTCATGTTGAGCAAGTCGTTCTGGCCGATGGTGACATCGTCTCTGCGCACGAAAAGCTGGTTAGGAGTAGGCATGTGCTTGTCGAAGATCTCGGTAGCGATACTGGCCAGAGCGGGATGGGCAACCCAGGTGCCGTCATGACCCGCACGGACTTCGCGAAGCTTGTCGGCGCGGACGCCCTCCATGGCCTTGTCATTTGCAGCGTCGTCGTTCTTGATAGGAATCTGAGCAGCCATGCCACCCATAGCGTGAACACCTCGCTTGTGGCAGGTTTGGATAAGGAGCTTCACGTATGACTCCATGAAGGGCACAGTCATGGTGACAGCGGAACGATCAGGAAGGACGAAGTTAGGGTTATTGCGGAACTTCTTGATAACGCTAAAGATGTAGTCCCATCGACCACAGTTAAGGCCGGAGCTGTGGTCACGGAGCTCGTAGATAATCTCATCCATCTCAAAAGCAGCAAGGATGGTTTCAATAAGGACAGTGCCACGGATTGTACCTCGGGGCATGCCGATATAGTCCTGGGCAAGGTTGAAGGCATCGTTCCAGAGACGTGCCTCAAGGTGGCTCTCCATCTTAGGGAGATAGAAATAAGGGCCGAAGCCCTGGCGTTGTGTCTCGAAAGCATTGTGGAAGAAATATAGACCGAAGTCGAAGAGAGAACCAGAAATAGGCTCGCCATCAACTGTAACATGCTTCTCTTCAAGGTGCCAGCCACGAGGACGGACAATCAGAGTGGGCAGCTTACGATCCGTACGAAGCTTGTACTCTTTGGGTCCTTGACTGAAGTCGACTTGGCGACGGTTGGCGTCGTAGAGGTTGACTTGTCCATTGATCATATTGTCCCAAGTAGGGGCGCTTGAATCTGATGGCAAAGTTAGTGAACTGGTAACCAATCTATATGACATTTTTCTCTTGAATATTGAATCCACGAGAAAACACCAGTCGCTTCATGGATTGAAAGACTTACCCTCAAAATCAGCCATGTAAGTGTAGACGTTGGCATTCAGTGCGTTGACGACCATCTTCCGGTCAGTGGGGCCGGTGATCTCAACACGACGGTCCACCAAGCCGGGCGCCGGAGCGGCACCCTTCCATGTGGGGTTCTCGCGAATGTGCTTGGTCTCAGGAAGGAAATCGGGTAGAACGCCTCGATCAAGCTCAGCCTGGCGAGCCTTGCGACGCTCAAGTAGGTTCTTACGACGCTCATTGAAGGAGCGGTGCAGAAGAGCAAGGAACCCTAAAGCCTCGGGGGTAAGAATCTTGCGGTGGATCTCGTCGACCTTGCCAGAAACGGAAACGCCCTGGAGGACGGAATCGAGAGAAGCCATTGTGATTATGTTTGGTAGGCGGTTGCTGGTGAGATGGATTGATGTATGGTACGTTTTTGGGGAGTGATGAGGGGGTGGAGGTCGATGTATTTTATGTACTGTCGAAGACTTTTTCACGTGTCGTGAGATGAGTGACGATGGTTCCGGCAATGAGATGCTAATGCAGGCACGTGTAAGAAGTGTGGTAGTTGCTGGATTTTGGACTCACTGTAGAAATGAGCAGCGAGATGAGAAATTAAGTATAAAGTATAGAACGAACGAACGAACGAACGAACGAACTAACTCGAGAATCGCAGCACGGATGTTATATAGTCTCGAGGCGTTTAAACTGAAGCAACTGTGCTCCGCATATCGAATTCCTAAACACGGAACGTGCCTCGGACTACAGCCGAGAGGTGTCTCCACGTCACTAGCACCACCGGACCTGGGGAAGATAAAGTCATCCCCATGAAATCATTCTACATAACGCCGAGATCATCTCACCTCGTACTGTATATTGAAATCCAAGAGATCAAGTGCTTGGCCGGTTAGATTGTTTATTAAACGAAACCGTGCATCGTAATCCTTTCGTCGCATAGTCACGAATTAGTTGCTAAGAGCAAGTGATTGACCTCTGCAGCGCTTCTTACAACAACGACCTGCCATTCCAGCAGACGGACATACAATTCCCACACTGAATGAGGTCTCAACTCGGTGACTAAACCGAACGGCCATCGTCCGCCCCGCTCGGTAGCCATCGGCCTGGCTCGGGTGGAAGGAGTGAAGCTCATGGGCTCGATGCAGTCACCAAAGTCGAGAAGATCTGACACTAAAAGAGATTCAAGGTGAACGAACAGCATGTGGGGAAGGAGAGAAGGTGGCCAACTACCGTGATGACCCCAGTGGGGAGGTACTTTGATAACTGAAAATGGAACTTATAGATAGGCAGGTTTCCACCAAATTTGGCGGTAGCTGTGGGCAAACCAATGTATGCCTTTAGCTGAGCTCAAGTACCCACGATTGGGGCGGTAGTTTCCCTTTAAACAATGACTGCATCCCCTGGCAATTGGAACATGGCTTAGACTCTTGACTCGGTTTTCGACCGAGTAGTCGCAATTCGCTTTCTATCATTCTGGAAACCTCACAAGCATGAGCGCTACGCTCTTTGGACCTCGGTTGCATTCCGAAATAGCTTGACAGAAACTGTCGGCCTTGTCCTCCGAACCGCCGCGACTATCGAGCCGAGGATACAACGCTGCCTCCTTCTGCATGTTACGCATTCTGGCCGAGTAAATTTTACCATCAACAAGTTATACGCTAGACGCAAAATCCTGGTAGAAGACCATCAAGCTACCTGTGCTTTCTCACTTACTCTCGACCGTGGACCCGGATATACCGATCGAGTAACCGAAGCAGATACTGTACCTGCCTACAGAACACTGAGCACCGCTGTAAGCCAACTTCGGAGCGATCATCCGAACACCCCAGCTTTTTTACTACCATTTCGGACTGACATCCGACCGCCGAGGAATAAGGCACATGTAAAGAAAGGTATCAATTCTCGCAAGCAATGATTACTCGATGATATTAGGTAACGGTGAAATATTTCCCCAGTCTATATCCGAACCATGCGATTGTGTATTGATCACTCGAATGGACACCGTAGGGAACCAATTGCCATGTCTCTTCATGGAAGCATGTTGCTAAACATCACATTGCGTGATGTCAAGTCACAAGGGCAATGTTGTAATCTGCAGAAGATTATTTCAGGATAGGAGATAACAGAGCGTATAAATAGATAATACCATAGGCACCAGCATGACTTTTAAGCGATCTTCCATAATGCGCCTGCCCGGTGATAGATCTCATGCTATGAGTTTCAAGATGACTTCGAATCTTATAAATGAACAGCACAATAGCGTGGGGGATATATGCATTGGCTAATTTTAATAGAGACCTTTTCAAACCTGAATAAGTTGTTAATCTATCAGTTTACTCACACCCGCATGGTTGCGGGTATACCGACAGACATTTAACACTCCTGAATTACACTAACACTGAGATTGTACGACAAGAGCAAAAAATCAAAATGAAAGCTTGTTCATCTTATATGATTGTCAAGTAAAAATAACTACTCGATTGTAAAAAGGGTGTGAGCGAGTCAATGGGGAAGAAGCTATCAACAAAGACAACAATCAGCCCCCAATCGTCCAAATCCTTCGCAGACACCAGTATTCGCCAGTCCATGTGGATATTAGGAAATGACTCCCTAAGCCGTTCCCTCAACGCAGGATAGAATAAGAAAGCAGTAATTCGCACATCCAACTCCTAGCAACAAACAAATTGTACATGGCTCTGTAATGGATATGACGATCCAACCAACATAACGATAGCCAGACATCAATGTTCGACTCCCGACCTAACTTGTTCTTCCTAGCACAGCTTGAGGGAAAGAAACAGGAAAGAAATTTCAGAGCTTCTACGTCAAGAATTGAGCGTCTTGATCATCATCTTCTGCTTGTTCTTGTCAGAAATGACCAAAGCCCGCGTCTCGAACATCATTCTCATGGTGTCAACTACCCGATAGAAGCTGCTAGCAGCCCCTCGCTCCTGTGTGAATCGGATAATGCTGAGTGGCTGCTTCTTGCCATGCTCAATCACCGTGATAACTTCCGCTGCGAAGGATACTTCTTTCAGGTTCAAAACTAAAAGACCGGGTTAGTACGTAGTGATATGTGCTACAAAGAATGACGTACAGTTCTTATCTGCGACCCGTGCAAAGATGATGTTCCTTTGCTTGTCTACTTGGATGTCCCGAATGCCATACTTACGCCATTCCCGTAGGAGGATAGTAACCTCTTGTCGTGCGCGTCGTCTCGAAATAGTCATGCAGATGTGGTCTATCGCTGGCTTGACTCTGAACAAACGCGCGAGCCAGTTCTGCTTGACCTCAATGTTTCGTACTGGCCCGGAGTTTGACTCATGCCACCTGGGTTGTGGTACCTTTGTTGAAGTGTTTGTCTTACTAACGACACTCAACTCGACAGAAGGACGCTCCTCCTTCTCATCAGGCTCTTCTGTTGAAGTTAGATTCAGTTGCATTTTGGCCTTTTATACGGAAAGCCACTCACTTGCGATTGACATAATGGAGTCCCTTTGTTTGTTGCTCTTCCAGAAATTAAAGTTGAATGTCTTCTTCTTAGAGGGAGCATCTGCTGTAGTAGAATCGCTTCGCTTGCCGTCGCTAGAGGTTAAGTATGAGTTGCAATCTTGCCAGTCGACAGATTCTCGACCGTGGTTAGATTCGACCTTGGAAGCACGTTTGAACCAGGACGTCTTCTTTTTCTTCACTCCCGTAGAATTATCATGTGAAGAATGATCCAGCAATGTTGTGTTTGCGGACGTACCCCCATCCCCGCTGCGTTGAGATGTCGAATCCGGCCCGGGACGTTGAGTTGAGGGAGTGGTATTCCCTTGTTGAGGTTCAGTCATCATCTTTCGCACGTTGAGAGGTTTAGGCATCTTGACAGGACTCTCGTCTCCTGGTGAATGTACCACCCGAATGCTGTTCTCGACTTGGCTAAGGTATTCAATGCCAAGAATTCTATCCACCCCTCTCTTTGTTGGCGTATGAGGAGGGGCTGACACGATACGGGCCTTGTCGTTAGATGTGACTCCTGTTTCGTTGATAGATGGAAGAGCTAGATTCATCTTCGATTTCTGATGATAAGCCGGGGCTGAGACGACTCGGCGCTCTGCGTGTCTCATGAGAACGACTGGCTGAGCAACTTTGACTTGTTCGGCACGCAGTTCCTCCAAGTGTGAGTCGCCAGTTGTTGGTCGCGAACCGATAGGTGTCGGTGCTAGCGGATGTTCATCGTGGCCTTGTGTAGAGGTGGGAAGAGGTGGAAGAGGCCGGTTGCTGAAAGATTTGGCCGATAAGTCAAGAATGTCTGGAGCCGATTCTTCCGGAGCGTCGATAGTAAAAGATATGGGCGTTGACTCGTACTGGGTTCTATCCGGTTCGGTAAGTGAGCCAGCAATAGAATCTTCCTCTATCAGTGAGCTTTTAAAAGCTTCATCGCAATCCTTAGCAATGTTGCTGCTGAAATGCCGCAGTTCTTCCTGGAAGATCTCCGATGCATATCGTGACCCCAATGCTATTCTCATCGCTTGACTGGAGGCGCGTTTTGTGTTGACTTGAGGCTCATGCCTGTCTTTGGATTTTGGAAGTACAGTGCTTGGGAGTTCTGGAACATCTGGGGTAAATGATCGAGCCATCTCGAGCTGGTAGGTAGATCCTTGTTCTGTGACATAAGGTGGCACAGAGCCACTTCTATTGCCGTTGGTTGAAGTGGACCTCTTCCGAACGTGCGTGAAGTCGACTCCTCGTTTGTGGCGCGTGTTGCGTGCATGTGGTGTACCTTGTCGGCTACTGTGCATGGACGACAATGAACCTCTTGAGGATAGGAGGCGCCCTGTGGTAGAGGTACGAGTTGATGTTCCACGTCCACGGCGCGCACTTGATCCGCTTCGAAGCCGTTTTGGTTGTCCGGTGTAAGAGCCATTGTCTGTATAGGCGTGACGATCAATATCCAATCTTGACTGACTGGTCTTGGAATCGCGAGACCGCAACATACCGTCTTCTTGGAGAGGCTCGTGGCTTGCGGCTCTGTCTGGCTCAGTAGCATTCGAGATCACAGTGAACCGTGATATGGAACGTCCATGGCCATTACTGCTCGGCTGCGTAAATTCACAAGTTGACACACGTTTCTTCCATGTGCCTGGTTTCATGTGGTGATAGTCACTCGTTGAGTGAGCAATTTCGGGCTTGAAGTCTTCTAGTTGTTGCTCGCGGTAGTGATACAACAGCCAATAGAAAGCTTTTTGATCGTTGGGCCTGGTCAAGTTTAGCGCTAGAGTGGGCAGAAAGAAGACATGGTGGACTTACTCATCGCATGTGAGCTTCAGCTTCAAATCGTTCTCGCTGAACATATGCCACATAGACCGCAGCTGGCGAACCAGCTGAGAATCCACGTCTTTAGCCAGCACAGGGGTGTATTGAAACCCCTTGCGTATATCAGGAGGTTGACTGTTGAGATCGTCGAGATTGTCGAGATAAGCATACTTTTTGACCAGAGGATGGCGCCATATCTCTTTGAGGGTAATGCGCCGGTCAGGGTTAACCTGCAGCATTCGCCTGATCAAATCCTCGGCCTCTGGGCTAAGGAAACTCGGCATTTCGTATTGACCTTTCTTCGTCCTAGCCATCATAACGCGTAGGTCCGGATCATCAAATGGAAGAGTCGCAGTGAGCATGGCAAAAAGGATGACACCCATACTCCAAATGTCGGCTTTGTCGCCCCGATACTGCCGATTCTTGAGGAGTTCAGGTGCTGCGTAATGAGGACTACCACAAGCTGTAGCAAGCTGATGAGTGTCGGTTTGGTGGAGAGCAGCCATGCCGAAATCCGCAATTTTGATTTTGAGGTCTGCACTGATCAGTATGTTCTCAGGCTTTAGGTCCCGATGGCAGATGTTAAAGGAATGGCAGTAGGAGATGGCGCTGATGATTTGTCGAAAAAAGTAGACGGAGACTTCCTCACTAAGGCGACCCTTTAAATTGATAAAGGTGAACAGATCGCCTTGATCAATATATTCGAGTATCAAGTAACTATACTGTCAGTACCAGCGGGGAAGAAAGAGGATCGGCAGTGCCTACACTTCTGAGCGGTTCTCCCAAATATCATATATCTTCATGATGTTCGGGTGCTCAATGAGCTTGAGAATGGCCACTTCTCGTTCGATGGCCATAGGGACACGTATCTCGCCGTCAATCTGGTCCGGGAGGTTATTATCCCATTTGCTGAGAGCGGCTAAACTGCTATCCTTTACAAGATATGCCATTCGTCTGTTGACAATCTTGACGGCGGCTAGCTGGTTAGTTAGATTGTGGCGACATAGCCGTACACGTGCAGATGAGCCTTTGCCGAGCGTCTTGCCTAACTGCCAGGGGCCGATGTGCGTCTTATAATTCTTCTTGCTGTGACTGCTGCCCGATGAATCATAAGATGCAGCCGAGTGTCGACGATCGTCATCCATCTCAGTAGGTGGTTTCAGGGTAGGTTGTCCCTGTGATTTTGGGCCAGTCGACTGTGGTTGCACAGGAGGAGGTCGGCCAGAAAAGTATGCAGCGGGATGCCCATAGCTCGCGCGCGGGGGATTGTTGACAGTCGATGTGGGAGGGCGGTCGTAGCGTGGTTTGTACCGATGGGCTTCCTGAGTGGGATATTTCGAGTTGATTCGGTTCGAAGCTTCGGATAACGGTGAGCGGACATTCGAAATCATAATATCCGCCATTGTGATCGCTGCGGCTGTGGTGAATCAGCACATAGTATTCGCAGCCCGCAGCCGTAAACCTTTTCCAAATGATGAGGATGTCAAAACGATGTTTGCGCGTAGAGGTATCGATTATTATAATAACTGCTATTAAAGTCACAAACACAGGTGAGATAGGTGAACAGATAGGTAGGTAGGTAAAGTATTGGTGTCTAGCAAACAAACCGCACAATGTTTGCGACAGTCAGAAAGATGGCAGAGCAGCGAAAGAAGGAATGATGAGAAACGAAGGCGCTGAGTGAAAGAAAGTGACTCAAGAATTCGGAATCTAGGCCACCGCACCGCAGATGAAGAAGAAACAAAACAAGAGGCAAAGTCAACTTGGGGCGATGGGAGAGAAGTTGCTCAACGTGGAATGCAATTTTGGCAGCGAGGAGGGATGATTAGCAAGGCTGGTAGTGCGAGTGATGCTAAGGGAGAAAGGCTGGAATACAATACTTGTATTTGGTTGGCATTCGGCTGGCATCTGCCACCTGCATACACCTGCCACTATCAAACAGCACACGCTCAGGTATGATATGGTGGGTAATCTTGGTAAAATAAAGCTGGCCAAAGCTGAAATGGAGGGGTTTCTCTTCCATCAAGGCATCTTGATGCATTCCAGTTCTTTATGCTGTTCGAGACTATGGTCCAATAATAAGACTGTGCGAATGCTGCCGCGGTCCTTTCAAAGCAGGAAGAAGGCAAAAAGCTTAACGAACAGCTCTTCAAAACGCTACATGAATAGCCGTTCTATCATGACGCGAGCGCTTTGGAAACTGATGCGCGACACCCGACGATGCAAAGATGTTGATAACTATACCACATCATGAAGGAGCTTTTTCGATGTCGGGAAACGTGCGCTAACACCAATACCCCTCGAAAAAGAAACCAAGCAGGGGTCAAAGGAGGCTAGAATTCCTTCTTAGCAAACCCCTTTTTTACTCCAGACTTCTGGAAGCCGTCCCAACTCACAGGAGTAGAGTCACCCATGGGTACATAGGTTGAGAAGCACGCTCAACAGATATTTGCGCCCAGATCCTCGTCGATTGTTTCCTTATCCAGTCAAGAGAACAGAAAAAAGGCCTCCATCTTTCTCCAGCAATCATCAGATATGCGGTCCTGGAGAGCAATTCGAAATGGAGTGATGAAGTCACCTGGCAGGAACTGGAATTCTAAGGGGTGATGTTGTCTGACTCCCTTTCAAAGGGGGTGCTTGGCGTCCAGAATGACTAAGCTAGATGGGCTGGTGTAACAAAGATGGAGGTATGTATTTGCATTGTTGAGACTTTCGATCATTTCATGAGGAAACGAGATGTTCTAAAACAGTAAACTTTCGGTAATAGAACAATATCATAGGGCTACAAGGCTATGTTTTCAGACAAGATTTCAATAAAACTCTATATCAGTATAAAAGCTCTGTAGAATTCACGACAATGGCGGACACTTTTTTCTTCCTTACCCGACAAAACCACCTATGTATAAAATGCTCTCTTAATGAATTGGAACTACTTTGACGCTAGTATACAGTTGATCGAGTAAAGGCTATTTGAAGAATTAGTGATGTGTATTGACATAATGATAACAACCCTTCGCATAATCTACTTACCTATGTACCTGTATGATAAAGGTTGATACCGTACAAAGACGCTTCTTCACTTGCCGTAACGGAGTATACAACTGCTTTGGGTAGATCGGGTATGGTTCTAAATGGCAGCATGTGTCTGTTGACTGCCTGGGTACCTTACCTACCTAGGTACCTGTCTAGGTAAGTAGGGTACTATCTTATGTACCTATGGATGGGAGTATGTGGGAAGACAAAGAGTTGCTACATGTTTGATGCCGCAGTATTGAGGCCCCATTCTACAGGTAATCGGGAAGTGCTAATACGTACCTACCCCACCACTTTAGAACTAAATCAGTGCCACAATTGCCAGGCGCGTATGAACGCGGTTTGAGCGCGTTCAATTTCCATCAAACAATCATTTATGTATCCTTGGCACCTACGGCGTCCTTAGATAGCCTTTCAGGTGCGTCGGTGTCTTGTCTGACTTGAAGCGACATACAATTACACACAATCCCCTGCATCTGCCCCATTTGAAAGGCGCTATTTACCTGTTACCGCCATGGCACCAGAATCGTCTCGTCGTCGTAGGCGATCAGATACCGAGAATTCCGACAACGACAATGAATACCGACACGAAACCGGCTCCCCTAAGCGACAGAGACTGAGCGATGATGCGAATCGCGGTTCAGCCGACACAGGGTCCCGACAGGCAAATGGCATATCGAGTGAACACAACATGAACAATGGCTTCCAGCCAGGCGCTATCGTTAGAGTCACCGTGGAAAACTTCGTCACCTACGAAAAGGCAGAATTCCTTCCAGGACCACATCTGAACATGGTTGTCGGCCCAAATGGTACTGGGAAAAGCTCTTTGGTTTGCGCCATCTGCCTCGGGTTGGGTTACAGCCCGAAGCACCTCGGACGTGCTGGCTCTGTCAAAGAATTTGTCAAGCACGGCAAAGACATTGCCACAATAGAAATCGAACTACAGAAGCGAGCAAAAGACTCCCAAAACTGGGTTGTCAAGGTACAGATTCGACGAGAGCAGAACACTCAAAAGTGGTGGTTAAATGGCAAGGAGGCCAGCCACAAGCGGATTCATGCATTGATGCAGAAGCTCAAGATACAAGTGGACAATTTGTGCCAGTTTCTTCCTCAAGACAGAGTTGTTGAGTTCGCTGCATGCACACCTGTGGATCTCCTGCGCGAGACCCTGCGCGCAGCTGCCCCCGAAGAAATGCTGTCCTGGCAAAGGCAACTACAAGAACTTGACAAAGACAAGAAAGAGCTGGAACAATCCACTCACGGCGACGTAGAGACTCTGAGGAATTTGGAAAACCGACAGCAAGGCCTCCAAACAGACGTAGACAGATTGCGAGAGCGCGAGGAGATCGTGGAACAGATTAAAAACCTCAAGTCAGCTCTGGTCTTTGCCAAATACACAGAAGCCCGCACGAAGTTTAAAGACGCCAAAGAAAGGAAAAAATTAGCGGAAAGGTCTTTAAGACGTCTCGAACACGATGCTGGTCCATCGCTGGAAGCGGTAAATACGAAACAACTCTATGCTCAACGCATTGATGAAGCGATCTCGGGAAGGAAGGCTGCTTTGAAAAATGCAGAGGATGCTACCAAGAGACTAGCGCGTGATGCGAACACCGCCTCTGAGAATCTCAAAGAGTTTGAAAACAGTATCGAAGCGGAGCGCAAGGGATTTGATGCTAAAAGAAAAGAGCTGTCCCAGTCAAAGTCGAGGATCACGTCCCTGCAAGCTGATCTGAGAAACCGTCCTGAGAAGTTCGATCCTTCGGATTTCAACCAAAGAATCGTGAGGGCTCCTACTCCACGGCAGATGTGACATACTAACGCTTTGTGTAGCGAGGAGAAGAACACAGACAGAGGGAATTAGAGGCAGAGCAACGTGAACTGTCCGGACAACGCGAGGACATCAAAAACAAAGGCAGATCGTTCAACAACGAGATTCGACAAGTCGAAGAGAACATCAAGTCGTTGGAAACTCAACAAGGTCAACAGCTCAACTTCATGCGAAAGAATTTTCCCGATCTGGCAACGGCCTGGGGTTGGATACAGGAAAACAAGCAGGTGTTCGAAAAGGAGGTTTTCGGCCCGCCTATGATCAGCTGCTCCATCAAGGACGAACGATATTCGGATCAAGTACAGTCTCTCTTGCAAGCAGATGATTTCACATGCTTTACGGCACAAACCAAGAACGATTATAAAAAACTGTCGGATGAGTTATATCGCGTCCAAAGCCTGTCTGTCGTTATTCGCTCATGCGCACAACCACTCAGCGCTTTCCAGCGGCCAGTCAGCATGGAGGAGGCAACTGAGTTGGGACTTGATGGATTCGCTGTCGACTTTGTCGAGGGTCCAGAGCCCGTTTTAGCGATGCTGTGTGCTGAGAAGAGGCTCCATCAGTCAGGTGTTTCCCTACGGGATCATAATGATGCTCAATACGACCGCCTAGTCAAAGGCGGTAAAGTCAGTTCCTGGGCAGCTGGGAACCAATCTTTTATTGTCAGAAGACGTAAGGAGTACGGACCTCAGGCGATGACGGCTGTTACCAAGAGTATTCCTCCGGGAAGATTCTGGACCTCGCAGCCTGTTGACGGACAAGAAAAGCAAGAAATGAACAAGCGGCTACTAGAATTGAACGGCGAGAGAGATATCTTTAAGGAGCAGTACCGCGAGTTGCAAGGCAAGATCCAGGCCATTGAGGACCAAAAGAATAACATTCACGACGCCATTGTGAGTTGCATATTTTTCTTTTCTGTTTATCAGTGGGAGTGCGAAATGCTGACCAAATTTAGACACAACTGAAGGCCGAGAAGAACACTTTGCAAAAGGAATATCAAAAGTGGCAATCCCTGCCCGAGAAGATTGGTAAGTAACACGATGGAAACCACCAGCCTCCAGGTGTGCTGATATGGGTTTAGAATCCGAGGAACGTTCCAGAGCGGCTCACGAACAATCCTTGCGGGATGCACGCAAACGAATGGTCGAGATTCGATACGAGTGGGATGAAGCCGTTCTTCGCAGAGCTCAATTAGTCCTCCGCCATAAGGAGGCAATCGAGAATATTCGAAAAGCGCACCAGGCTCTTCTTGAAGCCGAAATTCGTGGAATTGAAGCCCATTCCGACGTTGTTGGTCTCAAGGCTCGAAACTCTCATATAATGGAACGTCTCGATGCTGAGAAAGAGACGTTGAAACAAGCCACTGAAGATGCCAGTCGAGCCCGAGACGAAGGCAACCGTCTTTCTGAGACAGTGCAACGAATGATTGACAGCGAACCCGAAAAGCGTGATCTATTCTCGGAGCTCTGCGAAGGAAGGACTCCTGAAGCTATCCAAGATGATATTGGAGCCGAGGAGGCTAAGTTAGAGTGCATGCACATGCCGAATCCCAACGTGTTACGTGAGTTTGAGAAACGTGCTGAAGAAATTGCTCGGTTGACACGTCAAATGGCTGGGTCAACCGAGAAACTCAATGGCATTACCCAAGAAATCGAAGAATTGAGATCAAAATGGGAACCTCGACTCGACGAACTGGTTGCCCAGGTTAACGACGCCTTTGCATACAACTTTGAGCAAATCAGTTGTGCTGGCGAGGTCCGTGTCCACAAACCAGATGACTTTGATGCCTGGGCTTTAGATATTATGGTTCGTTTCCGGTATGTATTTCTTCTATTCCTGCCCATCATCACTCGTGGTCGCTTTAGCTAACAATCCCAGTGAAAACGAGACGCTACAGCAATTGACTGCACATCGCCAGTCTGGTGGCGAGCGAGCTGTTTCTACCATCTTCTTCCTCATGGCCCTCCAATCTCTGGCACAATCGCCATTCCGTGTTGTGGACGAAATCAATCAGGGCATGGACCCTCGCAACGAACGAATGGTGCACGAGCGAATGGTTGAGATTGCATGTCGCGAGCATTCAAGCCAGTACTTCCTTATCACCCCAAAGCTCTTGACTGGCCTCAGATACGATCCAAAGATGCGTGTGCTTTGTATTGCGAGTGGCGAGCACATGCCCCGAGAAGGCCGCAAACTTGATTTCAAGCGATGCTTGAGAGTCCAAAAGGGACTCATGACCGCCTCCGCGTAGTTTAGAACCACCACTTTTTTCTTTCCTTTTGAAGTATTTCATGTGTACTTTTAGCAGCAAGAGAAGTCATCTTGCAGGATGTGATAAGAGGCCAGGCGAAAAGGAATTGATACCATGATATTATGCGAGGAAACATCTTGTCAACATTAATTAATGCATTCACATGATCGGAGTACTTGATTCGCCACAGTAAAGCAGTCTTGGAATCTTGGCGATAGGCATGTACACTTTCAAGCAACCTCATTCCACAGTTGTCAGGGATGAACGGAATACTCTATGCATGTGCTCGCACGACTAATCATTCACAGCAAGGTGAGAAGCATTAGAAATCAACGTTTCAATTTTGAACCAGACAGTACATCATTTATTCATTTATCTTTCTCCCATACATGACCACACTCTTCAACAGAGAAATGGCTCACTCTCAAGTCAAGACTACATATATGTTGCAGTCACAAAGCCTATATCCCCTATGTCTTCCAAGACCCATCTGTGACAATATAATTGAAGAATAGAAAGGTTCCTTGTTTTACACAACCTTTTTTAAGAAACAGGCAAAAACAACAAGTATAACGAGTATAAAGACCCTTCCCCCCAAAGCGAAAAGCGAGCCGAAGGGAATTAAAAGAGATAGCCCTTCTTCAAAAGAATTAGTTTTCAGAAAATTCGAATACGTCGAAAAGTGGGAAGAAAGAAAAAAGACCACACGCGAAAATGACAGAGCTGTCACTGAAGACAACTGAAACTCCATTCCACCTTTGCGAAGATCGGGATGTACAGACATTGACCATCGACCATAAATCAAAACGAAGAGGGTGGGTATATTTGTGTCATGAAAGGCGTATCGGTATCCAGGAATTACTTGCGATTAGGTGTGTCGAGGCTTGTCCCCGTCATTGTGGTTTTCCTCCGTGTCAAGTCTCTTGCGCCAATCCGCCAGACTCTCGCTGAGGCCGACGCCAACAGCAGTATCGCTTTCCTTCTTGGCGCCAGAGGATCCATCGAAGTCAAAGTTGGTGCTCAATCGATAGTTCTTGTTGGTTGCCTCCCACTGGCTCCGAAGGGTTTCAAGCTCGTTGGCAAGGCTGTCCAGGGCTGCGCTGTTTCTAGCTTCCAGACCCCCGTTTCCGTTTCCGTTTCCATTTCCATTCCCGTTTCCGTTTGTACTTCCATAGACACTCTCGCCTTCGGAGCTCTCCTGTCTCGAATGCCCTAAGCCCAGGCCATTGGCACCGACAGCCACTTCAGAATTCACACTGGGCACTTGCCGGCTACGCCGACGGTAATTATCGACAGAATGCTCAACCTGGTCCAGCAGGAGGGCCACCTTTTGCTCAGCATCGTTTGCACGCTGCTCAAGGAGAGCATTCTCAGATTGCAGCTGCTCTAGATCCTTTCGATGGCTGTTCAACCTTTGTGTGGCCGCTTCATGATGCTGATTGGTCTCCTGTAGCTCTGTTTGAAGGCCGGCAAGTCTTTGCTCCATTTGGGCTGCGGACTCTTCAAGCTCTATCTCGAGACTTTGGATTCGCGCTTGGAGTTCTGCTTTCTCGCCCTCCCAGTTGGTAGAAGTCGAGGATGTTCCGGCTTGAGCGTTGTCCTCGAGATCTTCTATCTCTGTCTTCAAGCGGGCATTTTCCGTCTTATACCGAGACAATTGGTCTTTGAGTTGCTTAAGCATCTTCTCGGTGCCCTTGACATAATGCACGGCGGACTGATAGTCACTCTCCAGCTGCGATAGTTTCTCGCGCCAAGCCGCCTCAGACTCTTGGACTTGAATGGCAAACGCTTGCTTTGTTTCTTCATGGGCGGCAGATGAACTGGCGAGCTGAGATTCAAGGTCACGAACGCGATTCAAGTCAGGTGAGTTGGCCGGTGAGTTGATCCGCGGGTTTGTAATACCACGAGTGCGAATAGAGGCGGTAGGGCTTATGCCTCGTTCGCTCAAAATGTCCTTGAGCGCATTGTGCTGCACGGTCATGGCATTAGTTTCGAGTTGCTGAGCAGCTAGTTGGTTCTTGAGATCGGTATTGGCTGCCTGTAAGCTTTGCGTATCACGTAAAGCAGATTGTAATTGTCTTCTGATTGTGACACCTTCGCGACTTGACTGTTCCTGGTATTGTTCGAGCCCCGCAATACGCTCTTCTGCGCCACGTAGCTTATCGGCTGCCGCCTCAACTTCCTGCTGGTATTTCTTGACCAGTTCGTTTGAGGTAGCGAGTTGGGCCTGCAGAGCCGCAATTCGTTCGCTATCCGCTTTGCTCGGGCCAGAAACATCTCGAGCCGAGATCTTATCAAGACCTGCGAGAACTGCCTGCCGGGTTGTTCGAACTTCTGCTGCGTGCTTCTCCGAAAGTTGCTCAGCATCGCGAAGACGTTGGGTGGTAGCTACGAGCTCGGCAGTGCGAGCTTCATGCTCAAACTTAAGCTTGTTGAGCTGCGTCTCGATCTTCTCGCGCTGATTCCGTTCTTCTGCAAGCTTGTTTTCTAGAAGGGCTGTAGAATCCTCAGAGGCTACGATAGCAGCCCGAAGAGAGTCGAAAGTGTCGCTATGGTCTTTCGAGTTCCCAATAGCTTCATGGTATTTCTGCTCCATGTCGTTCTTCTCGATACGGAGTAGTTCGACAGTAGCGGCAACCTCGGCGCGAGCTACTGAATGTTCTCGCGCTTCATGTTGGGCAAGATGCAGTTCGGCCTTGAGTCTCTCAACCTCTGTCGACGTTTGCTGTTTGTAGCTTTCGAGTTCTGCCATGCGTTTCTGGGCAGCATTCGAGGTGTCATCTGCCAACAGGCGAGCCTTCCTCTCCGAGTCGAGCTCGCTCCTAGCGGAATCGAGTCGTGATTGAAGGTCTTTTTGAACATGCAGCGCAGAAGCAAGCTTCCTACTCAGCTCACTCGACCTAAGCTCAGAGTCATCCTTGGGACCATCGAGCTGCGGGGTACTTGCCGAGCTCCCACCCAGGTGCGCCGCGAGTTTGGCCTTGGAATAGATGGCTTCTTGGATGGCGGCATCACGTTGCTTCTCTGCCTCGGCAATCTGCTTGGCAGCGACAACGGCTTGCTTGTCAACTGCGGTCTGGACATTGGCAAGCTCGGATCTCATTGCTAACAAAGCCTCTATGAGTGGTCGATCCTCATCGTCGAAAGTCTCAGTGGCCTTGTTGTCAAGCAAAGGACTATACGAAGTGTTGGGGACGTAGCCAGCCTTCCGTGCCAGCTCCAATTCAGAAGCATACCAAGCATTTCGGTTTCGGGCAGAGTCCAGCTCCTTCAGAAGAACGACTGTTTGCGAGTTCCTTCCTGATGACCGTCTATTGATGTTATTGCTGGGTTGCCTTATAGGGACTGGTGGCGAAGCTGGCCGAGGCGCGATTGTTGGTTTGATCGAGGCATCTGACGTACCATCGGCCGGGCCTTGAGGTCGACCTTGCGGGACTTGTTTGACCTTGGACGCATCTCCACTCACTTGATCCTGCCGTGAAGCAACACGTGGTGGTTGTTGGACGGGTGTTCGTTGGCCGTTGGATGCAGGGCTATCAACCTCGCTGATTACTTCTCGTGTGATCGGTGAGCCAGAGTGCATCGTTCTTGGCGAACCGGAAGCGCCACCACGTTCTGCCGATTGCCCCCTAACTCGCGCCACTGCAGAAACATCCACGGTAGGCCTAGCAGGCATCGGGCCTTGAGGAGGGGGACCCGACGGAGGCATCGCTGAGGCTCTCGGAAGCTTTGCGTTTGCAACAGCGGGCTGCGAACCTTCAACCTCCACGCTATTAGGTGGTGATCGATGACCGTTGGGTGGAGCAGATGGCGCTCCCACAATCATCTTTCTCGAATCCGATGGGCCGTTTGATCCGTCTCGTGCAGGGTACGGACGATTACCCTCACTAGCACTCGGTCTACGTGAGCCTTGCACTCGCGGAGGCTGCGAAGTCTGTGGCGCATCGTTCGGGTATCGAATCTTTGAGGTGTCCAGAACATAGAGTAGTCCTAGATCGCTGACGGATGCGGTTGCTGAACTTGGCTCTCCACCAAGAACCACGATCGATTTACCAACCGTCGTCATGCTGTGGCCAGAGCGCGAGGAAGGAGAAGGCCCCATGTTTTGAAACGTGTACCATCGTCTCGATGAAATTTTGAAAGCCGCAAGGTCGCCAAGATCTGTCCCTTCCTCGGTCCTTCCTCCAAAGACGTACATGACATCGTCTACAAGAGCGGCGGCATGTCCTTCTCGCGGGGCTGGGATATAGCCAATGCAGTCGAATTGAGACCATTTGTTGGTCGCTGGATCGTAGCACCAAACGTCGTTGAACCACTTGAAACCATTCGTACCACCGAAGCTAAAATTCTGTCAGTAGCTGTTCAGGACTACTTGCAGTCAATACTCACAGATACATCTTGTCATTGAAGGTTATCATTGTATGATTCGTACGAGCTGCCGGCATCTTGGGGCTTGTCTCGCCATGGACTAGAATTTCCCAACGATTGTTTGGCATCTGGAGTTGGTTGAGATCAAATGCCGAAAGATCGTTCATAAACAGCCCCTCAACCTGACCTCCAAAAACGTAGATTTTAGAACCGAGTATATTGAGGGAATGGCCATAACGACCCGAAGGTCGTGGTCCGGACGGCAGAGCACGAGACCATTGTCTCGTTGCTGATCTGATTAGCGAATAAAAATGTATAGGTGCAATGAAGCTTACAAGTATTAAGAAGATAGAGCGTCTCGTCAAGAACATCAGACTCGTCGATCTTGGTATCTCCACCATACACAATGAAAGCATTGCCAACAAGCAAACTCGAGTGGCCGACTCTTGGGCCGGGACCTTCAGCAGTTGTCGCCAAGGGATAGCAGGCCATGTTACCTCCTGCCTCAATCATCCATAGGTCACCTTTGACAGTAGAGCCGTTAATTAAACCGCCCATCAAGTACACATCTCCCTCCTTCGATGACACAGAATTAACAGCGGCCCCGTATCGTGGGAATGGTGGAGGATGGGTGGAAGTATATGTTAATCGACGTTGTGACCAGGGGTATAGCGATGCATTAGGCCCATTCATGGGAGGCCCATTTCGTAACTGGGTAGTGTGTTAGCAGTTGCCAATAAGTCAAGACAGTCAACACTGTAGAGGAAATTGCATAGAAAACTTACAGATGGGTCGCTGGGTTGTTGAGTTGACTGATCAGCACTTCCACCACGGCGCCCATGGCCATGGTTTTGTGCAGGCCCAGGTCCCTGATCAGGGCTTCCGGCCGTGACTTCATTTTCTATTGAGTTCACGCTTCCGGTAGGGGTTGCACGATGCTGTAAAGAGCCCTTTTCAGCGGCGCGGGCGGTGATGCTTTGAATCGACCCTTGGGAGCCAGAACCTGCGTCGCGGCTGGCAGATTGCGACTTGTCTGGATGTTTCTTCGATTTGAACAGGAAAGCCATTATTTATCGCGAAGAGGCCGCGGTGCGGCAAGAAGTCGGTTCGAGAGCAGTATTTGTCGTCTTGCAACTAGGCAGGATGCAATGGGGGGGAAGTCGCGGGAAATCGGACGTTATCGTGGTGTAGCGGTCGCGTGTTAAGGATCACCAGGAGACAAAGCGGATATTCCGACTGCTGAGGCGATCCAGCCACAAACGTAGAAGCAGGTACGGATATCGATATTCGAATTTCGAAATGGCTGGGCCAGCATTGGTGAACGTGCTGACAGAACGCGAATTGTACTCTGGAGATTTAGAGATGTGGTCAACCTCCCGAATTACAGGGAGTCCAAGGTAGGGGAGGGGGTTGGCCTCGGAGTGGACGATGCGCTGTCGCACGCTGTTAAGCAACAAGAATTTCTTTTTGTATCGTTCTGCGTCCACGCAGTTGCTGGTTGTTTCAAATGGTCGTAAACATCAGGCGGCTTGAAAGGAGGATGAAAGAGTGACGATACGGCGGATAGAAAGCCCCCGTTGGGTTGGCGCAGCAAAAGATGTGAGATGGAAAAGCAGGTGGTGATGGTCAGGTACGAAATAAGTGACCAAAGCCTGCGACAGCTGCAACGGAACGGAAACGGGCAGCGCAGCGATAGATGGGGCTTAGTCCTTGCCTCTTCTGATGTGGATGTGGATATAGATTGGAGGACAGCTACATTGCTAGGTTGCTTCTTACAGTAGCCTCTGTGGCCTTTCTACACATCCGTAGGTGTTAGGTTGGTACTCACTTGTTGTCTTGTGCTGTAAGGGCAGATAAACTACTAAGGAACATTCTCTTCTAATCCCTGGAACCGATGGCCAATCAGATCTTGAGCTTTGATGTGCCCCTGGGCGGCCCTCGCCCGGCCCATCATCCTGGACCATATTAGGGGTTCCATTCTGACCAACTTAGAGTGCCAATGCAACAGACTAGCCAACACTTTGCATGGATTTGTGTCTAAATGTCGAGAGAAACAGATGTTTATATTTGCCTAGATCTTTTGAGAACAAACTATATGTGGCACATGCTGTTGACACTAGGCATCGAGGCAAGATTATTACGTGATGTTCAGCATTCACACACTTATACATGCGTGGATATGAGGTGGCAGTGTCTTCAAAGTATGAATCATGGCTAACATCTCTCACAATTCAATTCATATCGCAAAAATAAGAAGCACGGCAGTTATCAATCGCTGTCGCATCAGGATGCAATTTATTAGGCTGCTTGGTACACCTTTACGCGATTTGATGTCACATTCCGACTATTGTACTCGTTTCCGCAGGGTGTCTTTGTTCTAATGCATACAGAGAGGTAGTCTACTGTTTGTACTATTTTCTACGTATGGATCTTCCCTACCTCGAGAAGTGGAGATATCCCGATACCCAACGGCTGGGGACAACATAATGACAAGGTCCATCCAATTGCCCACCGACTGGTGTGCCCCTTTTGTGCATGTGTTCTGTACCTGACAGGAAGCCACTTTACGAATTGGTCATAGTTTCAAGTCCGCAGAAGAGCGCTTAAATTGTCACTCGTTCTATTGCCAATTAATACTCAAGAAAGAGATGATCAAGTATTTGAAGTCACACTGTACAGAGCCTTGGAACTTGTACACAATCATTTGGTTTCATACTTCCAAGCAATAATGGAAAGCGCCATGACCCTAACACATATATGTTAGTATGTATACCTACCTACTAAGGTATACATCAATCATATATGTACGTGCTCTCCGGACTACGCATGAGCGTGGGTTTAACTGCATATGATAAACAATACTAGATAATTGCAAGTCGAACTGCACCGACCTGATTTTATTGTCATGGGTGGTTCAACATGGAGCGTTACTCCTATCATTAGAGGCCACTGCGTCACTATTACTTACGTTATACCTACCTACCTCTTAGGCACTTGCTGCTCCATGTTACTACTCTAAGACTACAGACACGAATAGCATTATCAAAATATAAGAAGCCATCTACCCAGATAGTGAATGCTATGTAATCAACTGATAGTTGATTTGATATGACCTTGAGAACAAATTATCGTTTACTAGTACAATATGTATGAGAAATGGAAAGCAGATCGAACCAGCATCCATATTTGTGTCGTTTCATGTTTCTCGGACGCTAACGTGGTCAAACTCAACGGTCTTAGTACCCATGCCAAGTTTCCCGGTGATTACTGCTCTTTTCAACCCCACTCAATTGATGAAAGAAAGGGGCGAAACACTATCATTAGTACCACAGCGAATTGTGAGGATGACGAAGAGGGCGGTTAAACCAGTGTGAAATCGATGCTGTGATCCAACTTTAAAGTCATTAGGTATATGAATAGGATTTTATATCGATTTCACATATTCAAGAGCATATATCTTCCTGTGTCATCACTCACCTGAACCGGTAGTCGACTGTTGGGTCATTGGTACTGCCTTGTAGTGGAAAACTCGAGCCCAAAAGAGACATATCGCTGCGGAATTGCAAAGAATCAAATTAATAGGCAATGGTGATGATGACAATGCACCCGGAAGAAATATGCAGGTAGTACCTATTGGGTACCTAGTAAGTTATCTATAGGCAGGCATCTATTATCATTGAGTACGGAGTACCTACTTAGGGATAACATGTAAAGAACTCCGATTTCAAACAAAACCTCCTGAGGTAGCCATGTGTATGGTCTCACGCATTGCACTCCTAATGGCCTTCTTAGTATCTAACACCTACCTATATTACCTTAGTACCTTGTACTTTTGATTGGCAACTCAGCGCTCCGTTACTGACATCAATGCTTCAGAGCCCATCTGATGGTGGTTGGCCAAATAACCCGGAGTTTTCCATCTACTCGAGTTTGAACTGGGACAACGGATTGGACAACTGCAGAGATCGGTGCCTAACATGGAAACTGTTCAATACGGGACTTGGATTTACTACTAATGCAGTATCACATCGTTGCAATCAGATGGCAATTGAAAGTAACCAGTTGCTATGAGTGAAAAGGTAAACCGTTTTTTCTAAGATGCAAATTCTAATTCAGCATGTAAGCAACACATGCACAACTACCTAACAGTAGCCGGTCGTTGTTAGGAATTCCTAACTTTTTGGCGTTATCCTGGTCAGCCACATGGACTGTAGACCGAAACTCTAAGCCTCATATTTTACTCCTCTCGTTCACCTTCAAAAAAAATACCTACCTTCTGCACCCGACTAAATTTATCGACGAATTCAAGTCAAGGAAGTATTCAGTCGCGGTCTCAATAAACCGAGCACTGATTCGCAATGCCGGCTTGAGCTACACAGCAGAGCATGACAGCTGTGTCGCTACAATAGACGTCACTTCCTCCACATCTCTTTAGCCAGCTACCCGCACCCGCCTTACTGCAAGCTCCTCCGCCAACGCTAGACCCAAACTCCCGCCAACTCGTGCTCGTCACGACAACACGCGCTTCTTGGCCACAACAACACTGCTTCATAGGCAACGATAATCCGCAATAATTAGGTCGCCATGGCGCTGCGATCCGATATCAACGGCACCTCTGCGCCCACAGCTGAGCCAAATGGGGTCGCCTCGGCCACGAGACCCAGGCCGAACGGCCGCTCAACCTCGAACGATGCTACTAGGAGCGACGAAGACGGCCAACGGCCCTTGAGCGCACCAGGCCGCCGCAACGGAAGCATAGCCCTGGAGACGAGAGATGATATCGAGCACCATCAGCAGACGCGGCCTGCGAAGCCGTTGCTTCTCAGATCGAAGAGTGACTACGCGCCACGGCCGATGGATGAGCCTGAGCCTATAGAAGAAGATATACCTGATTGGGGTGCTAGACACGGTTTTGAGGACCATTATCAATCTGAGGATATTATATCTCAACTGGCTAATGTGAGTTGAACTCCTCATTAATTCTTCCCTGTGCGCTAGTCGGTCAGTTCCGGTACACCCCAAATTCTGTATCATGCTCGATTGACGCAGGACAAAACATCCCGGTTACAATGTATGCTGTGGCACGTGGGAACAAACACCATACCCATCTGCGGACTTCTTTAACTGGTCCATTTGACCGCTTGGTTGTTCTCCCTGGGCTGTTGTGAATATCCTCATAAACACACACATACATACATGTACAGAACTCATGACAAGAGCATTCCGTCTTCGCGATGTCTTCCAGTTTTCAACCCATTAATCTAACGCTACTTTGCAGAATTGGTACATGTACTATACCGATAAACGACATGAAACGACAGGCAAACCGAAACCACCCCAGTACGAGCTCCAAGATTGGCGACAAAGGGACAGGTTAAAAACAGTATCCGCAGCTCTTGCGGTGTGCTTGAACATAGGGGTTGAACCTCCCGACCAACTTAAGACCAATCCAGGAGCGAAACTTGAGGCATGGACGGACCCGACCGTTCCCCCAATTCAGAAAGCCCTCGAAAACATCGGCAAGGCCCTACAGGCACAATATGAAACTCTCGCGATAAGAGCGCGATACAAACAGTACCTAGATCCTTCTGTCGAAGAGACGAAAAAGTTCTGCATCTCGCTACGTCGAAATGCCAAAGAGGAGCGTGTTCTTCTTCATTATAACGGACATGGTGTTCCAAAACCTACCGCATCGGGCGAGATATGGGTTTTCAATAAGAATTACACCCAGTATATCCCCGTATCTTTATACGATCTGCAACATTGGCTGCAAGCTCCCACTATCTTTGTCTGGGATTGTTCTGAAGCTGGCAATATCCTGAACAATTATCACAGATTTGTCGAGAAGCACGAAGAGGAAGAGGAAGAAGCTGCAGAGCGTGATCCCAACTACACAAAGACAAATTTCCGGCCTTATATTCACTTGGCTGCATGTGCTGTGAAGGAGAATCTGCCAACAAACCCTCTGCTGCCTGCCGATCTCTTTACTGCTTGTCTCACTACTCCTATTGAGATGGCTCTGTGGTTCTTTGTTCTACAAAATCCTCTCAAAACAAAGGTCAGTCCAGAGCGAGCGAAAAAGTTGCCTGGCCGGCTTCAAGAACGGCGAACACCACTTGGTGAGCTTAATTGGATCTTCACCGCCATCACAGATAGCATCGCGTGGACAACGTTGCCGCGTGATCTATTTCGCAAGTTCTTCCGACAGGATCTCATGGTGGCGGCTCTATTCCGCAATTTCCTGCTAGCACAGCGGGTCATGACTGTCTATGGCTGTCACCCTCAATCTTATCCTAAGCTGCCAGACACTCATCAGCATCCATTGTGGGAGACTTGGGACCTGGCTGTAGACATGGCGCTATCTCAGCTCCCTGCATTGGAGAAGAAGGAGAGTGAAGGCTATGATTACGAGTACCAGAATTCGAGCTTCTTCACAGAACAACTTACCGCTTTCGATGTTTACCTTACGAGAGGCGATGCAATGGCTCAAAAGTCGCCCGATCAGTTGCCTGTTGTGCTACAGGTCCTGCTCAGCCAACAGCATCGCGTCAGGGCCCTTATCTTGCTTGGGCGCTTTCTTGACTTGGGTCCATGGTCTGTCCAGCTCGCTCTAAGTATAGGCATATTTCCATATGTTCTTAAACTTTTGCAGTCTGCTGCAGCTGAGCTGAAACCCGTTATGGTCTTTATATGGGCACGTCTCATTGCAGTGGACCTTTCTTGCCAGCAGGATCTCATCAAAGACAGCGGCTACAGTTATTTTGCACAAATCCTCAAACCTTCTGAGGGGCTGCCCGTTGTAGACAGCGATGAACACAAAGCTATGTGCGCTTTCATTCTGGCAATGCTCTGCAAAGACTACAAGAATGGCCAGATGGTTTGTAATCAGACAGACATCATGACTTACTGTTTGACACATCTTCAAAATGAAGAGAACCCTCTCCTCCGACAATGGGCTTGTCTTTGCATAAGCCAGCTGTGGCAAGACCTTCCAGAGGCGAAATGGCGAGGTATCAGGGAGAACGCGTACGTCAAGCTGGCTTATCTTGTGAGAGATCCTTGTTGTGAGGTGCGAGCCGCCATGGTTCATGCCATGACCACATTCCTTGGCATTCCCGATCTAACAGAGGAAGTGGCTCGAATTGAGGAGTCGATCGCATGGACCATACTTGATATGGGGAATGACGGAAGTCCGATGGTTCGTAAAGAGTTTGTCGTTTTCCTGTCACATTTCGCTGTTCGCTTTGAAAGTAAGTTTCTAGTTGCAGCTTACGAACAGCTAGTTGAGGAGAAGGAGTATCTCATCTTCCCTCCCCAAGACGACGGCCAGGAGCACAAAATGGGCTTGCATTACGCAAGGCCGGAAAACCGCAACAAGGATGGCACCATCAAACCAATGGCCCACGGTCTTTCTCACAACACCGTATACATGGCCTTATGGAAGTTGGCTCTGGTTCTTAGTGTGGATCCTCACCCTGAGGTACAGCGAGAAGCTACTATTGTGGTAGACTATGTTCACCACGCGCTTCTCAGCTCAAAGGTCGGTGCTCAGACGCAACTCGTCATGGCCGAAATTCAAAAGCGCGCGACAAGACTGGCAAATAGACACATGACCAATACAAGCCAGCGGAACAATGCCATTGGTTCTTCCAACTCACAGCCATTGCCTTCACCTGGGATCTTGCGCCGAACTGCCAGTTTGCTCTTCCCGTCATTAGTCACCAATGAAGACAAATCGAGACCAACAACACCAACCCTGCCTCGATCACCCTCAATGAAACTCGTTTCGAACCAAGTGCCTGTGCCTCCCGAACAAAACGATCGCACCTCAGCGCAGGCATTATACAATGTTGCGCATGAACCATATTCAGGCGCATTCAAAGAGCGAGATTTAACAAAACCCCCCACACTCCCACTTAAGAGCAGATTCCTGGAATGGTCCATTGAATACTTCCGTGAACCACAGATGAAACCAAGCGAAGCAGACGAGCCGGGAAGCACCGAGTACAACGAGCGGCTCTGGCGAAGAGCTCGAAACGAAACCATCTTCCGAGAAACTCAGCCATTAAAGCAACAAGCGGGAAGCCACAAGTGGAACAACCAGCTTGGAATTGTCAATAACGGGGCTCAGCCTGCAAAGATGACATTTCACCAATTTGAGGATCATCTTGCTGTCGCAGATGAGGGCAACACGGTTTACGTATGGGATTGGAAGAAACAAGGTCGATTGAGCCGATTCAGCAACGGAAACCCAGAAGGTTCTAAGATCAGCGACATGAAATTTATTAACGAGGATGACCAAGCGATGTTGCTTACAGGATCTTCCGATGGTGTGATTAGAGTATATCGCAACTACGAATCGGACAGAGCCATTGAGCTTGCCTCTTCTTGGCGTGCCTTGACACACATGGTACCCAGCAACGTCAACTCAGGAATGGTGTTCGATTGGCAGCAGGTCACAGGCCGGGTCCTTGTTGCCGGTGATGTCCGAGTTATTCGAGTATGGTATGCGGCTTACGAGACCTGTGTCATGGACATCCCAGCGCGTTCGGGATCCTGCGTGACTTCTCTAACTTCGGATCAAATGACAGGCAACATGTTTGTGGCCGGCTTTGGAGACGGCGCTGTTCGCGTTTTCGATACAAGGAACAGACCTCAGGAGTCAATGGTACGCAAGTGGAAGGACGAATCAGATCGGCAATGGATTAAGAGCGTCCATATGCAGCGCGGTGGTCAGCGGGAACTTGTGAGCGCAAGCAGAAACGGCAAGGTCAAAATCTGGGATATCCGAATGGACAAGCCCCTGCATTCGTTCCAAACAACACGGGACACGCTCCGGACCGCCAGTACACATGAACACCTGCCGGTCTTTGCAGTGTAAGTATCAACTTTGGTGGAATCTGCGACTGGAAAGACAATGGGCTAACTTCTTATCAGGGGCACATCAGCTCATACCGTCAAGGTATTCAATCTCGACGGCCATGAGCTCTCAAGTGTTGAGCCTTACTCGAGCTTCTTGCAACAGAATCGTAGCTCGGCTATCTCAGCAACCGCATTCCACCCTCATCGTCCAATCCTGGGATGCGCTGCTCGAGGAGATCACCACATCAATTTTTTCACCTGCGAGAAATCCGAATCTATGTCCTCAAGTTAGCGTCCTTGGGTTAGTAGGTTTCACGTATAGTTAATCAGTCATGCGTCCAAGAATTTGAGACGGGATGAAATCCGATACCAGCATCAGGATGAGGGAAGGGCAATGAATGTTCTCTGTACAGTTGCATGTTGCATCATCAGGATTTCTTTTGATACCTATCGGCGTTATGGGGGAAGACAAGCGAGACGATTCAAAGTTGCGAGTGAGATTGCGTTCTTCGACTGACGTGTTTCTCAGGGCAACATTTTATGCGACTCTTTAAGTTAGTTTCGTTTAGACGAGGGATTGTGGCATTGATGGGATGTATAGTACACTAATACAAATTGCTATTAAGCATTCGTGAGCATGCGGCTTGTGACATGACTGCGTTCCTCGAGAATCATCGGTGACAGTCTGTGTTCCCTTTTACAATATCCTCTGCTAGACATTTGTCAATATACAAGCAATGCTTGTTCCATGCTCGCTGGAGTAACACAATTCCTACAATAGTGAGAACACTAAGCTTTCAGCATAATGGTCAGTATTGCTGAACTCAAGAATACAAATATCAACATGAAGGGTCGATGCGTGAAAGAAAACGTGGACATCTTTTCTGGGTCCAGCAACTCGAAGACGGTGGTGGTATTATTGGTTGGGTCGTGTGGTTGCAATGGTTGCGTGATGCTCTTTGAACCTTTGGGCGTGCATCTAGCCTATGAGCCTATATTCCACGCATCCACGACGTTGTTGCGTCGAAAATTTGATAGGACGAATAAACTGAAAGGCTTCTTGTGGATGCTGCAGCCACAGTTGGTAGGCCGAGACGGGGCTCTGGAATGGGATTGAGTTCGAACTCAGCAGTGATCTGCCTGTCTTACTTACATTCGTAGTTGCGCGCTCTTGTTTAGAGGCAAGGCAGGTCGGGTTCACGACCAAAACGTTCTACCATTTCCTCAATTCTGTTTAACGAATGGCTATAGTACCCGGGTGCACCTACCGCCCTGAACAGGTAGTAGTATGTGTGTTTTTCCGCTAAAGCGGGTGCGTGAGATCTAATCGCTTCCCCACGTTCTACAACTTTCAACATACCTTGTACATCCATGGTACATCGTCACCAAAACCAAGCCACACCACGATGCGCCCGTTTAACGGTTATCTCAGGCATTGTGAGCCCACGTATCGTGGGAAATGTGAACCCGAACTCCGGAACAAAAACACCGTTATCCTTACCTGGTTCGGTGGGCCTGGAAGCTTGCTGCATATACTATGCACCAAGGGTCTTGGGATACTACTTGTGAGGCGGGTTCAGCGGGGGAATGCGCGAAGCTAGGTTTGGCTATTATTGGTTACACAGAACGCCGATGTGTTGACGATGATACGTACGGGGACCTAATAGAAGCAGGAATCCAGGCTTTTCATGGTCTCCGATTACTTACTTACGTACTTGACATATCATCTGCGTGTACTTCACCCAGTCAAGTCTGGGACAAAGTTGCCCAAGGTCTTACTTACATGCCTAGGCAGACACTCAACTCGTGCTCATGCTCATCGAGGTTGAGGCGGGTGCCAACAACCAACCATTCGGCAGTCTTACCTTATCGCCGGGTAGCCTCCAGTTTCTTTAGCATGTAGCCATGCAGTGATCAAAGTTTACACGCGTTATTTCCCATGTAGACCCGAGGGGTATGGTGGAGATGCAAAACCCGAGAGAACTCAGAACGTCGGCCGAGCCATGTCATGTCTGAGCTAGCGATTACCGCACAAGTAGAAACCAAAGATACGGGCGAGGGCTTCCTGTTGCAGGATTAATCATTGAGGATCCTTCTGAGGGTCTGGTGGTGAAGGAGCGGGCAAAGCGGGCGGGCGGCCGACTAAGCAGAAGTCGGATGCAGATGGAGCTACGGCTGAAGTTGTTGTCTGCTATGCGACATGTGCTAGGTATGCGATGCTCGGTGAGCAAGCAAGACCTGGCTGAACTTAGATAACTAGTAGTTAGACATCAAAGTGGGTTACGTGTTCTGAAAAAGGGCCGAGAATTATACATTAACTACTGAACGGCCCTGTAAGGCTGCGAATGAGGGTCGTTCCATATGTCGCGAGGTGTGTTTTTGGTGTTGTTTAGTAGGTAAACTCAAGTTAACAAGAACAGAACACAGTTGGAGATACTGCCTGATTAGGCATAGTGAAATGATTTGCCGCTCAGTCTGAGTCTGAGTCTGGTCACCTAGCTGAATAACTAACTACCTAACTACATGGTAGAATACAGCACACAGACGAGATATTCCAATTTGGATGATCCCGACAAAGGCATAAAGTGCAGATCCACGGTGACCCCCATTCTATCCCATGCGATGGAAGAGCCTGCTATGCTTACCTACACGAGAACGCCCCACAAGCGACCCAAGACAGAAGGAGGAAAATTAAGACCAAGCATTGAGTTGTCGTTTTGGTCGGGGGCTAGGAAATGGATACTGTCAGTGTCAAGTATGCATTACCAGGCACCTTTGAATCCGCTAAAAGCCATTAGTCTATGGAGTCAGCAGGTGCTTAGTTAAAAGGTCGTTAGAATACCTATTATGTAGTACATCTCCAGATCTTAACGTTGTGTATCTGAAACATGACGTACGTTGGAACTGACTGACTGACATGAGGGTCAACGCCACTATACAGAATCGCTCAATGCTATGCCATGATAGGCACCCGAACAGCATTGAGTCAAGGGCAGTTTTCCTGGGTTTTCGCAACCCTCCATACCCATCTGCATCAACGTTACCGTTCGAGGTAACTAAGGCAGGCCTGCATGCAGAAAAGACAGCCGCAATTTCCGAGTTATCTTCGAACGTCTGCACAGCCATCAGGATCCTTGTGAGATGACTGAATCAACTACGTTGACTTGGTGGGTAAAGCAAAGACGCAGCGAGAAGAAGACAGAGGAGAAAAACTAAAGAACGAATTAAATGCACAGTAACGTCGGCCGCCTGCTGCAGCTTCCCCGTCAAAACTCCTCCTAGATGACTCTTTAGCTTCGAACGCGACATGGAACCCTTTCCGTCAGTCTGAACAAGCTCTCTGAGGCCTTTTTTATCGTCATCCAAAATGTCTCTTGACAACATGTTCGTTCCCAAGAGTGGGACTGGCTATCTACCTAGGTATGTTGATATCCTCCCTTATACCCTGGCCTTGCTCCAACTTGGCAACGACTAATAGAATATGCACGTCAAAAGGCAAGTGCCGTGCCCAGCAATAATTTGCACCGCCATCTTACTGCATCGCGTCTAGCTTGACCAAGATCGAGAACCCACATCTGTCTCTTAAAAGGACCCAGACCCAACCTTTCCCGTGCCCCCGTTCGTGAAACGGATTCTACGTTATACTTTATCGAGACCCTGTTGCTGCTCCGTGCTCACCTTAGCTTGACTTCCTACACCTACCACTTGCTCTCATTTCCCTCCTGACCCTGTCTCTTCCTCCTCATTCAACACCATCTATCTACTCTGTACCTGCCTTCCTGCCTGGACAATAGCCCTTCCTAGGAATACAATATTACCTAGTTGTTGTTCTCCTCCTCTACTCTACTCTACTCTACTCTACTCTACTCTACTCTATCTATCTACTGCTTAAAAAATAAGCCCGACCAACTCTTTCGTTCCCTGAGCGGCATTGGGTTGCCAATTGCCCACCATCACTCATCGCATTCATCTCAGGCTTTTTTGTCCGCCTAGTCCACCTATTTTGTTCCGCCACAGTCACTGTTTCTTTCCCAACCGCCGCCTCTGAAACGATCACAATGGATTTTACCGGGCAATACAACTTCGCCAACCCTCAGCCCTACCACCAGTTCATGCCGATTCCTCCTCTGACGCCGTCACACTCTCATTCCGCCGGCTCCGACGATTTCAATGCATCCCCGCCTGTCAGTAAATGTTCTTCTCCGCGATCTCTCCCCCACTCCCCCAGTGCAGCCCTGCCTTAGCGTTCTCTTACCTGAGCATTACTCTATCAACCTTCAGCCTTAGATGTCCAACGTCTTCGGCTTCTTCTCCCTCGTACCTGCAGCTCGTTTATTACATGCCACTAGCGCATCTAAGCTGACGTCGTATTTGACTTGTGCATAGGAAAACTACGACGGCCTTCCCACCACCCAAAATGACCAGTTCCAATCTTTCGATTATACAACAGCCCAAGGCTTTAACGCCAATCCTCATCAGCCTGCGTCCGGTTTCCCTGGACCTCCCACGCCTCCAGGCCAGAACGTCTTCGCTTCCCAAATGCAAGCCCACCGACAGCAAGGAGGCTCGATGAGAAACGGCTCTCCTGATGAACAATCAATCGCTCGAGGGGGCAGCGAAGAGGATGAGAATCTGACTCCTGCTCAGTCGCGAAGAAAGGCACAAAACCGCGCTGCGTAAGTTTTCCCGGCGCTCTTACTTTCGTGCAATTATACCACTTCGCATTTTTGTCAAACGCTTTCCAGGGTTTCGATACATAATAATTGCCGCGGACGAGTTGTTCCCATTTGCTCATCCAGCTAACGAATCGTTCTACAGACAACGCGCCTTTCGCGAGAGAAAGGAGAGACATGTCAAAGATTTAGAGGCGAAGCTTGCTGGCCTCGAGGCTGCACAACAACAATCGTCTATCGAAAACGAGCGCTTAAAGCGCGATCTTCAAAAAATATCCACCGAGAATGAGATATTGCGGGCCACATCGCACACGGGCCATGGTTCCATCTCTCCCGAGCCTGCAACTGGACCACTGCGCTTCAAGCCTACAGACTTCTACTCCAATGTCTTGCAAAACCACACAAACAAATCACCCTCCCACCGCATCGTCACCTCAGATGATGGCGAACGACTTCTCGCTGCCGGCGCCACGTGGGATTTTATCATTTCTCATGAACTGTTCAAGAAAGGTCTGGTCGATATAGCTGATGTGAGCGAGCGTCTCAAGAACTGTGCCAGATGCGATGGCCAAGGCCCTGTTTTCTCAGAACGTTCAATCACTAGTGCCATTGAGCAAAGTGTTGCCAGCGGCACTGATGACCTCCTCTGAACGACGAATGAGGCGCAAAAGGGGCCATTCGGCAGAAACGGTATATACGTGGCTTCATCATGATTGACGTATATCACATAAAGGAAATCAGTGGATAATCTATGATACCCCCGCCCGTCGGGGCTTTATGGCGTGGCGTTTTGTATTCGGCATTTAAGGATTCATCGAGGGGAATTCTGGGGTTTCGCGTCAAAAGTATGCAACACTTGCATGTGTGTAAACGCGACCTAGCTACGAGGAGTTATTAAGGGGTTATCAAAGACGCGTTTCCCATTGTCAAATTCCTCTTGGCAGGTCCTTTTGAAGGGATCAATCAGACATTCAAACGTTCGTGCCTGGTCACGATTATGACAGCAAATATTGGATTACAAATAATGACAAAGTTTACAACAGAAGAGCCTCCGTGATACAAAACTATACTACAACCTCGAAGACACTGGCACATCTCGAGTGCAAATAATACAAACCAAGATACGCTGCAGAACTCCAGAAGAAAACCAAAACCCTTCGTCGTAAAATCATACATATCTCCTCGTTAAACCTACCCGAAACCATGTCTCTCAAACGTCGGTCTATGTACCCATCGCTATTACTTTCTTTCTCCCCCCTTTAGATACGTAACCCTTTCTGTTCTCTCCTCTCTGCTTTGGTGGATAACGTTTCCATTATTTCCTTTCAATAAGTCATTCATGCCTCAGTGTTCAGACGAGATGCACGACTGAAAGGTCGACGAGGCAAAACAAGGACTTGATTTTCAGAATCCTGCTGTCGCGCCAGGTCTCGACATGTAAGGAATTATCTAGTCCTTCTTAGTACCGTTGGCCTGGGGTCCTTCGTTCTCGACATAAGGGTGCTTGATGGTCAGGCACCAGATATCAAGATAATCGCAGATGGTGACGATGACATCAACAACGAAGCTGCCATACACACCAGCAGCCGTTCCGAGCATCATGAACATGAAAGCCACCTGGTAAACACTGTCACCAAGAGCACTAGGCCAGCCGACCCCAAGATGCTGTTGGAAGATGGGCCCCAAAGAGTCGATGACACCAAAAGCGAGGGGTAGACCCAGCACGTTCCAGTAGGGAAATCGCAAATGGACAAGGTGTGCTGTGATCATTTGTCCAACACTGTAAGCATTGACGAGGCCAGCAAAGAGAGCAAATGGGACGAGATGACACTGGCGAATCGTGGGCTGGAGGTACAGATAGGCAACGATCATAGACCAAATGCTGAAGAATGGCACGAGGCCGAGGAGAGCACCGCGGGAACGGTCTCCACGAGCGCGACGAGCACGGATGACGTTGAGAGAAGACTCAACGGTGTTGAAAACCAGCATAATGCTGCCCTGAACAAGGTACCACTCAGTGAAGGTGAGGTTGTAGATGAAAGAAGGGACGCCGACGGTGGAAGGCACACCAATGGTTTGGAACATGCTCTGTTGCCAGAAATGCGCACCGCCGACATATCCGGTAAAGATGAAAACCAAGACGATTGCGAGAACGCCCTCGACAGGACCGTTGACAATGCCGAGAGTCAGAGTCTTGGTGTGGTAGGTCTCCCAGGTCTGAACGTAGAAGGTCAAGAGAGCTGAGAAGTCAATATCATGATCTCGATAGAATTGTGAGTGTAAACTTACATGCGAACAGCACAGCCACGGTCTGCCAACTTTGTCCCATGTTCTGAGAAGCGGCAAAGAGGAGGACCTCAAGTGATGTATTACAAGCGTCCACGCCATGGTCAAAGAGCTCGCCAAGAGGTCCGGATTGCCGGGTTCGTCGCCTGCATCACTTGAATCAGCACAATTGTCTCACAACAAGTGTCCTCCGAGTTTACTCACGCTTGGGTTCCGTCTACAGCGTCAAACGTTTGATATAGGAATAATCCCAGGGCCCAGGAGTAGTATACCCATGGAGGACAATCCTGGTCCAGTGAGGGCGTGTACCACAACATGGCCAGAAAGTTTGCAACGACAAAGGAAAACCCTGTTAGGGTGATGGCGTTAGGGGCCATGCTCATGGGGAAGCACTTTATAACGAAATTGGTGTAGAAAGGCTTGAGAACATATTTGGAGAGCAGCGAATGGTCAACTCCAGAGTACTTGTACTGCTTGAGCGCCGGGAGCTCCTTTTGCCGTACGTAGACCATCGTTGAAGCTTTAGTTGTTCAGCTGCGGCTTCTTTTCCCTGGTGTTTGTGTATTTTTGCTTGCGTATTTCGGTTGATTGCAGAGAGATCGTCTGGTATCGTGGCCTTTTTTCTCCTTCAAGTGGGTAAAACCTGGGTTATGTCCGCTTCCGCTCTGCGCTTTCGCTTGGCCGATGGTGCAAACTCGGCTTCTTCCCGGAGCAGGCAAGGTTTCGCGGTTTTCTCAGGTTGGCTAAATGTGTACAGCAGACAGACGTGGTTGTTTAAAGCTCTATTTCAAGAAATCAGAAGCTGAGATGGAGAAATTCGAAAGTTGGCAAAAGCAAGCCAAAATGGTGAGAAAAAGATGCCAGCAGGTTCGAAAAGTGGACCGATCAGAGACCAACGACTCTGGAGGCAGGAGGGGAAGAGGGACCAGATATCGAAGAAGTAAAAGAAGATCTTCCAGGTATCCAATCTTTTCCGTTACTCACTGGTGTGACGTACCTGGTATTTTCACAAGTATGTACTGTTTCTGCGGTTAACCACCTGGACAAAAACACGTACGCGTGAACTCAAGCTTTTGAGGATCTTCCTGTTTCACTGTTTGATGGGAAATTAGTCAAGATAAGATCCCCAAGCGAAGACGGGGGGCCCTGATCCAACGTCATGGGATCCACCCACACTTCCATGTCTTTTCGTCATCTACACTACCCCGTAGGCGTGGTTGATCAATTTGACATGTGCTATCACATTTAACCCTCGTGACGACTTCTTTAACATCTCCAACAACCATTTACATATCTACCTATACTGTAGAGAGTAAGTGATCCAAGTAAACGCGCAAGTTCTGGTACTACACATATCCTGCTATTAGTAGCCGTGCAAGGGGAATCAGCATGTGATAATTTCTCTTCTTCATTCAAATGTCTACCTAAGGTAGTAGAACGAGTTCTTATACTGCTATTGTGCGATCCAGCGGATGTACATGTATGTGGCACTTCGTGTCCTTTAGGGCATAGAACATATCGCAAATGTCGAACCCAAAAGACATCCAACCTTCATGCCTTGCATTGGCCAACACAAGGTTATCGTCTGCCTACGTCTTCCCAGAAACCATACCATGTTGACATGTATAATGCATCATATAAGGGGTAGGTCATACTCCTGCCTTCCATATCATTCTTAACCAACAATTCACTACCTGGTAGCCTGAACTGATGAGGCATGGCCGGTGTTGTTCTTCTGCCACTCCTCCCCGACGAACTGCTGGACGTTCGCGTGTGCCATGTTGAACAACGGACGAGCATGTTCCGCAACTGCCATGCGGTTGGCATGATTGATACTCATCGGATAGTGATAATCACCTTTTTTGGAAGGGCGTCCATCTCCGATTGCACCAAAAGCCCCCTTAACTATGGGTGGTTGGACTTGTATGGCAATCTCATCAGATGAAGCCAAGAGGAAGTCAGCTCCTGCGTACCAAGCACGGTTGACCTCTTCACTGCGTGTTTCTATGTCCCTTACAGTCCGGGTTCGAGGTCCTTGAGCATACGAGTGCTGTGTGTGCTTTCGTGATGACGCCCGGCAGTCAGAGGCCACAGTCGACCCCCAGGCCCATGGGGGTGTCACGTTTGAGGGCTGCAGTGGTTCCTGTACCAGATAGCTTAGAATTTCGCTAGTGCGAGCGCTTTCGTTACCGATGTCTGAGTCCTCAGTATAGTCTGCGGCAGTTGTGGATGTAGGTAGAGGACTATTGGACACCAATGGAGGCATCGTCTTGAGAGAAGGTGAGTCCTGCTCCAGGCTCATAGCACCAATACCTGCTTGTCGTAGAGTCTGTCGATTGATGGCGAGAACATCACCATCTTCCTCTTGGATAGAGTCTTGAGTTGGTGTACTAGTGTGTAGTGCCTTGAAGGTAGATTCAAAGGTAGATGGGCGGTACTGTCGTTGGCCGGGCGGTCCAGCAGTCAGAGGTAGTGGCGCTCCCGACGAAAGAACACGAGTAGCTGAACCAAGATTGTCGGCAACGAGGGTGGAATTGCTACCAACTGCGTGGTCAAAACCATCCAATGTAACAGGATGGATGCTAGACGACCTATCGCCGCAGCGAGCCTCTCTTCGAGGTCGATGTGATATGCCAGGCGAGTCAGTGTTGTACTTGAGTGCCTTTGGAAGACTAGGGGAGCCGCTGAGTGGGTAGCATGGCTCTTCACTGCGAGTCGCCGACTTCAAGCCCAGAGCTGGCTTAATTCCTCGCAGAAGAGCCTTTTGAGCTTTCTTCTGGTTCGGATTTGGGTAAGAAGCCAGATTATGAAGAGACTTCACGGTCATGTTCAGCAGCAGGTCCATGCCAAGTTCGCGGTCATCATCGCTCTCGTCGCTTGGGTCAGCATCAGTGAACGTGTCTTGTTCAGTCTCTGAGAAGAGGGAGGCAAGTGGCGACGGTGTTGCCGATGATCCGAGACGAGGAACTTGGGCAGACATATTAACACTTCCGTGGTCGGTATCGGTCAAGGGGCTGGAAGGTCCGTCGTATTGTGTTTGGGGGCTGTACCGCTGAAGAGATGAAGAGCGAGTAGTCTTGATAGGCAGTGTTGCGAGGACGGATTTGGGTAGGAGAGACAAGCCCGCCGCAGGAAGACTGGCGGGCCACTTGAGGGAGCGACCTCGTCTAGCAGGTGGTTGTAGTGGCTGAGAAGTACTAGGGTTGTACGGGGTGCCAGCCGTAGTGTAAGTGACCTTGGAAGCCGAAGACGGGGCGGTTGCAGTGGAAGAGGCGATGCTGACGGGGGAAGACAAGTCTTCCATGATGGATTCAGATTGATACATCCTGTCTACCAGAGATGGTAAGGACGATTGGCCCCTGAAATCTAAGGAAGGTGCTGGTTAGATTGGACTGCTAAATCGGCCACAGTCGCCTGGGCATTAGACTTCTTGAATAAGGCTGGGGAGAACAAGGGCAGATATGGCTGCAGCAAAAGCGGAGAACTTGGTAGTGGGTGCAGGTGATGAATATATTCGCAGCGCAATATAATGTAATGGAACGACGGACTGCGATCTTAGGTTTTCACCATTGCTTGGAAACGATGATCGTAAGAGGCAACGATAGAAGAGATCTGGGTGATAGATAGAAAGTAAAAGTGAAGGTAGAAACGGACTGGTAAGATTGGTGAAGAAGTAAGTGCGAGGAAAGGTGTAAGAGGGGGTGCAGGTGAAGTGAATGGGGGAAGGTACCGTGCCTTCCTCCTGTTCTGCAAACCACGCTGCGCAACACGGAAGGGGAGCGGGAAGGAGCACCCTGCCAACTTAAATTTGAATATGGTAAACCACCTAGCTGGGGACTCACTGAATCCAAAAGTTCACGTAATCCAAATGTTAAAGATACAAATAAGTGTAGCTTTATATTGAGCGTTTGCCTTGATCCCAAGATCAAACGTTCAGACGAAGGAGATACCAGAACTCTCGGTTTGAAGAAAGGAGGTAAGTTCTCAAGGCTGGAGCCTGCAGGAGAGGAGTACTGACAACTCCCTGTGATACTTACATGCATGAAAATGCGCTGTCCTTGCCCTGAGTTTTGTTGTTCTTGACTTTGACGGTGCTCATCAGTGCCAGCAGGCGACATCGAGGTGCGTGCTCCCGACAACATTAAACCTACCTACCTACCTAGGTATATTACTAAACCTTTGGGCAGCTTGAACAGGATGGTCTAAATGAGTAGACTTCAGTTATGTCACAGTCGCGGTCAAGCAGTATTCTGATTCCAGTTTTATTGTTCCTTGCCTACCTACCCAACCCACATATGATGGTAACTGTTCTATGATTCACATCGCCTCAAATTAGGCTGCATATTCAACGCATGGACGGCTTGCCATATTATATCCTTCAGTTCGGACAAGCAGTTTTGCTACTGAGCATGCGCCTTTGTAATGCCATTACCGCCAGCCGCCCGATGCTCACATTCTGTTTAGAATAACCCAAGTCAAAATGAACAAGGCTTCGCAATCGATAGATCACACATTCTCTAACCCGTCCCTTGGATTTTGCCGTGTTTCTTAGATAATTATGGTGTGGCTTACATTTCCTTAAATAATATAATGGAGCTTCATTACAGACGCAACTATTTGGTTGCCTTATGCTAGGTTGCCTACTTCTATATATCCGTTTTTGTAACCTAAACTTAAATTTATGTTATTTTCTCCCCTTGGAGAGTTCAACTTTTACGTTTGTTCATAGAGACATTGAGGCGCAGAATCATCTATGGCCTCGAAAGTGAAAGGGCTATGAACAAGGTGATTTACCAGAAGCAAATGTCAATCCATTAGCTGTTTGGTAGTTGCAGTGCAAATCACTTGGTACCCTTCACACACCATATGTTTGTGTACAAACAGCCCCAGCTGTGTTCAGGAGACTTGCAAGAAGAATAATTGCCTATCACAAGCAAGTATGAAAGTTCAGTTGACTAATAATTGTTTTGCTCCACACAAACAGATACCTACAGAGGCATATGCCATCCCAACTACCTACCAAGCCCCTCACGGCATTCGTTAATCATATCACCTCAAGATATCATCTTCATCTGCAGAGAAAGTCGTGTTCATATCCGCATGTCCTGTCAGTCAGGTAGAATACTTTCTCCCTCTTACTGCCCCCTCCTCTCGAGAAGAAATGAAACTCCTATTTCGCCGCAAGACGTGAACTGCAAGGCAAAACGCCCATGTAGGCATCACAGCGTCCCGCACTACATCAAAAACCAGACCAAAACAGTAACAGCAGAAGACAAGAACAGTAACATAGGGGACAACGTTTTAAATAACCACCGGAGTCAGGGTTTAGAACTAGAATGCCCGTTTCGGGCAACAGAATAAAGAGGAGGCCACAAGGTAATAACCAGAAGATATAACCAACCAACAAGACACTATATTAGTCTAAAGGGCGGGGTGTCTCTTGGGCAAATAGCCCTATGAAAAATAAAAGGCTGGAACGTATAATAAATACCGGGCTCAATCCGCCGGTCGAATAACGAAATGTTTTGGTCAAAGCCAGCACGGAGGCCTACTCGACAGATTCACTAGAAGCCGCCTGGTGGGTAGGCACTTCCTGGCACCATACCAGGACCTCGCCCACTCCGCGAACTGGGCAATTGAAAGTCCGGGGTGTCTAGAAGCATGTCTTGACGCTGTTGCTTTTGTTGATGTACGGGCCGTCGATGAGAAGGTCCTTGTTGATACGGCATTGGTGGCGGAGGACCGGGGTTCCAACGGGGGTTGATGCCACGCTGGGAGATAGAAGTAAAAGCTGAGTGCTCGGACTCGGCAGGGCTTCGAGCACCCGCATTATTAGCATGGACGTCCTCGTAGATGGGCTCAATCGGGGGTGGCTGAAGGTTGTTGTTTGGGAGGGGCGCCTCGGAAGCAAAACGGGGATCTACATCTTCATAGTAATTGCTGTTTCCGATGGCTGCAGGCTGTTGCGTAACAGGAGACGTGTTTCTTCCTGGAGGGTGGCTCGCAGCTAGGGGAGGGGGAGCTTTGGGTGAGTTCCGGCCATCGCCTTGATTCCAAGCAGCACGGGGCGGAGCATATTGCCTATAGAGTCAGTATTTATCAATATGTGGGTGAGTGGTTATCATACTCATCGGTACTGTATTTGCTGCCCTCGCTCATGATAGTATCATTTCGCTGGGGAATCTGACCCTGCTGAAGACCGACCATACCTGCCACATCTACGTCACTGTCCCTGAGCTGTCCATAGTTTCCACCCTGATGACCTTGAACCGCTGGGGACGCATCCATTTCTACTGGTCGACCGCCTACAGTGGCAGGTTCAGTCCCCGGTAAAGGCGGCGGTGATTCCGCTCGTGGTAGTTCAGACTCCGGACGGTATGCGATATAAGTGTTCAAACTGGGCATCGATGGGTTCGTCGAGTTATACCCATTAGATGGCTCCGATGGCTGGAAATCCGAAGCATAGTTTTGACTAGGAGATGGTCTTCGGTCGTAAGGTCCGTTGTTGTGTCCTGATGGGTTTGGGCCTCCCCTCATTCCACCTGGGCCAAAGGCGCCTCGGCCTGGTGGACCAGATCCTCCCCGTCCACCTCTGGGTCCGTAACCACCTCTTCCAGGTGGGCCGTAGCCTCCGCGACCTCGCATCGGGGCGCCGTAATTATCATAGCCTCCACGACCATATCCTCCTCTTCCACCACGGTATCCTCCATTTCCTCTTCCGCGATTACTCATGCTTGGCGAAGGTCCTCTTCGAGTGGCATACGGATCGGTGCCATTGTCAATCGGGTTCCCAAACTGATCCCGAGAGCCTTGCCTCTGTGGGTTTCTATTGAAAGCAGCCGCTTCACCAACGTTGACTGGCTCATGGGGGACACCTGGAGATCGATTCGATGTTGTCCGGCGGGTGAGCGGGACTTCTTCGCTGATTTGATCACTTCGGTTCTTTTGATCAAACGTCGCGAAGGCTGGAATGTTATCATGAACGCTATTTCCAACAGGTTGGGTTGGCAGCGTCGGCTGTCTAGTGATCCCGTCTTCAGCGGTTGTCTTATCCTGGGCGGTTCTGTTGTAATAGTTTTGACCACTCATCTCGGCGTTATCGGCAATGCGTTTCTGTCTGTCTTTCCTGCTGACCAGAGTGCGACGCATTGCACAGGTTACCAATCCGCTCATGGCTACGAGAATAGTAGCAGCCAAAACCAGATATGAGCCCCATGCCAGATGTGGCACAAACAGTAGCACGTCGATCAAAAATGCCAACAAGCAGACCAAAAAGTCGATGAATAAAAAGATAAACAAAATGAGGAGATATCTTGTAGAGTGCGATGGTCCATGCAAATGAGACACAGCTGCCATGATGGTCATGACAAGGGTGATGAGTGCCGCAACTGGATGTACAATGAGAATAGCTGAAAGTGTATTGCGAACGCCAGATGGCAGGTCGAATGCTTGAGAGTCATCCCCAGCTAGTTTAGCTGCGAGAAACGTCAGTAAATGATAAGAGGATGCTTGCGTTTCCATCATCACTATGAACTAACCAGTGTCATATCCAACTCCGATACCACTACATCCCTTGCCCTTTTGGCAGTAGCCAAACACGCCATATGTGACACCACCAAAGTCACTCAGTGGAATGGCCTCGATTATCGGTGTTGATATAACAGCTAATAAAAGCAGGGCGAACGCTGCGAATAGCAGCAGAGTCAGTGGTGTGCCGGGTCGCAACATGATGACGGTGCGCTTAGCGCTTGGTAGAAAACTGATGGCGATACGACAGAGCAAGCAGCCGACGTCGTGAAGACGCGGGGACAGAAACGCTCAGGGGGCTTAAATTCTAGCCCTTGCACAGGATTCCGCTTCGGTAAAAGTGTTGATGTATATCATAGGTGAAAAGAAGGCGGCAAGCTCTCTGTGAAGTACGATGTCAAAGTACTAGAAGCATCTGACAAGTAGTAAAACTGATCCAATTCGTATAGTTTCCTCTCAAGATAATCGTATGTCCGACTATCTACGGTTTCCTCGTCTGCTGAAGGGCCTAGGCGCGAATTTTTGACGTTTGAATCGGTGAATGGGTGAAGATGCGACGCACTCGCAAGCGCCAGGTTCAGTCGCCGAATCGATAGGCTTGGTGATATGAACGATGGTGACCAAGTAATTCGAATGTGAACCCGCTAGAAATTCCGATGGTAGACGCGATCTCCAACGTCTTTCGACACGCTACAGTAGTTAAGAATCGAGTTGGAACGAGTGTATGTGGTCGGGAATCGAATAATGAGGAGGGGAGAGCACCTTGGGTCTTGGGTTGTAATCAGACAAGGTCCCATCTCCACTAAGGTGCTTGTTGCTTTGCTCTTCTATCAAACCTGGCTCCATGTGGCTTAGCAGGGCGCTGGGGGAACTACATGCGCTAGTCTCAGGACGATTAGTGCTTCATGGTACCCTGGTCTGAAGTGGTGCGCTGGTCCAGGCACAGGGGCCTTCTTTCTCGCAGCTCGCCAGCAATCTGACCTAGAACCGTCGCAGAAATATGGATATTTCCATGCATTGATTGAATTTGATCTGATTTGCCCGTCCCATTCGAATTGACCTCCTTATCCCACGCGAATTCTGCTCAATTAGCGAGAACATCGCATTCAAGGTTTGTGCCAATAATCTATGCAGGCCGTCCATGATGCCTTGGGTAGGTTGCCAATAAAACAATCTTAGCCACAAGTTTAATTTCTCAGTCGTGTCATACTTATCCCTCCAACCAGTCATCCATCCATCCCACACCTTATTAACTTAACTTATCACAGCATCCAATGTGGTTGACACCATGTGGGCCTTTACCGTTGCACCAAGCCCACCAATCCCACGCGTCGCGGCCGTCATTTTCGCAAGCAGTCATACGAATCACTTATCGTGTCTGTACTGCTTCGGCTCCGTCTCATCGTCTTTCCGGTTTTGGCTCAGCTCGACTCGACTCGACTCGACTCCAATGCAATTACCAAGACTGAGTAAACTTAATACAAACTCAAGACACCACTAGTTAAACACGGCTCGACTAGCTACCTAGGTAGGTATATGATTTTGCGTCTGCTCCATTTCCACAATCCTCAAATCTAACAGATTTTCATTC